TTTAAAATTATTGTGTAAAACAAACACAAGGTTATTTGTGGGTGCATAAAACAACTAGTCGAAATGCCATCGAGAGTGCATGGCGAAGTAATACGGAAATTGTAATGACTGGATCCAACTTTATGTTGTCTAACGTGGTTCTGGTTAATTTATCTCAGTGAAAAAATTGCTAAGCTTATTTTCGTACACAGTAAAACTGTAGCAACAATGCTGTTTTAAAATCATTTGCAACCTTTGTATCCTGACAGAAATAATTCTAGGATTTTTTTTTCGCGTGATTCGAAAGTACTGCATGCGTCGCCTAAAAGATCGCTTCCTCCAAATACTTCAGCGGGAACATTCCATCGGTCACTAATGACTCATCGAAGTTTATAAAACGAGTAAATTTGCAAGAAAAGCAACATCTTTTTAAGTATTCGCCGGACACGCAAGCGCATGAAGAGTCCGTCCCATCAATTTTACGTGCCTCGAAACGGGTCACAAAATTGCGTGAATGCATCTCCTAGAATTACGGAAAGTTCCTGATTAGTTTACATTGATGGCACCAAAATCCATTCGGAGTTTTTTATATGTTCGCAGCATTCAACAAACAAGTAATTAGGTGAACGAGGTAAATATGTTGTGCATCTCGAAATGTGCCTTTTAACCAACAAGCAGTTGATTTTACTAGTTTTTGAACCCAGGGAGTTGACTCGGAAATAATCGATTTAATAAACTAAGTTAATCGATTTAATACACTAAGTTAACCTTTTACGCAAGAATTTTAAGCCATGGAGGATGTCCCAATAATATGGCTTAAGTTTATGACTAAATCTGTCCTTCCAATCTGATTGAAATTAACCCTAGTTTAGGGAGACACTGGATTTTTTCGGAGCCCCCAGTCAATAATGAGCGCACATATCCAATACCGAATGTATTCCAGTGTGAAAACGAAGGGAATGATGAGCGACAGGAGTTACCGAAGTGCTGGTAGGAAGTTAGAAGCGTTGTAGCAATGCGCCTAGTCACAATAACATTGGCAGAGACAGGCAGGAGGGCTCAGAAGGAATGGGGAACACAATTATGCCTTAGGTCAAAGCGGCTAAAAGACGAAGGAAGGCAAACCTAGTTGCACGAGGCATCTGGCGGCTGGGACGGTTTGGCGTTTTCTTTCTGAGCCATCGTAGTTCGTAGATGAAAGAGAACGTTGCGAATCAACATGCCCCGGCGCCAGTTTCGAATAGATGGCACCTTGACATTGTCAACCTAAAGGGCAAGGGTACTTAAAAGTAGGTTAAATGGAAAACCACACTAGGCAAGTTTGATTCCGTGAAGGCGAAGACGAATAACCTTGCAAGCAAAACCTGCAATACAATAAACTCGACGGCGCAAGCGCCTTGAATGACAGAAAAGAAGTGTATTAAGCAAAAAAACTATGTGTTTAATCCCTTTGAAAAGTTCTGTCGGCAAAAGAACGGAACCTCAAGGACGTGTTTTGCAGCAAACACAAATATTAATTTACTTAAAAAAAGTACCCGCTTCTCACTGTTTCAGTTTTAAATTGACCTTACGAACCATAAGGGCGCAGTGCATATCCTTTTTAAGGCACATATTTAAAACCTTCAAAATCAAATGACTTTGGCTGTCAAACACGAAATCTTCACATCAGGCCAATTTAGCCTATTTGGAATCCCTTACACCCGAAAAGACACCAATTTAATACTGAAATGAAAAAAGCGGAAAATGATGAACAACCAAATCACAAATGATAAGTGGACAGACATCGCACAAAAAGCATAGAGCAACCACAAAAGAAAGTAAGGGCAAAATAAACTCAGGGTTCTGCATATCAACAAATACTTTTAAACTGTCGACACAAGAATGTTTTGAATAGTCCAGTTCTTTAATGGACTTTGCCCACCTTAGAAGCCGGAGGTGTCTATTCAGTATGAATTACGCGGGATTACACTGACATTACTACAAATTTAGAAAATGGGCACTGTCAAGCAAAAGTGAAACTAATTTCATCAGGCGGAATAACTGTATCATCATATTCTAGCATTTATCACCCCAACACCAGTTTTCTATGAACACGGTAACTTACTCCTTGGATTCGGCTTCACATTCATTAAACTTCTGATTGTACCAAAGGACGGTGGAAATTAAAAGAATCGGCCACTAAAACTTACATATAAGTTCTTAACACAAGCTATTGCTAATTTGCAAACATCTGCAGCCACTAATTCGAGATCTGTCGTGAGCTTAATTGTAAATGATTATCAACCCGTTAGAATGTATACATCTTAATAAACGGGTCTGACTATGTAGACATAAATACCAGGCCGTTACTGTCAACTCCATCCATATTAATCCGTGTAATGAATCTATTAGCAAAGGAAGAAACTTTGTAATTAGATTAAAACCTCGAACACGGCATATTTGCATTATTAACGAAAAACTACGAGGCAACAGTGCAGCGATCAATCCAAAATGGGTAATCATCAGTCGTAAGCATTAGCGTAAAACGGCCAGTCATGTCCTTACAAAGGTGATTGCACTGTCTATCCATTAGTCAAGGAAATTGAGAGAGAGGTAGCAGCCCTGTCGATCGACCCCCAATCAGGATGCTCAAAACATTAGGCTAAAATAGGCGATCTCGGGAATGATCCAGACGACAACTTCCAAAGACACCATCCAGTTTAGTCAAGTGACAAATTCAAATGGTCACAGATGTTGCGAAGCATGAGTGAATAGGAAGCGATACTTTCTAGAAATACATCTGGAAAGAACTAAAACACTTACCCGCTAGTGGCGAGCACAGTTAGCAGTCGTGAGCGATCACGATTCAATCGATTTTCGTGAATGCACTTCATGTAATTCCGTTCGTTCAGGAATCGATGCTTAGCAAAGCTATGTAAACGCACCTGTTTTCCTGTACGTACACCATTGCTGCCGCCCTCCACATTTTTCACTCTTCGTTCGGTCGGGCCTTGCCAGTGGATATCGCCGGTTTTGGTGTGGTTCCCTAAAACCGAACAGGAGCCCACAGCAAAATGGTGACTCCGCTACTGAACTCGTTTGACCTTCTACAAGCTAAAAATCAGCGTTTCGCTTCAATGGCCTATGCACCACTCTGACTTGATTTATCTGCCTCATGTTCGACCATTCGCCGTGCTCATCCCGACTCTCAGTTCTCTCCTGCGTGGTTTGCTACTGTTCTCAACCTACCCTCGCCTGGTTCCCTAACATCTGACTTACTCGACTCCCGATTTTCCATCTCATCCACCTCGAACGGCAAACGTAACTACAGAACATCGTCAACTGACTGGTGATGAACATCCATTCTTAACACATCCCGGCAACAACCAACCATCCTAACCTCACCACTCAACTCTCGGTTTTCCTATTTCGACCGCATCTCTCGATTCAACGACCTAGACGCTTGCTTAGCAAGTCTCTTCGATCCATTCTCGGCCTGGTTCTCAACTCTCAATGAGATCGAACCACGCCAACGATCTTACGATTCGGCATCATGCTCAACCTTTCCAACGATCAATTTTTCAGATATCCAGTTGGTAGAAAAGGTTGTTTTGCCAATAGCGATTCATCCCAAATGTCTTTCGACAACGTACAATTGCGGCAAGCGTTTCATTCACCATCCGGCGACGACTATTCGCCTCGCCTGACTACTCATGTTCATTCATTTCTAAGGCCTTAAATCGTCCGCACCATATTTACGACCTATCCTCCAGAAAATATTCGCCAATTCCTTTTACCAATGAGGAGAGTTGTGGCAAGCAGCAAGCTAGCACAGTTAGCAATTGCGAGCGAACACGACTAAATCGATTTACTTGAATGCACCTCACGCAATTCCGTTCGTTCAGAGATCGATGCTCAGTAAAGCTTTATAAACGCATCTATTATCCTGTGCACACACCATTGCTGCATCGATAAATTGGTTGATTGACTCGCCCTCCACATTTATCGCTCTTCTTGCGGTCCGGCCGTGTCAACGTAAATTGTCGGACTTGGTGTGGTTTCCGAAACTATTTAACACTATTTAGAGATCAAAGGCATTACACTAGGAATGACCACGTCAACCCGCACTTCTGAGGTTACGTGAGGGCATGACCAACAATCCAAAAATCCTCACCATTTCAATACAAAGTATTCGATCACAGCAGCCAAGTAGACTGGAGCACCAGCAACAACGCGTTCCGCGTAGTTACCACGGTGTAGCAGTCGGTGTCCACGTCCAACTGGGAATTGTAGACCAGCACAAGCCGACCTCGTCTTAGCCTTAGCACGTGACTTACCTCCTTTTGCCTCTTCCACTCAGTGTTGCCACCTGCACAGCTAGTGAACAGTGATTCATTGGGATATGGCGCCCGTGCCACCTGTTTTGTAGGCTCACACAGAACCAGAAGATGCGACAAACGTCATAGGTTCACACGTAACGCTCGCCTGTGGGACCACTCTATTGGCGCATTGCGCTAGTCTCTCGTGATAATTGGCTTTGTCGGAGAGAGGACCTAATCATGCCAAGCCATGCCAAACCTCTACTGTTGCTCGAGCAAGCAACACTAGGACATCGGGCACTACTTGCACTGACAGTTAAGTAGTAACGGCAATGCCAGAGCACACTAACGAAGATGCCAACATCGGTTCAGACACAGCACTGCAGTATTTAAACACGCGATGATGCGGTCTTGCAGTAACAGGCTTTAGGCCAGACTCGATACAAAGTAATAGTAGTAGAGGTAGCAGTGGTGGTGGAAGCAGTAGCAGCAGTAGTAGTACCCGGACAAGCTATACGGGAGGCATGTGTTTTCATTTGGCAGCTCATCGCAGCGGTGTTGCTCTAAGGATCACACGAAACTTCAAATCCGATGTTATGGAAGTTGGGGAAGCGCAAGTTGGTTAGGTTTACACACGCACACACAGAGGCAGATAGAAGGAGAAAGCTTGGAGGTTGCGTTTGCTAAAGGCTTGTAGTACATTTATGGTGATAAGTGGGATCCTAGTCGAATTGAGCAGAAGGCAGCTGGTAGCAAAAGGCATAGAATTTTGCAACGGCGTAAGCAAGTATTTGGAAATGTGGAATCAGTTATGCAGGGGCTCGAATTCCAGGCACCACACCTCTTCTCATCCACCCATCCATCCACTCCTACATCCTATCCCATCATTGGGCACCTCAGATCTCGACTGCCCACTCTGATGGTCTTAGGCCACATGGGCGACCATCACATCCCTTCACACTGATTCCAATTACCCACCATTCATCCTAAAAAACACCCACACCCGCCTCTAGTCTACACGTCACAACTACAACTCCACTGCCAAAAGCAACAACAATTGGTACTACTGCTACCACTAGTAGTAGACCTATCAAAGACCTCCAAAGGAGAGACTGCAACAGCAACAATCTCAGTTGGCGGCCCTTAAAATGACCGTGGATGCGTTCACTGTTTTGCTGCGATGATGACATGCACGACTTGCATGGAGCAGCACACTGAGCCAGCTCTTCAATACTTGAAGCCATGGTACTTCGACACAGCCCTGGTGTTCTCCAAAACCGCATGCTTCGCCAATTCACCAGGCAGCAACAGACGCACAGCAGTCTGGATCACTCTGCTGGTGATTGTTGACTTCTTTTTGTAGTGAGCCAAGTGGCTCAACTTAGCAGCAATCCGTTCGAAGATGTCGTTCACAAACGAGTTCATGATTGACATCGCCTTCGACGAGATGCCGGTGTCGGTATGCACTTGATGCAGCACCTTGTAGATGTAAATGGCGTGGCTCTCCCTCCTACGCCTCTTCATTGCCTTATCCGTCTTTGGCACCTTCACCTTCGAGACCTTATTTGCGGCTTTGCCGGACACGACTTTAGGCGCTATCTAGCAGGCGGCACGAACAAAGCAGTTCGGGGCGCGTCAAGTTTGTGCGCTGGCTTATATACGTGGATTGAGGGCTGACACACGCCAGACACTAACACCCTCGCCACCGGTGAATGAAAAGGTGTGCTAACCAATCACTTTGCCGCATTTGGTAAATGCTGCGATTTTACTGGTTGTGGGTTTGTGGTTGTTTGTATGTTAGCATTAGTATGCGCATTTCTTTGGCTTGCCTTTAATATTTCAAGGTGCCCTTCAAATTATGCTCCAATTCAAGAACATTCAAGCCCAGTCCAATGGTTTCATAAGCCATTGGTTCCACTTAAAATGAAGGCTCTGTCCATTTGTTCGTTGTCAGGAGATTTTATGTGCTAACCCACAATCCATCTCATCACATGAATCGAGAAAGTGGGAAGAGGAGCGGTTTGAATTGAAGCAATAGCAGGTACAACGGCAGGTAAGTGCATTCAACCTAGTTGTTCCCATCAATTCCAAGTCACACGTCCAATATGAGGCGCTACGCACAGTCTGAAGTCAACTGCGCAAACCACTTTACCATGTGCTTACATTGTCCAGACCATACCAGACCACAGTCTGTATGTCATTTGTGTAGCACATGTATGGTGCTGTCCCGCCATCCATATAACCAAATAATTTAATCCTAGCTGCACTCATAAATAGTCCACGTTGGCCAGTCTGGCTGCATTCACGAAGTTGAGGACTGGATGCATCGACGTGGTGTGTTGATTAGCACACCATGCTCATCATACCATAGTGGATTGAGAGGTGCAGCATAATGTCAAGGTAGGCTGCACTACCTAGTGTTCCGGGTATCAAAGACTGCAGCTGCGACAGCGGCGGTGGTGACGACGACGTTGACCGTGAGCAGATCTGGCCAACTCATTATGTCAACTCCACCTCGAGTAGGTCTGAATTTAAGCCAATTGTCACCCCCCAACACAAGCTCATCAACAAGAACGACGACAAAAATGCGGAGGTTGCTTTGGCGATGGTAGCGGAGGCGGCGAATGAGACCCAAGGCATATTGTGGATTTCCATCTTCGCGAATACAGCTGCGACAGCAAAAAGTAAAATTGGGTATGATATATGAAAGTAAGAATTATGATAAGGCATTGAATGAAAAATGTAAAACAATTAGACGCCATTTTACGTAATTATTTTAAAAATATTTCAAATAGAAGCGGAATCCGTCACATCACTATCGCCACCACTTATTATATCCTCATTATCCACCAAATCCTCTTTGTCCTCAGTCGACGATTCATCAGATGTTGGCTCCATAAACGACGTCACATTCAACGCTTCTGCGAAAGCCTCCAGATCTAAAACACGATGTAACCAATTCATTCAACTACATTCAATTTAATAGTTTGTTAATTTAAGGAAATGATTGGTGAGCGTGGGCGAATGTCAGCACCTTTAGCACTCGAAAATTCGTCTATCCAACCCCTACTTACGCAACAGCTGCCAACGTTTAAAATTGACGAGAATATGTCAGAGGACATTGCGATGCGTCAACATATCAGGCGTGTCGACTTCAGAATGTAGATGTACAATGTTCCAAACTCACCACCAGCGTTGGCTGCTTCAGTGGCCTCTTCGCCTAGGCCCAATTGAGCAATGACTGGTCCCATTTGACCCGATTCAAAGGCTTCTGTAAAGGCCTACAAAGAGAGGTGAAATTAGGCAAGGGTGAAGAAGGAATGGGCCCAACAAGGACCCCATCACATGGAAAGCAAACACCGACCTTTAAGGCAGCATCGATTCGGGGAGTGTAGAGATCGTCAACGAAATCGTCCACCGACGAGGACTCTGGATCCTCTGAGTCAGTGGGTGAATCCTGCACTGGAACGGGACCCAACACCGCCGCGGGATCCCCTGTCATATTGATGTGCGGCCCTAATTACACACATAATTTAGGGCATGGCGAATTCTTGGCGATATTGGCTCATAGTACAATACACATGTGTGGGAACTAGTTAACCAGTCAGACAGTGTGCACCAGCATCACGCCTAGCAGTATTCGAAACATAAAGCATTCTTGGTCTGGTGGTCCCACAAAAAGAAAACGGAATGCCACCGCCTTCTTAAACCATGCAACACATCGATGACTGGTGCGCTTTTCTTGGAAACGGCGCATTCAAAGTTGCCTAGGCTAGTGCTCCTCCATCAGTTAAAGCCTCTCAACAATCATCACACGATAATCAAGGACGCAGCAATACTAGGACAGATGCGTCGACTGCTGCGAGTGCTTACGACGCAGTTGACACCTCACTATTCCATCACGCCCGTTTAAATAAACAAACACAATGTGAAAACCGCTGCGAGGTCAGAACCAATGCGATGGCTAGACCAATCTGACGATTTTCGAAACACCGCGATCATGACACGTTGTAAGGAAATGCAACATCTCTAGGTTGCGCTCGAATCACCGACGACAAATTGCGCCCCGCATGAAAATCGTCAGGTTCAGCATCGATCGATTTTGTACGGGGAACAGGAAGCTGAAGTGACATCTCAAACTTACGTTGGTATGACCCTCCAATAGAGGACATGAGCGAATGCATCCCGAGTGGAGTCGTGTTGTCCTAAAAAGATAAAAAACACCCTCTGCTTAACTGAGCTATGCGATCACCAAGCACAGCCTTAACTCGTCACCGAAAACCATTGACTAGATTGATGAACTACGCTACGTCACGACCAACTACGAACTAATGACGCATTGCAAATTTACATGTGGTTGAGAGGCCTCGAGCACTTGCCCGCTTCCTCGAATTGCGCGACTTTGGCGTCCAAGCGATTAATGACACTGTAAGATTTGGGACTTACAGACAACAAATCCGAATTTGGCACAGTAATGGCGACCGGTGTAGGTGAGGCCATAGACATTATCGGCGACTCCACAGGACTGGAGTTCGCATGGCTTTCTGTTGGCACGGGCGACGCCTGTCCAGAACTAACAACAGAAAACGTACACCCATTCAAGCACATTTAGCGTTTTAGTCTGATCGCATGACCTATTGACCGTTTTTGACTATGCTTTCGGCAGTCATGTTAGGGCAACTTGGTCACACGGCTCTTCGCGTGAAATATGCATTTCAGTTATTGTACTCGCATTCGACCACAACGCCATGACCCCAAACCACCGCTTTACTGCCTTTACTCTACAACCGCGATCCAACTCAAAACACACACATACACACACGCACACACACCGTAAGCAACTGCGAAAACCGTCAAATACGCAAATCTGGGCGAATCTCACGCCTACGTCCACGCTTTCCATATGCAAGACAAAAAGCACTGCAGCTAAGTCAAACGACCTACGCTTTCACAAGCGTATTCATCAAAACAACTGTCAACATATCTCACTGTTGTCTGAAAACCAAGATTTACTTCTTCCCGAAGTGGGCTCCCTTCGATTTTGTCACGGTTGTCCATGAAATTAGCAACACAATCAAGAGCATGAATGCTGTGTCGACGTTCGTGAAGACACAAAGACACCCTCACACCAACTTACTGGGGCTAGGCATCACTGCAACCCCTTTAGACTTAGCAACCTAAAGCTCCCTACCACGCCTCGCAAACACGCACCACATGACGCGCCAAGCCGATTGAGTTGAAGTAAGCTTCGACTTGAACGCGTTGCATGGGCAGACTCCAAGGGCAGCAGTCTCAATGCCAGAAGCGCAAATTCAAGCATCACTAACCAGTCCAAGTAGGCTCGACAGAGGATTCAAGGTGACAAATTAGCCCAGATGAATCCATCACGAATAGCCTCGCAGAGACTACGTTGGAACGAGCAAGACAATGTGACGCTAGCACTAAACTCTACACTAACGGGCACGCTGTCGTGGGATTATGTGCACAATCAAATGGGTAATACCAGCGCGAGGCAACACTGTCAATCGATCCAAGTGGACCAGTACCTTTCGCTATCAGAGACAATTTCGTCATTAAGCGCGGCACCCATCATCAGTATGTTTTGGAGCTCGGAGTCGCTTAGGTTTGAGAGCCCACGGACTCCTCGGACAAAGTCCATCCAGCTATTGGAAGGGGTGGGTGGACAGTTGATGAACCTGTTCACCATCTCGCAAATCTGCGAGTCCTTATTTGAGTCAGGTTCCTGCATCCACAGGAAAACGCCACGCTGTTGCTCCCTCAGGTTAAGCACATACACACGTCCAGTCGAGTAGTGGGGTACATGCTTGAATTCCGCCTCTCCTGGGGTGAGGACAAGGTTCTCTTCAATATGGCCTGTGCTTCGGTCAAACCAACAAAAATGCACACCCTTGTCGCTGATTGTTTGGTAGACATAAACACACCCCTTTCGAATGTCCGCTTCTACGCCTTGATCCTCGTTCGTTCTCATCTTCCCGGCTTTGAATTGCAGAAGAGGTTGAGCTTCGGGTTCCGATGATTCCTCATCAATCAACTCAGCACTCCGAGTCATGGTTTTCTCCTCGTGGCTGTTCTTGGAACACTGATGACAGACACCACTGCCGACAGTTGCAAACCTGTCAGTAAATCGCAAACCAATCCCGTGCGTCGAAGTCCGTGCTAAACATGAATGCTACCAAAGCAGCGAAAGTTCACGCGCATGATTCAGGTCACCTTTATCGACAACGCTAATCCGATAATTGCTAAATCCCGGAAGTTGCACTGCGTCACGTTCGAGAGCGACAACTTTGGCAGCATTTCGCAAATAAGACGCATTCAACGTTACAAGTGTATTTGAATGAACCTCTACAAACATGGTTATTGTACAATTGGCATGCATGAAGTGAACCAGCTATCCCACCTAACATCACATGCTGAGTGAATAGCAAATGTCATGATAAGTTGAAGATGGTTGTGTGTATGAAGGATAAATAAATTAAGCAGTGTGAAGTGACCTCAAATCCGAGAAGGTTACGCATTTCGTTCTAAAAATGACTCAGACCCAAACGTCTGGAAACCAACACAGACAGCTGGAGTACAGAAGAGGCATTTGACGCGAAATCAATCACCAAGAGCATGTGAGATTCCGAACTAAACTACCTCAAATACAACACATGGAACTCGGTGCAGACTCCAGAATTGACATGCCAGCGCATTTTCTGAATCTGTCACATAACCGATTAGCCAAAGAGGGAAGTGCTGGGAGTTAATTAGCTTTGCCAAGTCGATTAGTGTCACCTACTGTCGTCTTATATAAAAGCATACCTCGCACCGTATGTGACAGAGACAAATATGCGATTACACACAGACAGAAATAAGCACACAACAAATGCAACGCATTCATGGCTCGCAGCCGCTGCAAGTCTTGCTAACGTGAGAAGAGGACGCGTGCTACGACGTCCTGCTGCATGCAGCCAACATTACGGCAATTTTGTCTAAGTGATTTAGCAAAGGCCATTTCGGATTAATCGACACGAAGCAGCTGCATGATATTGAAATCGTACGCGATAACTGTGTGCTCATGGTCTGTGGAAGACGGTGCTCCGTTAACAAAATGTTCCTATCTTCACGGGTGTAAAGAGTCCAATTTTTACTTGCCCCCTTGAGGTTGGGGCTTGTTGGGCTCGTCGTCAACCATTTGTGATTCTGGATTTTAGGTAAGATTTCCTATGTTTTCCGATGTCTGAGGCGTTTTTGCATAATTTAAGTTTGGTCTCCGTCTCCATGTCCACCAGGTATTTGTCTTCTAAGGTGCTTCAATGTCAAAGACAAGGCCTAAGGGATACCCTCTTCTCCCGCCTAAACATTTCTCATTGCTTTGTAATTTGGTGCTTCTTACAAGATGTGTAATAAAGTGCCTCGATTAGCTGCTTGCTCCTTTCACGAAATCGCTGCTCCCTTGGACAGGGATTACTGTTGGGAGGCTGGTTTCTAGGTTATATTTACCCAAATGGGATCATAAATTAGCAATCACGAACAACAATACCTTTCGCTATATCTTAGACGATTTGATGTCCAGTCTTGAATTAACCTTGTTAGTAGTTAAGTGACAACAAAAGAAAGCCGCGTTAGTTGTCTGGTTTGCGAAAAATCCCGAAGAACCACGAGGATGCAACCATGAACAGTGAAAAGCAAACTTACACACAAAGAGGAACACAGAAGTACACCACTTCGGACAGGATAGCGGAAGTAAGGTAAATCTTGGCAAGGGAACACCACATCGAATTTCGTGGCTTGAGCAAGAAACTAAAGGCTGTTACTGACATCCAAGGCATAAAACTCGGCTTCCACGAAGCAGGACTGTTGTCGTCACATGGGTAAAACGATGCACACAATGCATTGCACGTATAATTCCACAAAGTAAACTAATTTGACATTCCAATGTCGAAACCGCATGACTGGAGTGAGAAATTGACCTATAAACGAAATGCTGGCTGCACAAGCATTGAACGCTTTTAGCAATCAACAGTTCGATAAAGTGAACACACACACACACCCTAGCTAGTGTTTCAATGGTGGACTTAACGGAATGAGTAACCTGAGGGCCACGTCTAGCCTATAAGGAATGCCGACGTGTTGAAAGAGGCTTAACTGTCACGGAATCGGTCAGATTTTGACAGCGTCAACACGTACTATCTTCAGAACTCAGTCTAACGTCCACAAAATATGTATCCAGACCACCACCTGGATTGATCAACTACACCTCTCGGAGATCAACAGCAAAATACGTCGATTCATGAACGAGCATTTAGTGGCTTTGTGGAAGAACCTTACAAAGCGCGTTACCCTGAGTCCCTTACATCGGTTGTAGAGACTGCGGCAGAGGTGTGCGGAGGCACTCAGATTGTTGTGGAATGTGACATTCGTGACGATGACGTCTCCCTTCCAACCCAAGACACCCAGACAGTTGCCTTTACACTGACCAACGTCATTGACAACCGGATCGCGCGAGGATACCATCAACTTCGTCTGGTCACCTACCCAGGGCACCACGGGATGGGACTCTCGCCTTCAAACAAGTTAGCGCGCAAGCTACGAAATCGACCATAAAAACAACCAGAAAATGAGACGCATCGTCCAAATGTCGAGAACTACACCTGCAACAGGGAGCGTTTATTGTGTGTGAAGCAATAATGCTAGCAAAATCTGTGAAAACAACATCCAGGAAGTCATGCCCTCCACTAAGTCATCGCGGTGTGTGGTTCAACCGTGCCATGACACAAATCCTCTGTCTCACGGACCCTAGGTATAAAACCAGATCATCATTTTAGTGACAGTCGTGCTAGTCAGTAAGCACTCGACGGAGAGATTTTCTGAGGTGAGAGATATTAACGTAGCACGAACAAACATCGCGCTTCAACCACTTATCCATTCTCAAACAAACGCACAATGACAAAGCTTGTGCAACTAACACACGAAACTGCACTGGCTTGGCACTCCCTTCCCCAACAAACCGTGCCTTGCTGCACATCGAAACGTTACCTGGTGTGTAAATTGGGCGCATTTCTATATATTTGATCACACGTACTTGCCGCTTACACGCTCTCACTGAGCTAACTCAATCACCGCTTGATTAACACCAACGATAACCGTGTTAAGACACTATGTCACGTCGGCATCTAAGCAGACCGACACCTCCATGGAAGTCGTTCTCCAGAAAATACTCGTTTTACCCTTGCATTCCCACCAGAAATGGTCAATTGGCATGACTGTATGAAGTGGAATTCACTTATTCTGCGAGGAACGAACTCATTTTCGGCTTCAACTTGTAACCTGCTCGAAGATTTCTGACAACTCTTTCATCAATCGCCACAAACCTGAATGAGTTTCGAACAAACCATCGCACCTATTTGTTTGCGGAAAACACTGCTTCAAACACCAGACCACCACTGCCACCACCTTACCCTTCCCCCCAAAGCACACAACTTTCCAAATCGTACAGACAATTTCCCAAGCATTATTCAGCCGCTTTCAAAAGAATTGTCTTCTCACCACGAACTGTATCCAAAGAAGAATAACATGCTGCATGAAATTAGCTATTAAACAAATTAACCATCAAGGAAGATGAAAGATCCGAGTCAGACCACCTTCCGCCCTTGCTTCAGACACACTGATTACCTCTGCCTATGAATCAAATTTACTTTTCATCCTAAATTACCTGTAAATTCAAAATATCACGATGTCCTTAGATAGCCACTATTTCCATGGTTTCAACTGATGTAACCAGCGGTACACAAAGACATAGGCTGTCTCCTATGTGACGCGTTAAGTGATATTCAATCGTATTACTTATTTCTGCGTTCCCGAATCAAAAGCATTCCAAATACCAAACTCTGAAGTGCTGTTGCACACAACTACAAATTTACTGGCAAGGCCATGTGGATTCGTTTGTACTGGCGGGTGGCATTAAAATGACTTAAAGGTGCTGTAGGTGCTCTAATATAAATGGTACTTCATCAAAACAAATAACCCTTACGTAAGCTTTTGATTGTGTAAGGTGTTAAAGAAAACAGGTAGGCATAGAGAAACTGAGTTATGGGGAATATTATTAAAATGTAATGATAAAGTAAAATTGGATTAAAGGCCCATGACCAAGTATGGTCAACTAGGTATCACCATATCCTACCCCAAATAAAAGAAATCAGAAGCACTAATAATTATTTAATTTTCACCCTAGTTTTCGAGAACGTTCGACTCGAAAAAAAATTATTTCGCAACATATCAAGTTCAGATAAATCTGACGCGACTCGTTGTTATTATATTGAACTACAACTTTGTAATTGTGCTCTTTGATTTCAATTTAACGGGATTTTGCTTTAGATCGTTGTGTCAACTCAAAATCACTACCACTGAAACGTAATGAGTCATGTTGACTGACCACTACACCGCACATTCAGACTTCCAACCCACATTTCACAAAGTTTCCGGCGGTCATGCCTACACGTTTGACAGCAAACTCTGCATTTGCTTATTTTGCTACCCAAACTAAGCATCTACCCATTCAACCACTTGTTCTTTGATGACTTCACCCACACTCGTTGAGCCAGCCCCTTCCAAATATCATTCACGGCCTCGAATAGCCACACTTCAAGGTAACGTGGTTGAGTGTTGGAGTAAGCGGTCCTCTTCGCCATCTCCAGTCATCTCAGTCTTCTTGGGTCCATGGGTTGCGCAATGTGGTACTTAAAACGTGGTGTCCCTTGTGCGGCTCGAGACCCCACATCGTGACCTTCGACACATCACCTGCAGATTTAGCATGAGTTCTGCTGAATCTTTTCACAACATTTTTGGCCGCAACGAGGATTTCGTAAAGCGGGATGGCAAAGGCGTGTGAATTATTGACCTGATTTTTCATTATTGACAAGCACCTCTGGAATGAATTGTTTACATTCACGTCGAATTACTCTTCGCTTATCATGATGAGGCTGAGAACTGAGTTTTATATATTCCGATAACCTCTCCGAAATGCAATTATTTTCATTCTAATTGCCAAATTAGCAAAATTCAACTCGTAATGCAAAATAAAAAAATATTTTGTACCACGATATAACACGGTGTACTCAAGGAAGTAGTGAGAGCGTAAGGACGGAGATGACCGTTTAATCGAGAACTCGACAAATCGTCGGTGTGTCGCGTTTGCGTGTGGGTATTTACAGTTTAGCTGTGTGGCACAGCACGAGTGGTAGATGGGCTAGCATTGAGATTCAGGGGAGTGTGTCAATGCACATAGTTACTGTCCATGGAAAACAACCGCATTAATCCGGCGAGAGTTGAGTTTCTCCCATAGCTGGTGGCCTACTTTGAGAAGGGGCAGTGTGTCGGAGAATAGAAAGACCCATTTAATGAGCGTGGACCAACGCCATTCACAACAAATGGCACAAACCTAAACGACTTTGGGCTCCAAGACATACTTACGATGCGTTCTGCGCTAAATGACGAAATCGTCTAAGATATAGCGAAAGGTGTTGGTCGTGTTTGCTAATTTAAGTTCCCATTTGGATAAAAAAAACCTAGAAACCAGCCTCCCAACAGTAATCCCTGTCCAAGAGAGCAGTGATTTCGTGAAAGGAGCAAGCAGCTAATCGAGGCACTTTATTACACATCTTGTAAGAAGCACCACAACGACCTGGCACCTCACCGTGCTCAAGCACGCCAAGGCCGATTAAAATGAATTCAGGACCATCAAGGAAATAGCGCAATCTGGTAACGCAAAAAGAGAGGGGAGAGGGACATAGGTGGAAAATTGCAACAGGTGCGTTGGTGAGCAGGAAAGCCAGGGTCACATGGCAGGGTCATAGCATAAACGCAGTTCAGAGCACACACATGCTCGTGAACACAGCTATTCTAAGAAGTATCCATCTTATTGGCGTTTCCACCATCATTTTCATCGTCCTTTTTCTCCTTTTTGTCTTCTTTTTCAGCTGACGATTCAACTTCATTTTTCGCCTTAGACACTGCCATCTCTAACGCTGTAGCGAAAGCTTCCAGATCTAAGAAAAACGCGGTAACAATTTCAACAAAGTATATTGACTGAAATAGGTGTTTTGTCGACCGCAACGATTAGTCGGCATTAGCGAATAACCCACAAAACTAAACCCTGCCCCTCGTTGGCCAAATAAAAATTTGGTACAGCAAAAGTCCAACTCAATGATTCGACCCCAAAGTACGCAACAGCTGCCAGAATTTAAACCAAAGGGTATGGGTCGTGGAGAAATTGTGATGCGTCAACATCGCTATCATGTCAGATGCACAATGAAACAAACTCACCGCCAGAATTTGCTGCTTTAGTGGCCTCTTGGTCCAGACCAAACTGCGACATGGCTGGTCCCAGCTGCCCCGATCGAAAAGCTTCTGAGAAGGTCTACAAAAGTCAATTTCGTTGATTCAACCGATGATACAGAAAGTAGAAGATACAAGTCTTCGTGAGCAAAGAATGGGCTCAAAGTCGAGGCTATGACATGAAAAATGGGCACTGACCTTGAGGGCAGATTTGAATTGAGGAGAACGGAGGTTGGTGAGAACATTGTCCGCCGGCGACAGTTGTCGATCTTCTGGGTCAATGGGAGGAAGATGGGCCGCCAGGCGCTCCGCAGTGGCAGGATCTTCCTGCACCAGGTCACGAACACACTCCGAATTGAAGCCCAGTGTCAAGTCAATGTGGGGCTCTAGTGACACAAAATCGAATCAACACAAAGGAAATTAGGAATTCGATTAAGCCAAGGGACAAAAGGTTGTGACGAAAAGACACGATACATTTGCATCCTAGTAGAATCTCCAGATTTGATTTCAAGCTAAAGCGAAGTTTTTTGCACGGCTGATTAGTGTAATCACCGATCAAGCTTTCTTTCACAATAACATCAGTAAAAGAAGTACAAACTCACGTTGAGCTGGCGTTTCAATGGAGGACAGGATGGAATGAAGATCTTGGAGACGAAGTCTAGCCTAGAAAAGACATCAACATTTACGAACTGGGATAAATTCCCTGCTGAAGCATTACAAATCTACGTTTGGTGAAGAGGCCTGAAAAGTACACTCATTTTCTTGCTTTTTACGGCTTTGGCATCCAAGCGACTGAATTTGCACCAAGACTTGGGACTTACCGGCTGCTCTGAAGAGGGAGCTGTAACAGTAGGGACCGAGGTAGCTGAGGCCGTGTGCATTGTTGGAGCCTCAACACGACTGGCGTTTGGATGCCCTCCTGTTGGCAAGGGCAACACCTGTGCAGAACTGACAACAGAAGGCGAACACTTATTTAGCCACAATTTGCGTTTAGCGATGCCGCATGACACCTTAAAAGTTTTGGTTATGCTTTTGCCAGTAATGTTAAGACTCCGTGGTTACACGGTTCTTCGTGTGAAATAAACATTTCACGTGCTGAACTCGCATTCAACTACAACACCATGAACCAAACCACTTCTACACTACCTTTAGACTACGGACGGGATTCAACTCGTCACACACTAAGCAACTTCGAAGACCGTCAAACACGCAACACTGGGCGTATTGCACTCAAAAGTCCACGCCTTCAATATGCAAGACAAAAAGCACAACATCTAAGTCAAACGAGCCATGGCTTTACGAATTAATACAAACAACTGGTAATATGCGTGGTTGTCTATGAGATTAGCAACACAATCAAGAGCATGCATTCTGTGTCTACGAAAATAAATAATTTCAACATCCTGAAAATAACCACGAAGCGTTGTATCTCACGAAGACACCCTCACATCAGATAAATCGGCTAGGCATTAATACAACCAATTTAGAATTATTAATCAGGAGGTCCCTACCACACCTCGCAAACGCGCATCACATGAAGTGCCACTCTGATTGAGTTTAAGTAAAATTAGACTTGAACGCGTTACATTAATGCACTTCAAGGGCAGTAGTCTCAATACAAGAGGTGCGAATGCAAGCATCACTAACCAGTCTAAGTAGTCGCGAAAGAGAATTTAGATAGACAAGTTGGCCAGATGTATTCAACACTGTTAACCCAAAGGGACTCCATATGGGAGAACAAGCCAATAGGGCGCGATCAATCAACCATGGAATAACATGAACAATGAAACGTGTGTTGCGAACGCAAGGAAACCATTTAAAGGTAAGACAGTGGATTAATACCTGTCGCTTTCAGAGGAGAGTCCACTGTTTAGGCCTACACCCATCGACAAAAGAGCAAGAAGTTCACTTTGACTAAGGTTAGAGAGGCCTCGAACGCCACTAAAGAGGTCCACCATGCGACTGCTCCGCGACGTGCCCGAAGCCGAGGGAGGAGTTGGTGGGGAGTTGATAAATTTGTTAACCGTTTCGCAAATCTGTGAGTCGTTACTGGCGTTAGGTTCCTGCATCCAGAGAAAGAAGCGACGTTGCTGCTCTTTCAGTTTCAGCACATAAACTCGTCCAGACTTGCACTGGGGAACACGTTTGAATTCTGCCTCCCTCGGGGTGAGGACAAAGTTCTCTTCAATCAGGCCTGTACGTCGGTCGAACCAACAGAAATGCACGCTCTGATCCCCAGTGGTTTGGTAGAGATAAGCACAACCCTTGCGACTGTCCGGTTGTACGCTATGATCCTCTTTCATGCTCATTTTCCCAGCTTTGAATTGGAGCAGAGGCCGAGCTTGGGGTTTCGGTGGTTGCCGATCAAACAGTCCAGCACTCATTTTTAAAGTCTGGTGCAAATTAATAGAAAATAGAATTAAACAACACGACTGAAAACAAATCTATTCCAAATCATCCAGTTCACTAGGCGAATAATTTCCCTATGCGAATGTCAAAAAATGCTAACATAGACTATGTAGACGAGGCAACATAAGATTTGTCTTAACCGATGTCAACAGGAGTTGAAAGCCAAATTTTGAACTTCCTGATAAAAAAATTAAAAAATGCAAATGGTTTAGATCCGCAAACACAAAGACGCTCAATTATTTCATCAGAACAATGAGTGAGCATAATAGGAATTAAAACCGGCGATGGCAATGTTGTTTAACAACCTTCCGGAAAATCAGCAATAAGGGATATAAAACTACTTAATCAGGGAAAAGTAAGCAAATAATATGCAGCATAACAACTAAATGAGTATACTGAAAATAAAAAAATGCAAAATCATTGGGGCATAAAAGAGTATCTGTGTATAGCTACTTACATTGTTAACGACGAGTCGATACAATCCGCGTGAGGCCTAATCAACGCGAACCGCAAAGTTTGGACAAGAATCACTTACTGATAATTGGTTAAGAGAGTTAAGTCAAGCCATGGTTTCAAGTATTACTTAATGTGTAAATTAACTTAGTGATTTTATTTGCAGTATAAATAGCTTTTGGAACACATCGTGCAAGCAGTAAATTTTTGTTAGTAAAGAAGGTTGCATCCATTTAACATGCCACAATATTTAACAATAAGGAACTTGGGGTATTTATCCTAGATAAAATTTAATTTTAAATTCGACTACCTGTTAAAGTTTACTATATATAATACCTTGTGTAATATTACTATCCACCGATAATATTCCTTATTCTTCTGTTGTTCTTGGTAGCAATGACTTGATATCTTTACGCATACATTTACGCCACCATTGACTGTAAAGATTGAATAGAGTTTTTAACCTTTTACATTTATGTGTATTATTGTGGGGCACGATTTATTAGCCAATAAACTTCCTTTTTTTAAAATACCATTTGCGTTAGAGATTTCTCATTTTCACTTGCACTAAATAAAAAAGGGGAAATTGTTGGAAATCATGCTGTTCAGTATTTGAATAACCTATGTTTTGACATCATAAGCCATCTTTAGTCGCTGAAAACTGTTGTAAATGCATTATTCAGAAAAAAACTTTCAAAATTCATTTCAGAATCATTCCTGCCATGTGAAAATGAGGTCATATACAAATGTAAATGCAGTGTGAGAAGAAATTGTGAGGTTAAACTGTCGTAGATGTCAATATTCTACATTAATTGCAAATTAACACTATGATTTTTGATATCTCATTCTCTAATGACGCAACATCGTTGTTCACACTAAAAACCTATCGATCCCAGACCCCTACGGCATATATAAGTGATCCTATCTGAGCATCCGCTTTTAGCCCCATCTTATGCTCGATACTTTAGTTTAGTGAAGCCCTCGCACGAACCCTAGCCTTGTCTTCTTCAGGGAAGCCATCGACGAACCAAACAAGGGTTTTAAAATATTAGCCTCGGGGATTTACATCCACATGCCGGATAAATTGTAACAAGTTGTGGGAGTGAACTGACAATATGGCGAAAATGCGTCTACCAGTCTGCTTACTTCATCAAATATTTGTACAAGTTTCGTTGAAGCTACTGGCTCATAATGAATATAACCTGACAACTCCAACCTCACTCCCAGATTAGCTCTAATGTTTGCTTTCACCAATTCCTTTCCTGAAGTCAGAATAATCTTCCTCTGCATGGCAAAGTCGGGATCAACTAATTCTAAATGCTTATGGACTTTAAAATGCAATATTTTTCTGTTGCAAGTCTTTTCTAGGTTAGAATATTTGAAATTCATGCGCTCAAAAAAAGAAAATCATCATGGTATTTCGAAGGGCACTCCTTACTCTTTGTGGCAGCAAGTAATCTGGTGATACCACTTCCAAAAAGTTTATCATGAGCATAAAATTAGTAGGAATTTTTCAGGAAAATTGAGTGATTTGTACAGTGCAACCTGTCGACTATTCCTAACCGCCTAGATTAGAAGCAACTTAATTTATCGGCTTTGTGGATAGAAGTCATTTAATCACATGTTGATTACTTACCTCTAAGGCCTTTAATTATAGGCACATGGTTCCAATAACTGTTCAGGGCAAAACTGTGCGTGGTATATAAAATTCTGCCAACGACTGGAACAGGTTGTCAACTTGCGTCTTTCGAAATAGGCAGATATCCGATCTGCTGGCCTGATCGGACTGAGTCCACGCAAACGTGGTAACAGTTAGAAATGAGACATCGCGACAAAGTGGAAAGAATTAAAAGTGCATTTTCACAACAGTCAAGCTGGCTATTGTGACAGTTCCTATTGGCTAATCACGACTGAGTGGTTTTGCTGAGAAACATATAGTACAGTATTTATCAAGTTGCTGGTAAATTCGAGCGGATCTGTTTAGGTGTTTTTCCTATATGTCCTATCGTCCGAGGAATCTTCGCCTACTGTAACCCGACTAAGAACAACTAATGAAAATTGAAGTGTTGGTAATTTTTTGGTACAAATTGTCACAAAGACTAACGAACTATCAATTGGTTAGCATTTGACAAGTTAAACGGCTTACCGCATTTTAGAGAACTGTAAGGCTTTTAGCGGAGGCATATTCGGGGTTCGCAACCAATTGTGCATTATAAGACCACTTCGAAAAGGGCTACATTAAAATCATATCACCTGAGTGCTGATTGGATTAGGGAGAATAAGTTACTACGTAATCGACTTTGGTCTTAATTGCCGGCAAAATAAACGCTTCGTCAAAGATGAAGGTAGCGCATGTGAAAACGTCTACTCTGATTGTAGAACCGAGGAAATGGGACTACCGCTAAAAAGCATGGTTATTGAAACACGTGCCGAGGGAAATCAAGACAGCCGAAATTCTAGACAGATAGAAGGCTAGAACAGCGGAATTCTGAGATGATTGCTGGGATAAGCTCAGTCTGACAACTCCAAACTTTAATATCCCCTTGTTAAAGGATGCAGGAGTATCTCATCTTATTTGGTATTCGGTGTGTCTGTTTTAGTTCAGCAGTAGGTTCATGCCAAATCTATTTTGGTAGAAATGAACCTGCCATGGACACGGTGGTAGGACGTGCTGTTTATGAATGGCGACTCGCTCTTGAGCGCGTGTGCCACCTCGTGAGCCGAGCTTAGCTTCAACTATCTCGTAAGGCTCGGATGCTACTTAACAACAATACGTTGTCACGGGCAACTGACAGATAGGTTAAATGGATATAATTAGTCAGCACCACACTTGTCTGTGGCTGATCAGTGCTTCAAAAGCAGGACGGCGAAATAGAACAATAAATTAAGACAAAACTCATGTCAACTCATCTCACTCAAAAAAGGCAATCAAAACGGACTAGTAAGCAGCAAATTCAACTATCATCCACCGATCGCTAGTGGAAACAAAAACGTGAAAAGCTCATCGCTGAACACGAAATCCATCAGCGAAAGGGGTATAAATGTGTTGGATTGGTTTCGCGGATAAAAATAATCGAATGGAGAACCGCGGCTATTTCGACTTCTTCGGGACTGCTCCAAGGAGATTTGCCTCTTTGAGCATTCCACGGAATACCGATCCAATTCGAGCTTCCAGCTCCTGAGGTTGTCCCATCTCAACTAGGCGACCCGCGTCCAGAACCATTATCCTAGAATGAGCAACAGGTGGGATTTCAGAGCCAAGATGCTGTGCGCTTGCCAAAGAGATGCATGCGTGAGAGGCCGAAAGGCAGGCGTCAAACGAACCTGTCGTAGTCGAGAATCGTGTCAAGACGGTGAGCAATGGTGAGAACGGTGCTAGTGGCGAACTCGTTGCGGACGGTCTGTTGGATCAGCTGATCGGTTCGGGGATCGACAGCGGCCGTGGCCTCATCCAACACGAGAACCTTCGAGCGTCTGAGGAGAGCTCGGGCGAGACACACAAGTTGGCGCTGGCCCTGACTACAAGGGGGTTTTCGAAACACACACACACAGAAGGGCTTTTAGTAACGCAATCCAACGTTTGAGGGTAATAACGCAACAACAAACTATCACCTGGACCTTCTCAGCGATAGAGAACAACACACAGCAGGTTATGCACTGTACAGTTGAATAGCTACTGTTTGGTAAGAAATTGATGAATGAAAATTAAGCACCCTTTGGTGCCTTGAGCCCTGCTGTCGAAAATATTTGACATGAAAACTCTCTAAAATAGGCTTGATTTGATTTGCCACACAGGAACTCCTGGTGAAGAATACTTAGCCTGGAGTTAGTTTCATTTTTACAAGTAAATCGTCTTTGCTTTACAGAGGAACCCAAAGGCCGTCCCTTGTATGCTGAGTTAGACTTTTAAACAAACAATCATGCATATTCCAGACATGCGCGAAAAGGGCCAAGGCTGTGGGTTTGGGGAGGGAGGTGGCAGAGGCGAGGTTAAGAGGATGCACACACACCTGAGGTTGCCACCGCCTTCAGAGATGACCATGTCGAGGCCTTCACCGCCGGACATGTTCTCCACAAAGCTGCGCAAATTCGCCAGCGTCAGGGCTTCCCACACCGTCTCATCGGAGTACGTGTTGAAGGGGTCCAGGTTGAAACGAAGGGTCCCCGAAAACAAGACTGGATCCTGCGAAAATACTTTTCAAAATAATACCATGGAAAACTTGTCAGCCCATCACTCTACTTCTCTTAAATCAATATTAGGAACACGGAATCACAAGTCATGCATTTACAGCAAAAGTTGGGGTTCTGTCAACTTCAGTACACATGTCTAAATAACAACGCAACAACTAGGCTCCAAAAGCACTTGCACAAACCAAGCAAAACACCCAAACTTGGATCAATTGGCCACCTGATTCGACAACTTAAACGATTAATCAATTGAGCAGTAAGTGGACGAAATCGATGGTGGACTTGCCTGCGGGATGAGGGTGAGCCGTCCTCGTAAGTCGTGGAGGCCAATCTTGGCAATATTTATCCCGTCAATGAGAATTTCGCCTTCAGTAGCTTCGATTACCCTGAAAAGCGCGAGCACTAGAGACGACTTGCCGGATCCCGTTCGGCCGACGATGCCAATCTAGAGTAACCAAAAACAAGAATCGGCGTTCGGTGCCGTTGCTACTTATTGGGCAACTCAGCATTCCCCATGACTCAACACTTTAGACCCATGCACATACCGCTTTACACAGTCACATCAACCACCTCTTTCTCATTGACCAATCAATGAGTTGTCCATCTTAACTGGTATCAAGGTAGTCAAGCTTGCCGCAGCTACATATCGAGGCTTTCATTTGTCCAATCGTCGATTCAAACGCCTTGGCAACTCACCCCTACCTGTGTGTCGATCCGGCCGTCCGCGTCTCAGCGTCCATTGTTAATGTGGTCACACTGAGCGTGCATTCATGTTATCGTGTCGGCGGATAGGACACAACAGTGCACGTGTGCCCTGGTCCTACTGACCTGCCCTGGAGTGATCACGTGGACCACCCAGCACCTCAACATATCAAATAACAGCGTGACATTCGGCGGTTTGGCACAATCACCAAGGCTGGGTGGTAGTTCCAAAGAGGCACAAAGCGTTTTGCATGAAATTCGCCCCAAACTGTGCAAGCAGCTTGGGCAATAGTATGGACAACGTGGCCAAGACAGTGCTCACCTTCTCGCCCGGGTTAATCTTGAAGGAGATCGACTTCAGCACCAAGTCGAGGTCCTCGCGATAACGCGTGCTGTAGTTGACGAATTCCAGGGAGCCCTCGGGCCACTGCGGCGGAGGCTTCTTCTCGTCAACCTCCCAGGGGGCCTAGAAACATTTTGCAATGGAAGAAAAACATGTCGATTAGAAACTCCAGCAAAATACGTCCACCACCACCATCGGCTGGAAGGTTAAGCTAATCCAGTTTTTTGTGAACTCATATATGTGAGGGACGTGCTTCGTCCGTGGTGAAGCCGCTTCGGAACTTTCACGGCCTGCACAACCTGCAGAGCCCTCGCCAACTTGCACCGACAAGTGGCATTCAAAATAACACGTTTTTCGGGAGTGTTGTATTGTTTATTAAAAATGGAAGGAACGACAACTTCTAATTTGCCTGTGTTTGATAAAGATAAAAGAAAACAATCCAATGTTTCATTGTCTGCTTGTCGAATGGTTATTGTTAGCTCTGTAAAAAGACGGCCTTTATTGCTGCAATTCCGCGTGGCATCGCACACGCCAGCACTCTTTAAATTCGCAAGCCTCAAATACCACTTGCCTGTTTGTTATTTTTTGGAAATGAGTGGAGCAGAATGTGAACATGAATCGCGGGTCACGTGTTGTGAATCGTGTTGGTGAACGTCCGTCAACGCCCATCTATCGCCTCATCGTCATATCCACCGTTCCCCCTTCTTAGACCTCCCACGCCCCTGCGGACCCGCCTGACCTTACACCCCTGTGCACGCGCCTCCCCCGCTACCCATCTCAACTTCAATCATTTGTACTTTTACAAGTTCATTCTAACTCTATTGATCACCAACCTCCATTAACTACACATGACTTGGTTGGAACACCTAAATAATGATTGTCTCAATCTCCTGTCGTCTTAGTCTTCTTCTCGAGTGGTTGTGTAGCCCAATCTGACCGATATAACCTGAGAGACCGATGTGCTTCAAGACCGCGTACCACACAGACCAGGCTACATTTACATGCCGAAAACTACCGAAAACTTTACTAACTGAAGCCACAAAAACAAATTTGCGCACACAAGTTGCAAAGTTAATGTAAAACAACCACCACAGACACCAAGTAAACAAAACATTCAAATTTCGTGACGTCAGGAAGAGAAGGACACCAACTAACCATTTCCACGGTAGTTATGCAATTTCACTAAACAACAACCAGAATTACTCTCCAGAGCCTGACAGCATCGCGTCGTTTAAGCACTCAGTCCTAACACACGGCAACTAAACACACCTCAATCGGCAGCTCAGAATATTCTTTAATCCTCTCAACGGAGACAATGTCAGTCTCGAACTCAGTGGACATGCGGACGAGCCAACTGAGACTCTGGGTGACATTGAGGGCGTAGCTAATCACAAGCCCCGCGAAGCCAGCGGCAAGGACATCTCGGGTTGCAACAAACGCGATGGAAACCGACAAGGTCAGCAGGTTCCCCACTGTCTCCAGGATCATTGACAGCCAACTAAAACGCGACAAATTAGGACTGGTCAATAAAAGCGGTTCGATTTGAGACGCTATTCAAATCACCGGCAACAAGGAAGGGAGCATAGCGTGTTCCCCAGATCAGATTTGACTATGATCAGGTGCCATGGAGATGAGTCGTCGAATTCAGTGCCAGTCGAAGTTGGTGATGGCGACAATTGCCAAAAGATGACAAAAGGTCTTTGGACGAAATTGGCAATTAATTATCCACCGAGTGTGATATCAAACCACAAGACTAAAGTTGCTTCTTAGCCACCTCGAATGACGCACTCCCCGATAAGGAATGGTGAAAACCCTCACCGGTTGGCGACGAGAGTGGAGAAGTAGGCGCGGTTGTTGGTGTCCACCCTGTCGTCGCTGGTCTTGACAAACAAACTGCACTGTCTGTAGGCCCTGATTGTGTCCACACCCAGGAGGGTCTCGGCAAAGTGCGAAAAAATCGGCGACTTGCTCACCGAGTCGAGGCGCTTCAGCTGACGGCTCGTGGTCACAAACAGGTTCTGTGAGGTGGAACAAGTGAATGTGCATTAAAAGTCAACCCTTACTGCGATAATCAATAACACGATAACGGGAATGTTCTAGGTACCACGCGTGGTCGCATTCTCCTTGTATCTCTGAACCGAAACGCAATTAGATGCTGCTGTTGAAGTAAGGCACGGTTTCGATACTGCACACGCGCTTAACTGAGTGTTTGGCAGTCACGTTCTACAAGAATTTGTCGTTGTTATTCTTGAAAGATTGGTTAAATTGTTGTTAGTTCAGGACCTAATTTTGGGTGCCAAGATGACGAAAATCTGCATTTTTGTCATGTCATGCTTCTTAAGCTCAATTGTAGTGTCTATTTCAAGCTCTCGACAACTCAGTAAATTGATGCGGTCTAAGGAGAGGGAGACATAATTGTCGCTAAGGATTGTCAGGAGCGATCAGTCAACGCCAGGAGCCAAATTAGTAACAGATATTTTTACTTTTATCGAAATTTAGTTTGCTAAGGACATAAAAATGGATGCAGACTAAGAGGCATCAAGCACAAAGCAAAAAACTAACCATAGCTGGCTTACCTGCATGACACAATAGAAAGCCAATAGGAACACGAGGGGAATGAGAATGTAGGCGCTAGGTACAGCACACAGCGCGAAAGTGATCAAGCAGATGAAGGAATTTGTTATCATGGAGCGCAGCGACCGCATCAACTGACTGTCAGCTGTGGCGAAATCATTCGAGAATCTATTCATAATCCGACCCTATACGGAGAAGGTGCATTTATCAGGAATCAAACAGAGGACGTTACCATGACAACAACAAAGCGCAAGGTCCAAATTACCTGTGGGGTTGAATCGAAAAAGCTAATGGGAACGTGCATAATGCACTCCAGAAGGCCGTGATGAAGTAACTTGGCGGCATGAACACCGCCAATTGCCAGCAGCACACAGGCAAAGAGATTGAAGACAACTAAATAAGAAAAAGAAGGAATAGATACGTTAGTAAGCCAGCACAATCAATGGTGAGCGATTGCGAGGCCAGTGCGGTTCGCTGAGTATCCAGAACACCACAAATATTGCTGCCCGCACCACTCGAAATTGGACCTCTTTCAAGGTTTGTGAGAACACACGACTGCTACACCTAATCACAGTGTGTTATAGAGGAGGAGACTGCAAGCAGTGCCAATGAGCGACCAATAAGCACTATTTATATGATGGCATAGGTGGCAATCCCATCACCAAATCCCCTCCCGTCCAAACCACTTCTTACTTAAGTGGCCAAGTTCGTCGAGCAATTTCAACTCGGTTAAACTATCTGCCTCGGTCACACGTGTTCCGTAGGTATCCAAACGTCTCTGATTATGTTTTTGTGTTAATAATTTCCACAGGCGTCTCAAGACAGTGCGACCTAGTATATGACGCTGATCTGTAGCAGTGATTAAGCTGCATTGCAAACTTATTGCCAATTATCATCTATACAAAGATGATGAGGAGAAGACATAACCATCCGTTCGCACGCTAAGCATGATGCTTCTTATGCACGCTCATGAACATGGACCAATGAAAATTCAGGGTGAGTAACAAATGCCAATCAGCTTGAGGTGAACACATTTGGACAAGCTTCTACTCATACGCGTCCGCTGACGATCCATTACAAGTCTGTGTCACAATCAACAGCTACTCGTTTGTACGCGCTTATCGTGTACACGAGAAGGGAACGCGGAAGGGCCTCCATCTCGGTCCTCGTACAATTTGAATTAACCCTCCCATTTGAGACAAACCGTACTGTGTGCACAAACAATCGGCAAATAGTAACACCTGGCAGTACGCCCTAAGATAAAAAACTGCGCATAACAAAACATCGTTCTGGTTCAAATCATCTCAGCTTCAAACAGCGATAACCGACATTATGCGACAGTTCTCAAACCGAGGAACAGTTAAGACATTGATCATTTTGCGATAAATCAATAAACACGCTTGCCCACTGGCACACCTTCGTTGAGCCAACAGAAGTGCGAAAACAATGTTGGTCATGGACAAACATCGTCATAGGCATTGGCTACCAACGTGCGGCTCACCTTGAGCCAGACCAATCAAACCGTAGATGCCCAACCGCAGATCCCTCAGACTATTCATTCGGGCCACCAAATCTCTGTAGGTTTGGCTGTCCATGGTGCCAGTGGCATTGGCCGAGTCGGTGAGGTTCTTGTTCCTTGCGGAATCGCCAGACCACTCGGCCAGCCAGATGTTACTACCGAGCCAGGCGAGTTGGTTCAACAGGAGGAAGAATACGCCAGCCAGAAAAATGCCTAGTCCGATGCTGCGGATGTAAATCCAAAAGACCGAGAACTTGACCTAGGGCAGGAGACAAAAAAATATGTCACTTCTAAAGCAGAGCTTCAAATGGCGTCTTGAGAGTGCGCGAAACTTATTGATTTGGACTGACAGTGGCTATCAACTCGGATACACACCAACAAGCTTCAAGTAGACCGGATGCCTGAAATGTCTGATCGCGAAGCAACACATGGATACAACTGCCATAACCTTACTCGTCCGGTAGCACTGGTCTCCTCTAGGGTCTTCTTCGGCTTGTTCCCGGATTGGTCCTGCCCACCCTCCACCAATTTGTAGGAAACATCTACCTTTGCATCGCTCCTCTTCGCCTCCTAAAAAGAGGATAAAAAGGACGAAATCCATCGCCACAGCACCGCGTCACTTCGCACTTGGTGACTCAGAGCGTGCGCATTTACTGTCATCACGGAGAATCACAAATCGATTTTGCCTTCTCACGGTTCCGACAAAAGTGGAGTTTGGGGTGGACGATTCCAGCCAAGAGGCACTGCGAACGTGGAGGGCAGCGCCATGCTAAGGTGTCATTTGTGAGGATGCGATCTTGAATCTCTCTCTGGAAACGAGTGTGCGCATAGTTGGGGCACGGAAAGTTAAGCTTACGGCGTTGCATCTACTCTTATCTACAGCCAGTCTATTTAGCATTGGAAACGTCTCAAGACGTGGAAACGGTTGAATGACGCGTCTACAGCAGAAGGGTAATTCGATTTGGCTTGACACCACAACTTATCCCATATCCGAAGTGCAACTCACAACTCGGTCTGGTGAGTTAGCAATAACACAGGTTGTCTCCACTCCCAGCTTTCCCTGAAGACTTAACCTGTGCACACTATGTCGAGCCATGGCAACCATCAGGGGCAGTTATTCTTACTAGCTGCCATGTAGGCAAATGTTTGATGCATGTGAATCTGCGACAAATGGAGAATAGCACAGATGAGGACCAACCTTAACCGAACTGCTCCTCAATCGAATGGTGTCAAACTTGGGGGAGTCGGGTCTGCTGTGGACGGAAGCCGTGTCGTCTTGTTCGTGTTCCGCGTGCCGTCCCTGATCCTCCTGCAAAAAGGCTAGAGGAGAAAGAAATTGGAGCTAAAGTTAACGCCGAACGTTTATGCGTGAATCAAATATACCGCACCAAAAGATCGAAATCGGCGAATAGCGGTTTGGGCCGATTTGCAAATTGTCACTACTTTGAATTCGATTTAGCAAATTTCGGTGAAATAAAGTGCACTGCATTCGGAACATACGCTCAGCGAAATCGCCTGGGATGGCGTCATGCGGTGTTTGGTAGGATTCGGAGGGAGTGCGCGTCCTGAGGCTTGAGAGCGACCTCTCCAACGACCTGCTAGGCACCTGGTCACTATCCACCTGTTCAGAGAGCAATCGTTTGCGCAGCTCCTTGCTTCGTAGGAATATATTCAATTGACTGTTCTTCATTGCCGTCAGCTTCGTGTACGTGCCGTATTCCACGAGGCGGCCGCCTTCAAGCAAAGCAACTCGGTCCGCTTCGGCGATGGCATTGGGGTGATGCGTTGCAATGATCCTCGTCTTACTTGCCAATAAACCCCGACGACCGATAACGTGAGTCAGCAGGTGGTTCGCGACGTGCGCGTCCACCGCCGCCAGCGGGTCGTCAAAAAGATAAACATCGGCATCCGCGTAGCAAGCTCTCGCCAAACTGCAAGACACAAAATATTGATGACTTACTTCTTTTGAGTAGCATCCGGCAGAAATATCTGACAACGCTTAAAAGGCGAAACCTAAGCCAACTCGTATTTCTGCTTTTGTGCGCATTTGGAGTTTTATATCCCTTCAACGGGGAGGATTTGTAACTAGATGAATTCGCAACTACCGTCACGAACTAAATATGCTTCCTACAACACAAGGGAAACGATAGGGATTCAAATATTCGACCACATATACACACAGAGTCGTCTTCTGTTGCTATCTTGAATAGACAGATGTGTCGACCTAGTGGTGTGTTGCCTTTTCATCACTGAAAAGCGACTGAATAGCACATGAGCAATTTTGGGTGGTGCTTGATTCGAGTATCCATCTGGCCACTTACGCTGATTGGTGCACTTTAATGGCTCCACATACCTTCCAACATCACCTGACTAATTCCGCGAGGTGTTGCCAATTACGTCAAACCTGGACGTCCAATACTGAGCCAATGGAGACTGCAACCAAGCGGTATCGCTAACAGGTTGGAAAACAACTGCCTACCTGATGCGTTGCTTTTGGCCTCCCGACAAATTAACGCCTTTGTCCCCGATGTCAGTCAGGTCACCGTCGGACAGGAGTTTGATGTCCGGCTCGAGGGCACAGGCCTTGATTATTTTGGCGTAGCGCTCGGCGTTGTAGGGTTTGTGGAAGAGGATGTTGTCTCTCAGTGTGCCATTGAATATCCACGCCTGCTGCGACACCAGTGCCAAACTTCCCTGTAGCGAGAAAACCGGTGGTAGTTGAGTTTGCTCAGCCAAAAAGACTGCAACTTAGAACCCATTGATTAAAAGCGGGAGGCAGTAGTCGAGTATTGGTTTGCTTACTGCAGGTCGATTAATTCTACACCTCTATAATTGTAACGGAAAACACTTTACAAGAAACCATGAGTAACTGATGTTGATGGGCAATCTCCAGGTTTGTGAGAGAATATCAAGGCATAGCAACGTCAATTCATGCCTCGGTTACCGTGTCTGGGAGTGAAATGCCTACATCACCAAGGAAGCACCCATTACCTTGATGTTAACGCGACCAGAGATTAATTCCATGTTTCCCAGAAGAGCGTTCAAGAGGCTGGATTTGCCAGATCCCACGCGACCAACGATAGCTGTTGACTGGCCTTCCGCGAAGTAGACAGTTATGCTAAAACCAAAAAAAATAACAGTCAAGTCCTACTCTGTGCACGTTGTTTTAATTTTTGAAATCATCACGAATGAAGTGGTGGAGAAGGGCGTCGACATTTTGTGTCCACATCGAAAAGTGCTCGGTCATTCGTCGAATGGCATCAGTGGCAGACAATTAAATGTGAATAAACATAACATACTTTTTAGCCGTCCGTAACGAGCTATTCAGGTATGAAAGGGAAATTAAGAGCGCTGACGAATGAGACTACGCATTGTGTGTACGTTTTGCACAGCCTAGTCTCGAACAACCGCACCATCATCCCTATTAACTTCTTCCTCTTCTTGTGACTGCATGTCAAAGCAATACCGAGGTGTTCAGGCAGACTCGCGACGGCAGGATGCGATTACCTGTATGGCGGGTGCTTAATGACAGTAAGCGGGACATTACATAGAATGTAAAGAGAGCAAACAAGAGCAGCGTTTACATCTTCCTACAACTAGAGGCCACTAAAATGCGGACATTCAAGTAAAAAAGTCCCTTCCAAACAATAAAAGCTGCTGACCAGAGACGCGAAAACTACAAGTATCGATTAGCTGATGCACATCAGACGGGATTCAAGTGGAACGTCCTAGATGGGTTAATTTTCCAGGGGTGACTGCTTCAACTTGCCAATAGGTGAGTCCTGTTTTCTTAGTAGGTTAATTAAGCCAAAGGTAGGGTGAAGGAGAAACCATACATTCGACAGTAGATCGGAGGATAAGAAATTCTGCTGCCATAGTACCTGGAGGGTTATGTTTTCTTTCTCCCACGCACAAGCAAGCTCCTTAAGAGGCCAAAGACGCCGACCGCGGTTGCAAATATTTGACAACTCACGAACTCGATGACCAGCAACATCGGCGACGAGCAACATTTCAGACGTAGTATCTTTGGCATCACAGTGACTGTGACCATTTCTAGGGAATGACTACTGACATTGATCACCCCCTTCCACGACGACCAATCGCCTCGGGTCACCTGAGACCAGCCGTTTGTTTCTCCGTTTGAAGAAAGAGGGCTGACCCTTTTCACCAAGGCCGAGAGTTGGGGTGAATTGAGTTAATTCGTGCACCCCCAGACGTCATGACAATTCACTTCCTCTAATGATCGTTGACCCTTTCAGAACCCCGGTATTTGCGCCCTGTGTGTCTAAGCGCAAGTATGTAAATTCCCCTAAGCGTATGTCTGTCGCTAATGCGTGCATACGCCCTTGAATGCATACAAGGATACAACAAAATACATGAGTTGAGCCACCTAGTAAGTGGTCATGGGATCGTCGCCACCATTTTCCTCCGTCTTCTCAACATCTGAGTTGCGTTACCGAGCCCGCTGTGAATCCTACACACTAAACAAAGCTTAACCCGGTTATTACACAAAAACAAATGAGGGCACGAGCACGGACGACTGCAATGGATGAAAGTGGCCTTGGGTCTATCAGGTTATACTTAACCACACTGGGCAAACTCTTCGAGATCTGTAGTAGGGAAAGTTCCCGCTACGAAGTTGACAATGACCTTTCGGCGAAATGTCTGTAGAAGTTGAGCTGCAAAGTCATACAACTACATCGAAATACGTGGGTTAGGTAGAAGAGCGGGGAATGAAGTAGAAGAGAACCTACTTTTGAATAGCTGGCTCCACATCAGGTGCCCAGGAAAGGGTGCCATTTTCAATGACCGCCGCAACACCCGGCGTCTCCTCATGGCTCACCGATGACGGGTCGAGTTCAGGGTTGAGAAGGAACTTGGTCAAACGACGCACTGATACGTAGGCCTTGATTATAACAAGAAACACAACATGATGAGTCCCACTCACATTGCCTGCAAAAAGTGGACTCCGTGATGGCACCAAAAAGTTAGATGATTAACGAAAAACAGCTTTCGCATCCCTGTAACGCGTCTGCTTAATTTGTCCTGTTCACGGCTCCTAAGTAGCCTCACTGCACATGGTACGTAAGAATTGGTGGAGACCGGAGACTATACTGTGATTTTGAGCTCCTAACAATGTTACACTTTCTAAATGGTACCCCATCATTTTTACCCATGACTTCTTGGGTTTGGATGGTACTAAAGCATTCCCAATCCTCAGTCCAAGATTGTCACCAGGTGCCTGCAGCTTCTGATAACGTGTTATTTGAGTTTACGCAGTGCTGTCTAAGCGTTTAAGAGATTCGAGAGTCAAGGTGTACGAGGTTGTGACTCCACCTTTGTCTAGACATCGACGACCACTTAAGAAATCCAGCTTAAAGCCGATGGCATCATCACCGACTCCCTAAATATTGGTTTTTGGATCTAACGGCGTAGAGCTGCTTCGACGACCTCACAAATATAGACGGAATCAGGAATCTCAAAAATAACAGCCACTCGCGATGGCCAAATGCCAGAGTCGCACTACAGCTTGCGTCGTGGAGTCTAAAAGCCAGGTGCTTGATGTTGGCACACAGCTTTCACCATTCCTTGCATGCATACCTTATTACAACACCCTACCAACATACCTACGCTAGCAAACACTTTTGGCCTTTCCTAGAGGAATCTGAGTTCATGAGTCACACTGGCTATGAGCCCCTGATTATCGCCTTTGGTGCTTAACCTGACTGATATCCCCCAGGAGACGTGAAGTACGTTGACTGAAATGAACGATTCGTGGACACCAGTCACGATTAACGTCGATGCCAACTCACACTTCAAAGCACGCATGCACGCATTGTCAATTATGGGTTGCAACGCAAACGAGGAATTACGATTACTCCGTCCAGAGTTAAATCATCTGCCACTTTCTCAATATCCTAAGAAAATTACATGCCAATTTGCCCGTGTGCATTGGTACTTCGAGACACACTTGGATAGTAAACTGTCACCGACCAAATTCATGGTATCGAGAAAGTGCGCACACCTGGAGTCAGCTTGGATCGCAGTATAATTGGATGTGGTTTTGGGATATTACGGAATAACTTATCAAATTCGAACTACTGGCACTTTTTTGAACGCAAAGTGCAATGACATTCTTTACACCCCTGTTTAGAAAATCTAACTTGCCTACCCCGAAATTGATTAACTCTTCACGCCGTCACAAAGTAGTAGTTTCTTTCATTCATCACACATTGCATCAAACAATTGAAAGGAGTGGGGACATACATGGAAGAAAACCAGCGGACCTTGGTTAAAAATGTGGCAATTGGGCCACTTCACACGATTCACGTCTCCATTTAACAGCCTTCTAAAATTTCCTCTTGTACCATTTAGAGGATCTGAGGTCCGGGACTAGGGAGTTTGGGAAACTATGAAATAGGATTCGTCTGCTTATCAATGAATTTCGAACTAGCGTTCTCTATTCGATAGAATATCCGTGACATATGTAGCGTTAGGAGCCTGTCAAAAGAAGTTTACCTCAGGGCGAGTAGCTTCTATAAATTCCCCTTAATCTTCATTAGTTTATACTCCCACACACACACCCTCACACCCCTCTGGCCCCGAGCACGCCATAAAAACGTCCACCCATGCCTCATACAAACGTACAACGATTTCGAAGGCGAAATAGCATCTCTTAAACTCGATCATTGCCTTTTTTGCATTGGTTCAGTTTAAGTGCCTAGCTCGGTCACCTCTTTCCTCTCGGACACCGCTTGTGGCTTGTGAACAGGGTTGTAAAGTGGCAGTAGAGCATCGCAATAGGTGACAGTGATCAAAGCTATCGCAATCCCATGACGCTTCGCACGTGCTGCACGAAAGACAGTGTACCCAGTGATTATTAAAAAGAGGGTAAACACACACGCACCTGAACGAGACTGGAGAGGATGGTTGGAAACATGAAGAGCGGGAAGCGCAGAATGTTGAGCAGTGAGAGCGACACGAAGGCCTTTTCCGCGTTGAACACGTTGCCCGGCGACGAGAGTATGTAGACTACGAAGGTGGCCAGGGCAACCTGCAAGGATACGCAACCAGGTTACAGGTTGGGAGTCGATGCGCTCATCCCTGAGTGCGGTGAGTGAAAGTGAAGCATGAAGACAATTTTGACGCCTTGAGTGGGACAGAGGAGGTTACTAACAAGAAAGCGATTGACCGGAGTCGACAACATGCTTACGCAAATGATCGGGTTTTGGCCTATGCTTCAGCGAAGCCAACGAGAAAAAGAAGTGAGAAGGACTTGCAAACATAAATGGCAAGTAAACAGTTGTTTAGAGTAAAAAAACTGGATGAAAAAGTGCACAATTCAGGTCGAAAAGATGGACTTGTAAAAAAATAAACAGAACGACGCCATGATTAGATATGATCTAAACGCTGTTTACCGCAAATGTGTCCGGAAATGGGACAAATGATGTTTTAGCTCCTCGATCATGAACAGTTACGACGACAACAAAATTGATTGAAAGAAATACTTAATTAATTGAGGGACGATTCTGAAAAACTAGGGCCCAAAATTTGTGGGTAAGGAGGAAGGCAAAGGAAGCTAGACGAAACGGCATTTGGATAGCGGTAGACGTCACTACCGGTTGAGCTAATCCAAAAGGTATCAAATAACCGTGATTATTTGAAATTTGAAGTGGGGTGCTGAACTAAGCGATCGCGTCCAAGGAGATGAAGATGATATCGCTAAATGGATGATAAAAAAATTACATCCCACGTCAAAACTAGAAAAAAGTAGACACCCTAAGAGTTGCAATAACAACAGCGTAGACAGAAATTCAACGGCAAACGAAATTAATCTGAAGGGTTCAACCGTCTTGTTTGTTTTTCAAGTGCGGTTCCTGCAGCAATTCGGCCTGAGCTGGTTCAAGTTTTGCACGTGATTGGTCTTATCAATGGTTTAGTCGCAATGATAGAGTGCATTCCCGGCACCACATGCTTTTCCCGATCAATCGTGGTGCTAATGGCACTACATCGGCAGCTCAGCAAATTTGTGGGGCCCAGGGAGATGATAACGCCATTGCCGGGGAGAGCATAAAAGTGATTCGCCAAAATTCAAGGCGGCAAATTTCGCCTTTAATGGCGCCTACCGTTACACGACCGTTGTCTGCCGACCAACTACAAATTAGGACTACTTGAGCTCGGTTTTGAAGAAGGAAGTGGAAGCTAAGCCTAGCAAATGAACAGTGACCGGAAGACCACTTGCCGCCACGTGGAGTTCTCAGGATGGGAGCTTGGATGGCGAATGATTTAATGGAAAACTAAAGCCACGGGCGTTTCAAAACTGTTGCTGACTTGGTTACTTGCCACACAGACATTCGAGAACACAAAACCAAGGCTTCGGTGTTGCATCGTCACGAGAGACGAGAAACAGCACCGTTATGAAAAAAAAATAGCTGTAGAAGGAATGGGTTGGTTGAGATGAACACATAACGCTCCAGGTCACGTAATTAACTAGATTGAGTAGATAACAGCGAGAAGACTATCTGTGTGCAGTTAATTAAAATGATATAGGAGGAGGGTGATTAGAGCGAATGTGGCTTATTTTTCTTTAGAAATCTGCTGAATTTGCAGGCATTCAAAAAAGTCGGTGCAACACGAAATCAGAGAAGCAAGTTAACAAAGGAGTCGTGTTTCATTGCCAAGTACTGAGATTACCGCTACGCTATGTGTTTTATTGCAATTCCCAGTTATTGCAGATTTAGACTGAAAATATTAAGTAAAAGAGACGAGTAGAGGTAAGGTATTGCAGACGACGCAACACTTCCACGCACACAGCTCAGAGATGTATAAACAACTTTCTTGGATTGATTTGAAGTCAAAATTTGGCGCAGATTTACGTGCTCGGCCCGCCAACTTAGAGGAGCAAGCCGCGCCTAATCCAATGCAAATTGGCCGCTGAATTAACAATACTGCTTCTGTATTCATTAGCAAAATTTGCACACGCCATGGTTACTTTCATGAAAATTCGTAGCCAGTTTATTTTTGTATCGAGTCAGCACTTGAGTACAAATAAGATTCACGTGGCAGGCCGAATGGCCTCAGTATATCATGAGAAAAGAAGGAGATTAGAGCATCAACTGATAGCAATTGAACAGAATGTATGTACACGCATACACTGGATCAACTATCTAACACCAACAGTGCTCAGCCCGGAGGAGTTTTAACTGTATGCTGCAGACCAAATAAATAAGCGCACAAACATGCCAGCACAACACTACTAGTTGATAAAAGGAAACGGTAACTACATACCAGTGTGGGGGCGCAGACAAAGACGAATATGATGCTGCAATCCAGGTATAGGGATTTACGAAGATATGAGAGCTCTTTATTGCGGATGGAGTCAACTTCCCGGATGAATGAGGGCTCCCAGGCGTAGAGCTTCAGGACCTTTAAAAAGAACGCATACGAAACATTGAGGAGACCGGCAAGACCATATCCTTCTAAAAAACCTAGGAGTCTGTGTAGTAAGAAGCATACCAACTCTGACGTTATTCCATTAGCAATTGGAAGGAACGAGGAGAGGAAGAAAGTGGAGAAGGGAAAGGGTAGAAGCGGGGGAGGAGAGAGGAGAACATGCGTCCCAGCAAAGTGAGTGGCAAAGTGTCTCTAGTTAGTGAATCGTGGGAATACACAAATGCATCATCGTAATGCCGCGTTGCCGACAGACTCCTCACAGGCACGTCAAGGAACACATAGGACGGCGTCATAGATCTCCAGCGTGCAGACACAGTAGGCTCGGCACTTCCGCAACCACCGCCTGACCTACTAGTTTGAGGTTTTCTACTCTCTTCGTATTTAGAAATTAGAGAAGTGAATTTGGCGACCTCATGCCTTCACCTGTTGACGTAATTGTGGTCACTAATACATTCCAAAGTGTCAAAAATGCTTAAATTTCTTTTTCTGACAAATAGAAAGCCGAAAACACACTCTTTCGTGGTGGCAATGTCACCAGAAAAAAAGGCCACTCACTCTAATGCCGTTGAGGATTTCGCTGATCAGCTTGATTCGCGAATCTGTTGTTTTCAATTGTTTTTCCTGAAAAGAATAGTCGATAAAGGCGACTACGTAACTCGAACAATGTCAAACGAAAAAACCCGAGGATGTCAGAAAAACCGAATGTCAGAAATAATTAATATGAAAACTGTTAAAAATGGTGGAGCCTGTTCCGTCTACCGTTGAGGGGGTGCAAATTTGGCAAGGGCAGACATTGTCAACACGGTGTCCCTCACCTGCAGACCCTTGCTCTTCTCCGCGACGAAGGTGTTGACAGGGATCATGATGAGGAGGACCCCGACACCGGCAAGAACCGACGGTCCCAGCTCCCTCCACAGCAGGTAGAGGGCAACCGTTACCTGGAAGGGTGCGGACCAAAGCGCGTGGATGTTCAACATGAGGGCACAGAAGCGCTGGGAGTCGATTGACATGAGGTTAGTAATCTCCCCCGTAGTCGACTCACAACGCGCCGCGGCGCTCAGGCGAAGGCTCTGGAGAGGGACGGAATAACGGAAGGATAGGTTTCAAACACAAACCCCTTTCTTGAATTCGGAATGTGCGTGGCACTCTGAGAGTCAAACAAACGTCACCCAAGAAATGTGAAAGCTTGGGCGATTTGTCGCCCCTGAAACAACACCGTTTATTAGTGATTAGACCTTAAAGCTGGTAGTTGAAAAGCCAACGACGGCTTCTTGGGCTTCACATTAAATTCCATCAGCTGAAGCTAACTACACTCGTGAGGTAACTAATGCGAATTGGTCCCCTGTTTCAGTAGTCAGGCTTGCCCCACGAAGTCCAGAGCGGAGCTTCGAGCTAGAGCGCGTTGAGGAAGTCCATTTGAGGCCAAACCCTTGACCCGATGTCCCAGCCTGCCCCGCTTAAAGTTTGGAGCTCAAAAAGGTGGAAACGCATTACAATGCGACACATCGTGTGGAATTACAAAACAGCTTAGATCACCAGAAGTAAACGTGAAAAAAGTAGTGCTTTTGTCGGCGTCGATAATTACAATTTTATTCGAATGGCCCTAGCCAGTATGCGTGTGTGTGAGTGCATTGAACGAATTTGCTGAATTCTAATTAGCACAGTGTGAAGAATAGCTAATTCCCCTAAGTCTGGCCAATTGTTACACCAACGCAACCAAACGAAGGATCTTCAACGGTTCTGGAACTAAACTAAATCCCGAAGTGGAAACTTTAGTCCTGTTATACCAATTTTTCTGCTCAATATCCGATTATCAGTTGGCATGAAATTTCTGCCAAAAACATTACATTGTTTGACAATTTTTCAATTTCCAGGAAAGTGGACTGCAAAGACAAAATTCTACAATCCACCTGTCAAAAGGAGACCTTTTTGGGCGTAAACAAGGTACCTGCTTTACACACATGCACTTCAAGGGAAGAAAACCGGCAAAGCAGATTAAAGACTGACTTTTCGGTAGACGGCAGAAATGAGGACTGTGCGGATGTCCATGCCGATGACGGTTTGGGTACGGAAGTATTGGTGAAGAGCGATGGATTGGATGAAGGCTGTTACGAACAAGATGCAGGCGTACGCGTAACCGTGCCAGTGTGGCTCCATTGAACCGGGCTCCAGGAAGGCCAGAAGGTACCTGTGACGAATCAAACGAGGCATTGTGTTAGCCCGAACTCTCGAAGAAGATGCCAACACGTCTCTTATACTAGGGAGGCAGATGATGCGGCAACCAACTAACTCCCCATAATTTCCCAGAACAGCCTGCATTACATAACTCCTGACCACACTGGAAAGACGGTACGTGATCTCAAACTGGGCCGTTTATTTTACGCTTTGAATGGTTTTTTTCAAATTTAGCCAATGAAACAACCCAGCATTAAAGCATCATTGTGGCGAATAAAAATGGAAAAAAAGGTATTTTTGTGTTGAGGGTTGCCTTCCACAAACTCTTTACTTCGGAGCAACGAGCGACTTAATACAAAAAAACGAGGTGCTGGATCACTGAACGCCTGATTCTTACTGAGCGCCTCTGCAATTTGCTCACTTGTCACGCACGCCACGACATGCTGGTAACCTCTCTGTTTGTACCTTTGTAGGCCCGCCCAATCGTCGATATCTGATTTCTTTTCCGACGAATTCTTCAGTCCAGTTTTGTCGCCAGCTGTCTTCCTCTGAATCTCTGACTCTCTTCTCTCGTGCAGTCGATCTGTTGCGCATAGTATAAGTGTTCATAGGCTTCAATTTGTGCTTGTCTCCTACATCTTCACGACCCAAGTCCCGCTCACACATTACAAGCTGGACTAACATTGCTAACGAATCATTACAGCGGCGTGCACATGCTATCCACATATTTGATGTGTGTGTTTACTGTTTGGTGTTTACAGTCGCAACATTTAGTGTTTAGGATAAGACGTATACGTTGTCAAACGTTTTGGATCGTCATGTACTCTTCTGGATGCAAGGCGTGTGTATCTGATAATGAGCCTCAGATTTTCGTAGACATTTACTGTTTACAATTTCACCCAAACGCACGTAGGCGACGTGTTGGAGCTGGTTTGGGTGCTCAGGTGATGGAGAAAGAAGACTTCGACTGGATACCATAGTTGGACAATTGTGATAACATCAACCGCACTCAAGCCAAAAAAAATAGTTGATTGAGATCACTGTAACAGCGACACAACTACGCTTCTCAAGGAAGACCATCAAGATTCCTAAGAACGGTTGCTTTAGCAGGAAACAAATAATGCTTGAGGTTGATGTACCAGTGCATCAGTGGGTCACGAACCCGACAATACCCACTACATCAAATATGAAACATGCAAAATCAACGCTGACATTCCAAACATCTGGAGGAAGGGGACATTGAACATGCATCCTACCTCGAAATGAATTCATTCCGGGTAGTCAAGACAAACAGTACAACAAGCAATATTGTTAGACTGTCGGCACAAACTAGCATCGCCTAGATGAAGTTGGGGCTTTTTTGGCGGATAAAGGGACCTACAGTCAACAGTGGATAAATTTTTAAAAGACGGTAGATATCTCAAGCGAATATGTAATATTTTATTTGAACAATGAATAGGATTTTGACAGGAATTTCGCGGAGAGCCATGAGATTGACACTTGCGAATCCGTCTTTGAACACCACGGGCAGCACAGACCGCAATAGAAAGGGTTCCTTAAATTATGGTTCATTATAGGTTCATTTTGCCTAGCCCAACCACTTAAATCGTGCGACGAGGTGACAGCAAAGATTACAAACGCTGCGGTTATGGGAGTTTGCATAGTTTAAGGGCGTGGTCATGAACAGGGTGGGTAATGTAACATGTCTAACAACGCAAAAAAGTGCTTTCGGCTGCCAGAGGAAGGTACCTTGTGGAGTGGCCACCTTCAACCTTTTTGGGTTTAAAAAGAAGAGATTTGGCATCAGAACCTCAAGTCTTAGCAATCAATTTATCTGTATCCACATAAGGAGCGCCCGAAAACCTCATGCGTCAAGGCACGATTGGTTGAACACGGAAGTGGGGTCAAGCGGAGGCTTACTTCAAAATGATTGGACCGCTGAGTAGGCACAAGTCGTGGACAAGCTTGAAGATTGCAGCAATAAACATTGGCCAACCGAAGGTCACGAAAAGAGACTTCACGAGACCACCCTTGGGTTTATTCCTGCGCTGCCGCTTGGATTTCTCCAGCACCTCTTCTTGTCCACTCACCGGCGATTTGTTAACGGAGTCCGACTATTTCGGAAAAAAAAACATTTCCGACTGGTTTAATTCCATTTCGTCTAAAGAGTCTTTATCTCTTAATAATCAGTATTTACAATTTTAATACACAAAATAAGTTTGCCTGTGGTGACCGAGCAAAGCAACGCATTCTCTTCTATTGATTCATTTAATACCCCTTAGATAGTACTTTGCAGGAGGCCAATGGACTTTCGCTCAGTGTGCTGAACCTAAAAACGAAGAAATCACGAGGGTTTTCTGTAGTTGAAGAACTATTTGTTGGAACTTGGCTGAGAAGGAAACGCATAACGTGCACGTGCCTTTCTGCGACAATATCCGATGGCCTAATAAAAAGAGTTTTGTCTTAAATATTGCATGACTTTGAGGTGACAAAATGTTGCGGATGTCGAAACATGTGAGTGACCATCTGATGCTACAAAGCATCATGAAGATTAGGTAACATCGAGTGGGGAATAAACGTCGCTTACCGAGCGCCCTGCAAAGAGCCCACTCTCGAGGTCACCAGAAATTGACGTCTTTGTTTGAGGCTTTGGCCTTCCAAACGGACCGGAGAAACAAATTTGATAATTCGGCAAGAAAGAGGCTGCTGAAAGAAACAATGAATCGGGAAGGGAAAAGGAATCATCCCTTACTTAAAGCAGCTTTAAAAACACGATTCGTGCGAGTCGTCGGTGTAAATTTTGTCACCTTTGCTCCGCGCCCAAATCAGAGTACGTGTGTGCGTCTCCAAACTATTACCTAGTTCTCAAAGCAAGTGAGATTTAGCGTGCTCAAAGCCGATGGGAGTAAATAATTGGCTATTCACCGGATCTCTGAGGTTATGAAACACTGTGTCATGAGACTTTGGCACACAAAGGACAAAAACACCCTACAAGTAGATGTATGTGGTTTCTTTCCGAGATCCGGTGCTTCCGACATCGTCCTGTAACGTCGCTGTTTGCTAGAATCCTCTTCCACCCACTCCTCACTCTCCTCATCCTCCTCCTCAATGCCCACACCTCCAAAGGAGTCCCGTCGTCGCGACCTTAGGTCTTCTGGACGGTTTCGAGACTTGCCAAAGGCACTGACTTCAGCAAAGGTGCTACGTCTGCCAGGGGTGTGCCGACCTGTAGATGGGTTGGTTGAATTTGCGGCATCGTTGGCCTGGCTTAGAGGTTTCCCAGATGACTTTTGTACGTCAGAGTGGAGGCTGGTTGCAGGGTCCAGACTGGGCGGGTTGTCCGAGAATTGGGGCGAGGACACGCTTGGCCTAAAAATAAAACAGCCAGGTTTATTAACAGCGAGGCCTCTATCTAAAAACAAACCCTTAACACTTGCACCGAGAAACCTTCACTCATTTAGTCATGTGTCGGCTGTCAGCTACCAAAACACGAATGAAATGCGGCCTATCACATTTTAGGTCGACTGAGACATGCAGCCACCTGCAATTAACAATATGTTGGAGGTTTGAAACGTGACCTACTGTCACACCGACAGACATTATCTGAACTAACAATGCGTGATTATCAGACCGTAACGTAGACTAGAGAGTGTAGAGTACATGGAATACATCAAAATGAAGTATTCATTAACGGAAATCACTCTCGCCAACCTTTGCAGTACCATGACATGGGGATCAATTGGCCTCAGGTTAGCAATTTTCGTAAATGCTCAATCCTGCCCGTGATTGGCTACCGCATTGGGGGAAAATTCATTGAGGGAACAAATCAAAAGCCCCCAAAATCTCGACAAGGGTGCCTAAACCAAAAAAATCCCAGTCCAGATTCTTTCACCAAGAATTAGGCGTATTGAGTAGACCAGCTCGTCAACATGAAAGTCTCAACTTCAACCGACATAGCCATGGAATTAGACAGAAATCTGGCATAAGGCTCTACTGATATTGTCGAGATTCTTGCGACGTGCACTTACGAATCCATGACTCCGGAAACGCTGACTCGAAGGTACTTTGTGATCCGGGCGTAGAACCTCGGTCCGAGACTGGCGGAGATGTGTTTATCCTCCAACGCCCACAAATCAGACATCTGTAGGGTTTTCCTGTAACCCTTGACAATTAGTCTGAAACAGACGAAGAGACGCTTTTGAAGACGCATCTGCTTTTGGTAACCACCTCCTCACCTCTCTGGCTGTGGGAATAGGCATTACACTAAACTGTCAGCAAGCCCACGCTTCGCTCAAAATCGCTTTCCTTTGAGAATGATCCTTTGGCTACCCTTATCGGGTACCAATTTTTGTACTTGTAAATGGCTAAAACGAGTTAATAATTTAAGTTATTTTGCTTTGACCTTGGTTTGGCAAAAACTCAAGACTCGTCAGTGGAACCATATTGATGGGTACTTGTGTGGTCACGTTTGTCTCACTGTTCACAGAAACGCACCCATTAACACACACAAAAATCACAACGGCACCCATGTCCGGCGGGCAAATTGATGGTCATGAATCGCCTTTTAACCACACTCAGAGGTTTTGTGAATCGATTACCCGGCCGTACACCATTAAAAGCCATGTCCTACAAGTAATTTCCCTAGTTCTGGACACTCTACGTTAAAATGCAACGCCCACTGCTGTTTCAGTGATCACCTGCGGAGTAAACTTGAGAAAAAACGACGCTTTATCGGTAAAGACGGAAGCATCTCAGCCGTTTGCACATATCGGCGTCACATCGAGTCGCCCCTCCTTTCTTACCGAATTACGGCTTACGGAGTCGGTAAGATGATATTCGGGCGTTTATTGTGACACCTGAACGTCTGCAGAATTCGGCTGTAAAATGCCTTCGGAGTAGACGTGTCGGTAACCGCTAGTCTGGTTGGCTTTGTTTGTAGGCAATTGAGTTCGGTGACCACTCCAATAAATGTCCACGGGTTCGCACAGGCCGCTAATGCTCATCTTTCCCACGAACCGACACCCTGAACCCAGCCACATTCTCATCGAGTTTAGGGCTGCTTCATTTTAAATAGCCATTTAGTGTAGAAAATCGTGTAGTCTGATACGGCTCGTGACTTATTGCTATGAATGAAGATCGGTAAATTCAATATAGATCATAATTTTGAACCAAACAAAAGCACTAGTTGTTCCATTCCTTACGCCTTAGAGAAAATGCAAATCGAGGAAGAATACGAGAAAAAATACTTACTGAGTAAACCAGAAGAATGTTATTCTGGAGGGAAAGGAGACGTATTTCTCGGGACAGATGTGCTAAAGAGGGAGAAACGCTTGAATCGATACAGATTCCGCAAAACAAACCGACCGTTTCTCTGAACCAAGCTTGCGTGGCAGGTCTTGGGGGCTCCTCGATGATGAGTTATTTGGTGAAGAGAATTATTGCACAACAGTGCATGAATAAAAGTGCTAACATATAAGTACAGTAATTCCTGTTTGTTTCAAATTCACTCACATATACTGCGTGAAATGCTAAAGAAGACGCATTTACAGGTCAAAAATACAGTTATAAGTGACGCGGGGAAATAAGAAAAAAGTGTTTCTGATGGTTCTGTAGTATCGTTCGTTTTAGTACGCATAGTAATGCAAAAGCACAGTTGACCTGATACAATCAGGGACTTCGAACACCTACATGTAGACACATTCATGCGAGAAGCGTTACTAGCCCACTTAAAAGTTTATTTGGCATGGTTAGATAACCAAGTTTGATTAAAATATGTGTTTCTGGGAGGCTTGACCTAACGTCGAACTGAATCGAGAGGAATGAGTCCACATGGACCATTTCTAATGGACGGGATGGTCAGAGCCACTTCACCGCTGCGCGTGAATTGCGGCCCATGTATGCATATTAAATGTTTGAAATACTGAGGAAGAGCAACAGTCCTACTTTGAAAAAAAACTCAATTTTAAATGAGAAATTGACCGTCACGCGATATGGAATTTACCCCCTCTGTGCATTAATCAGTGCCAAAACCGAACAAGTCAGGCGTCGAAAGCTTTTATTAGCTCAATCGCGACGCAAAGCAAAATGACAGAAAGCGATGTGAAAAAGAAATGACTTCACTTCTTTTTACTTCCTTTTGAACCCTTGCTTTTCCCTTTGGAACCCTTACTCTTTCCCTTGGAGCTCTTGCTACCCTTGCTCTTTCCCTTGCTGCCCTTGGACTTGTCGAGGCTCGTGTCATCGCCCGCACCGGAGAGCGCATCTAGCGCAGCCTGAATCGACTCCTTCGAGAGCTCCTCAGGCAGTGGTGGGGGTATAGTCTTGACCGTCATGTGCATCTCCAGTGCCGCAGCATGCAACGCCCTGCTGTGGTTTTGTTCGTGATTAAAATAGACTAGGAAAGCACCTAGAGGGTCGGGACAGGTGTAGTCTACGTTGCACCAGCCACAAACCAGGGGTTTGGTGGTGGTGTGTGCGACGATAATGTGAGCTTGAAGCGTGAAATTATCTTCAAAACGCTCCCAGCATGTCGCGCAGGTGCTGCCACAGTCGACATAGTCCTGCATCAATTCGCGGCGGATGAGAAAGTCTGCCAGACACTTCAGTTCATGTGAATGCGTGCTCTGCACGTGGTTATCGAAGGTGTTTTCAGAAATACACGACGCACCGCACATGGCACAATACAACAGCTCGCTTTTTAGATCGGGCGATATGCCGTGGCGACACAGTATGTGGGCCTGGAAATGCCAGTTCGTCTTGTAAGTCCTTTGACACAAGAAACAGCTGTATGGCTCGCGAAGTTTCGAATTGTTCAAGACAGCTTTCCGCGAAATTAAGTTATACAATGGGTTATGGAATGCACGGCAGTGCTGTTCCAGTTGGGCGATACCTGGCGTCAGCTCAGCGGATTCAAACTTCACTAATTCATCCTGTTTGGCATTTTTCACTTCAAGCTGATATTGTCTTATTGTCTCTTTGTCTGCGTCCGGTGGTGGAGGAGGAATATTTGGGACGAACGGCTGAGGCTCCTCGAATTGAAAGGGGCAAAGACCACACTTGCCAGGAATACGGTCGGGTTTATGAAGAGACAGCAAGTGGACCACGAGATCACTGCGCGATTTAAACCATCGACCTCTGCAATAAAGGCATTGGTGTGGAGGTCCACCTTGAATATACGGTGACGTGGTTATGTAGCTGATGAATGCCGACTTGGCGACACAACATTTGTGCGTGGGTGCCCATTTGAAGGGGATGGTCAAGTGGCAGAGGCGGCATCGTTGGCGGATAAAATCATCATCGCTGTAGGGCTTGTGAGCGAGTGCAAGTACGTGCGCCTGAACCGCGGCCAAGTTCTTAAACTCAAGACAACACAAGTAGCAAAATTTTCCCGGACACGTCTGCACGCCAATCTCGACGGGCGGCTCAACTTCCACCCCCTTCTTGCCACTCCCTTTGCTACCTTTGCTACCCTTCTTACTGCCCTTCGAGCCTTTACTCCCCTTTGAGGCTTTACTGTTCTTGCTGCTTTTTGCCATCGTCGTCTGAGACCGCGCCGCGGACACACGACAGAGACAGGGGGGTGTGACTAAGGCCTACGTCACAATCAATAGGTCACGCGCCGGTCACGTGACAGTTCGGATACTGGTCGAAGCCGTGAATAAAACTGGGCCCACTACTTTCGGTGGTGAGGGAAAGCACCACTGACCTCCTCACTTAACCGACATTTTTGTTTAGGGATACACATTGCTTTAAATGGCTTTACAAAGCGATAGATATAGGCCAAGGCTGGATCGCTAACCATGCCAAGTTCATGTGACGCGTTGCAGTGGTCAAGAGTGAAGGTAATCATCAAACTACAAGTTTATCGGAGCTGGCAAAAAAAGATAACCAGTAGGAGGTATATTGCCTGATTTACCTGCGGAGTTTCAGTGATGTCGGATAAGCTTTCCTTTTCAGTGTCACTTGAAGGCGTGAACTTGTCATCTCCCATGATCAAGACATCCTGACCGTGGCAATCTCCAACAGCCTTCGGGAGTGAGGCGACACAGAGCAAGTCATTGGCAGAATCCAATTTTGGCATTCTTCGATCGGAGAAAAAGGAGCAAATGAAATTGACGAAGGCCACAGCACAGAGAAGGTAGTCAGACAGCTCGTGGGGGGAAATGCTCAGACCCCAACCAGGCGGAAAGGACGCATTCGCCGCTCCAAGGAGGTCCTGAATACAGGAGAGAAAGAGCTTGATTCAATGTAAACATCACACAACGTTATATATTCAGATACGATTCCTCCGTCCGAGTTAATTTCGCCAACAAAATGCTCGTTCCCGATTCGAACGGCCTTTTTTGCCGCACTTTTAAATGACGGCGTAAACTTTCAGCGTCAAGAACGTGGATTTGCTTTCGACCGACTGAATAAACTGAGGTCTGTTATTTTCATGAAATTGAAAAGAGAATCACGGGTTTTGGTGCTTATACGCGCAAGCACTCATTGTGCATTTTGTAAATACAGAATAATCTACCGATGGCTCATCGCGAAAACAAATTCTTAGCTAAGAGTTTTCAGCTAATCCGCCATGAACTGGGTTCATGGCCGATTCGGATTAGATAAAATTGCAAACAAAGCATTTCTAAAACGTCTTGCTTGGATTTCATCTATCGGTATAACTTTGCCTTGTTGAATTCTGCTCTATCATCGAAGACGCAGGCGCTTGGTTTAGTCAACAACGGAACTACAATCACGTACGACGAAATCACGCGATGCATTCCGCCTTTATTAACGATTCACTCTCAACAATGCGTGCCGTGGACGTCACTAAAAATACAGGCCAAAGGGTCTACGCTATGCGAAGGGAATCCGATGTGCACTATTTGGCCACTAATTCCCTTAAAATTGCACTTTTCTCGTGTTTTGTGTGTGGGTTAATTGCACAGCGCATGCCACGACGCAAGGTGGCGTGAATTAGGGAGCTCGAATTGACCCAGGTGTCTTTGGAAAAAGGCAATGCTAAAACTCTACTCACTACACGGTGCGTACCCTATGGCAAAGTGCTACTTACGTTTTGCCGTCCAATGTGGAAATCTACACGTCAGGCAGTCATTCGACAGCAAAGTGAGTAAGCCTTGTATATGCAAAAAAAACTGTTGGTAATGGAATAGTAGCCTAGAAACGACTCATACAATCGATGATGGGTTTTGATAGCTCTTGTTGCTGACAATGTAACATTTGCCATATTATTTCTAGAAATTCTTTAATATACTGACTTCGGTTACGGGGAATAACATGACAAATGTTACAGGCAATCTTTTCAAACGTCAAAACACTTGGTTTACAATGAGTGAGCAGAGAGATTTGGAAGGGTCATTCCAGCCGACTTGGATAGCAGCCCTGACCCTTCATGGGCGTGCTAAGAAAAAGCACAGCTAGTTTTACGAGGCGTAAATAGGTCGTCAAGACGCCAAAATTGCGCTTGTGTTTAGTACTATTCCATTTACTTCAGCGAAAATTACGATAGGTGGATAAAACATCAAACAATGAACGCCTGCTCCTCTGGCACAGTTCATTGATTTCTACCCCCGACTGCTGAAAAGATAGACACCTACCACAGAGTTTGTTCCGCCCGTTGGCTGTATTAAAAAGACCTCCAATTTAGAATAAACCCAGTACTTCCACAAGGAGACTGAATAATTCTGCACACAAAGGCTTTACTTTGATTCTGATTATTCCCCCTTTAGGAGTAGACGCGGTGACTTTTTTAACAGTAATTAGAATAGACATAAATTATTCTCCCCTTTGTGGGTTGTGGTCATCCACCTCAGCGATTGCTGGTGCAACAACCTGAAGCCCAGTATTCAGTGGTATAGCGAGTCTTTCATCAGTCTCTTTCATCAGAATTTCAAAGATTTTCGGCAGTGCCACAGCACTGATACAGTCGATTGGTGATTTATCATTGGTTTGGATCGCACCGCTAGTTAGAAGAAGAACATCCACAATGCGAGTGTTATCGAGGTCACAAAGCGCATTGACGCCACCTTAAACGGTTGCTTAGTTCACGCGTGGTATTGCATTACTCGCACTCTGCAGGGAGAGTTTGGGCCACGATGGAGTAGGTTTGCACACATACCGTGGAGCGCCTCTAAATGATTCGAAACTGTCCACCTCTGAGCGTATCCCATTTAGCAACGAATTTTACGGCCCTTTCATACGTGATCTAATTCAAAACAGACTTGTCTTGCCAGGTGATAATTACCAAACAGTTAAGAAACTAACCAGGAAGGAGTGGATCTGGAACATGGGACGCACATCAAATCAACCGAATCCCTCCTAATTTGTCTCATCGCCAGGGCATCATAACATATCACTACAGGCTTGCTGATTTGTTCGCCCACCACAATGGCGTGAAAAAATTAGCCGGTAAAATACTGACCCTAAAACTTTGAGTCGCCTTACTAGGGAACCATGAGGATTTTTCAAATGAATTTTCGACAAAATAACTGATCATTTGGACATGAAACGAAAGCAAACAATGAAGAAATAACAAGCTACTCTGCGATTTTTACCGCAACGTAACTTGTATAGCACAAAAATGTATTTGAATTTAAGCTTACATTAGGTTTATGTGTTGGGTGGCCATCACGAGTGGTGAGTTACAAGTTTTTGGGTAGATAAATGGGAGCCTCAACAAATCGGAATTTTTTTATTTTTGAAGACAGGTTTTCGAAACATTAAATGATATGCTAGGTCGGCTGCGCGCAGGTAGTTCGGTGGATAAATCTTTACATATAGGCAGTAATCAACTATGAACCACAATTCGACAATATTGAAATTGCAAGTGTCAGGAGGCATTGATTTCAGATCCATCCGAATTATTACAAAGAAACGATATCAGTAGGTATTGAACCACTTATGCACTCTTGAAGTGCGAATAGGCCCAAATGATCTCAGTGAGCACAATGACTGATAAAAAAAAATATCTACCGCTTGCAGATTACCCAACATCGTTAATGTTCACACAAAGGTATTGCTTGAATTTATTGTGTTCACGTACCAAGTGGACGATTCAGGAAAGAGTTGACCCAATGTGGTTACTACATAGAGACGAGAAATGACCTTCTAAGTTGCATCATTGGTGTAGAACTACCACATCAACCAATATATTTAGAGAGTGCTTGGGACAGGTACTTCAGACCTACCGTGGATGGAGGCCGCAGTTTGTAGGAGAAGGATGTCCAGGCGCTGGCCAGAGTCACGAACATTAGCAACAACGAACAAAAAAAGTAGATCCCCGAACTGGTCCTATCGCGCACAGCCTCCAGGTTCATGATTAAAATTTGGAAAAGCTAAAGAAATGGGCGGATAGTTGACAAACAATAAAAAACGTGCTTTTGCGAGTAATCAGAGTCGAATAAGGATTTAATGGTTATTAATGACCCCATTTGCAAATAATATAATTTTGCAAACAGAATGACTAGTTGCTTACTTGCAACTAACAAGGTAGTACAGGTGCTAGATCCACCTCCCAAAATGGAACTAAGGTTAAATTCGAAAGATTAAGAACTAAATATTAGGCCCATATTTATTAAAAGCGAGATGGTGTTCCATCGCCGCACTGAAAATCCGACTTAAGTATCCTAAACAACATAGTTCTTGTAGCTGTGATCAAAATATAAATCAAGAGGCGTGAATCTGTCCAGTATGACGAGAAAGGGACTAGACAACAAGATGTCCTACTTTTTATTAAATTTACAGAATAGGAAAGAACAAACCCATTCCAACTTACAACTGCTGTACACAATGCGCTTGGATAAAGGTAGTTCCAGGAATATCCTTTGGCGCTACTTGAGATGTTCACAAATTTCCAAAATAGTATTATGAGAAGCGCAGCATATAGAAGCTATGAAATAATGAGTTAGCTAACGTCTCTTACGTGTTTAGTGAAATAAAGTATGGACAACCTTCGAGGATACTTAACTTTCAGTGCCAGTAGAATAATGTAAGGCAGTGAAAAAACTGCCAGGTAAATGAAAATGATAGTGGGGACCGTAATGTAAAGATCGCATTCAGTTAGCCTGGGTATGTGGCTATTCCACTCTACGGAATAATTCTATACCTATAAAAAAATGGAAAAGTCTTACTGATCCATAACCCAAGCAGAAAACATCCCTCAGCGGAGTCATAGTGCTAAGTAATGAAAATGCGCCGACTTTTGGCAAGAGATACAAATAGCTTATTCAAACATGCTCAGTGTGAAATGCACAATTTATCGTAATTAATCATTAAATTCTGTTTTTAAATATGTAACAAGTTTACTTGTTAATTTAGTGGGTTGCTGCTTGATTTAGGCGTTTAGATATTTTTAAAATTCATATTAATCGGTCTCCTAATACTTCCTTTATGTTGTTGATTTACCAAGCGTATTACTTATCCACAATCACTAATTGGAAAAGGTCATATAGTAAATCTTTAGTGGTTTTGATTGCTCATTTTTATGTAATACTGTATTTCAAGATTTTTAATTTATCCTTGATTTAATTAGCTAAGTAATGATATCTGAGTTTCCTTGTGAACAAAAAAAATTATAGAACACCACTGCGCTACTTTTTTAAGTCAAAATAAAAGTATGAAGCAGCTAATTTTTTCTGAACTTAGTATTGTTGTGAATCGCATTGTTTAACACGCGTTAAATCGATCACGCCAACCTCCGATTGAATGTGAATTTTTAAATTAACTGAATGGTTGTCATATGTTAAGTGCACATATGTGCCTGGATATTGTATTCTATATTATGTCAACTGAACACCTATTTGATCAGGCAAAATAGGCTGTATAACACCCTGCCTTAAAGATTCACATCCATCCGTTTACGTAGGTGTACTGCATATGGCATTCATAAAGAAATAAACCTCCTTTATATTTTGCAAAAAAAACGTTTGGCGAATACTTTTTTGTGCTCAGTTAGAGGACATTATATTTAACAAAACTAGGACAAACCTGCCTTTTGGACATAAGGTAGTGTGAATTTTTCCCTTAGCTTGCACTTATTGCAATTAAACCTGTCAAAACTAAAAATTGCTTTTGCAAAACATCCTCTGATCTATACTGAATCCCAAACGACAAGTGAATGAATAATGGAGACAGGATTATGCGATTGCCAAATTACTGTTTAAGCACACCTACGGCTGGTAAACAATGGATGAACTGACTTTGCACCTGAAGGTAACACTTCCCACTAACACATTGAGTGTTCCAAAAAGGCGGTGTCGTGCGCAATGTGTTTGGTATCACGTGGTACAACATGTAATTCACTTAATGTCACATAAAAGGGCAACACCGCGGAGAATCCAGTAGCTAGGATCTCGATTCGTTCTCAGTTGCAAGGGGAAAATGAAATTGAGGTCCGTTCGTGCGGGCTTCTTGTACACCGGACAGCTGTAAGTGAATGCTGTTGTCGCCGCGGATTGAGACGTCTGACCCGCGGTGCAGTAGGCTGAGAGGTGAACAACTGGAAGTGAGGTGTAGAGTAACTTGGATGGCGGTTCCATTAGTCGAGCCGCCTTCCTGTCCCATCCAGCACCATCCAGGTAGAGTCCGAAGATATACACGCCTGTTTGGGAGGGGAACGAGACGAAATGTCCTTTATCTTTACCTAATTTCGTCAGACTAGGGGTATTTCCCAAAGTCACGTAGAACCACATTCAGATAGAACTCAAAAACGCACAGATTTATAACGGCACTTTACGTTGTGTGCTAGAGGCTAGGCATTTGCTTAGCTTTAGTTTTCAGCAATGGAGAAATTGGTAAGGCATTTGAGAGCGTAAATGCACTAAATATTTACGACAAATATGGGAGGAGACGTCAGCTATTACCAATGCGTATACTCAGAGAGGTGTTACCTTCGCTGGGTGCACGAGAAACTTCTTCTTGGGACATCCTAGTTACTTCATTGGTCAACGCGGCAACGTCGAGAGCAAACTTATTGGCTCGAGCAATTTCCTGCCTCATGGCCGTCAAGAAGCCCTAAAAAACAAATCATGCTCTTTAACTAGACGACTCAACCCATGACTTACCCTAATGCTCAAGAGTTTCAAAGAGCTCGTCCACTTAAATTATGCGTCAAAATTGCAAGACTGTTTAACTTGTATTGTTTCATAACAGAAAGTTCTATAAACAGGAAGTTGCCAAGTCGTGTATCAATATTCAGTCATTCCTCTCTTCTGTTTTCCAACGAAATATTACTAGGGAAAAGGGAATTTTAAATAAACCTAAGGTCCTTCTCCTTCTCACTGATCATCTTTGTACTGCCTCACGTGGCTTATTAGTAAGTAGGATGTGAGACACTATAACACACAGACAAACACGTACCTGAGGGTTAAAGAAGCCAGTTAGCCAATATGACTTGGGTCGTCCATGGAACAGCCAATTACGCAGTTGCGCATTCCTGTCCAGCAGATCAGTAAACCAAAATCCCAGAGTTGCCGAATCCCATGACACCTAAGTGCGTGAGGTTAGTTAATAGACAAATAACTTCACAAGGGAATCTCAGCACTGCTGCTAGTGTTAATTTGGTTGGATGGTTTAAAGACAAAACGCACAACGCGACCCAGCCATTTGCAGCAATTTCGTCTTCAGGTCACAGTTCCAATTAAAAGGTTTTTTCCAATGACTTTCCTTCCAGGCCGGTCTGCCCAAAAATTCTTAATACGTTTGTAGTGAATCGTGTTGATTCACGTCCAATGGCCCGGTCGTCGCAGCCTCACACATGTCCCCTTTTTCACGGTGTGCCCGTCAGTTACTGGGACAGCCTGCTCATTCACTCCTCTTTATGTACCACCACCACCCGCTCGATTCATGTGACGTTCAGACTGCTGTATTTTTACCAGTCCACTCAACTGTATCAGTCAATACAATACAACTTCGTTGAGCTATCGGTTGTGCCTCGCCGTCTCCGGTCTTTATCTTAGCGAGTACTCAGGGTAACGTAATCGGGCTAGAGTCGACTCAATGGCCCCTGCATGGGTCAAGACAACATGCCGGGCCCTCAACACGTTAATGCTAGTGACCGACTTTTCCTCGAATCTTTGACCCGACCTAGCTGGTCATTTCAAATTCATCTCTGCTATCAGGGCATAATCCGCCACGAATTAGTCTTGCAAGTTATACGTAAAGGGGATTGCCAGAATTATAAGGCATTTTTGACTCATTAATATTGGTCTATCTGATTCGAAAACGATGGTGATTTGAAAGTTGAGCGAAACCCATAATCACGAATTAGGCCTCTCCAACTAAATGTACCATCGAGCATTCTGCGGACATGAAGTTACAATGCCTCCTTATCTCTTTGGAATAGCAGATACTGTGAAGGCATGAATATGATGAAAGAATAGGGGTTTAAAATGAAGGATAATATGGACCACATTACCTTCCTCCACAGAGCGGGAATGTGAGCATCGTACATATTGTCGAGGGCGTCACGAAGGCTCTCCGACATTATGATGGTTCCATCGATCGCCACCTTCAAGTCACTCAGAGTAACTCGCACCACACTGATGACGCGCTGAATGCGGTCGATTTCATGTCGGAGAAATATGTGCAGTGGTTTCAGGTGATCTAGCTGCTGCAATAGTTCCTTAACCTAGGGCAAAAAGAAGGGTTTTATGAGACGATATGCAGCGCAGGGAACTGAGTTGATTAAATTCTAGCTTTCAAAGATTGAAGACCATGTAAATATCCTCTAGTCCCCACCACCCTGTCTTAATCATTGGGAACTTCCGTCACTTGACGTTGTTTTTTTTTTCAAGGATAAACTGATGAACGGGGAGATAAGGTGGCATTTTATTGCTTAAGGGGAAACAACAAAAATAGCGTGCATTTGTATCAAAAAACACAATTAAGCGTCAGAATCATCCAATTTGGGGGTGGAGATGGTTTGTGTATGACTCGCACAGCTCTACCATCCACTCACACTACCGCAAATATCTGTTTATTAGCCTTTTTATGACGCGCGACCAACAAAATGAAAGCTTTTGTATTTTGATAACTGAGAGAGACTCCATTAACTGCCCGGTCTCTTCGTGGTCACTTGTGTGGTTGAATCTGCTCGCGTAGGGAAACACAACTTCGCGTACTTCGTAGCTAGTGGGTCTCTTCCAATAGAACTTGTTGTGGCAAAGCAAAGTTCGCTGACGGAGCCTCAGATGACAAAAGGCCCCTAGTTAGACTGTCGGTGAATCCGATTTAGACAAAAGCCTTGTGAAAACCACTACAATAGCTTGTAAAGACATTTGCAATGACTCACCGATTAAACAGCGTAAATCTGGGTTGAAACCCTTACATGCATCAAGCAAATGTATTGGTGGAACCATATTAATTTAACTTTCAGCAATAGGATGAATGACGCTCTATTTTCACGTAAAGGTGGGAAATCAAGTTCGGAACATATGAGGGCATTAAACTAAATTCTGTAGCTAAATAACAAAGATTCTTTGAAATATTGAAGTCACGTAATAATCACGAATCATGAAGATCCATTTATTAATTAAGCCCACCACAATTTTATCACCGCTTCATATCCTCGCGTGTTCTTCCCTTCGTCATCCCCTCGCGACCTCGCTTCTTGTCACGCCAATGGGTCAGCCATCCCACCTCCAGTGAATCGTGTTGATTCACGTCGAATAACCCAGTCGCAGCTGCTTCCAACACACGTGCCCCCTCTTCACGGCGTGCCCGTCAGTCACGTGAGGCTGCCGGTTCATTAACCCCTCTGCATGTACCATCACCACACACTTTATTCATGTGATCTCACAGATTCCAGTGTCTATTTTTACATGTCAACTCAACTGTAGTAGTAAACACGACACAACTTAGTTGGGTTGTCTTGTAAACGGTCGTGCCTGCCAATTCTGGACTTATTTACTTGCTGGGTTACTTCGTGTGGTAAAGGGCCTCAACACACCTCTTCATTTCTCTTCCCTACCATAACCATATCTGTACTCCTATGTACACTTGCATTGTATTCGGTATTTTAGAATAAGCCAAGTTCCCTGTATTTCTATTCCTGTGGCCTGCGACCGATAGTTAACCATGCTGCGGTTGGCTCTGGAGAATAGTCTGACGGTCACCATCCCTTCTTCAGCCCCGATCGGCAGACCCACACAAGACTGCAATGACGACGCGGCACTTACCTCAAAAGGGTTGTAGTCGGGTGGCACCTTGGAGAGCATCTCCTCGGCCATCTTTTTGACGAGAGACTCACGCGTCTCCGTGCCCCCGACAGATGAGTCCTTTGGCTGGATGTTGGAGATCATCAGTAAGACTGCCGAGGCATTGTTCGTCTGATATCTTGAAAATTTGCGACAAAAGAGATCTTTAAAAGGCATCCAGACTTGGGTAGAACCAAACACACTCTGCGGACTTGGATGCCCTCCGGATGATTTCGGGTCTATGCTCACATTGCCATTATTACCTATTGGCTATACCGTTACGGTACTCTAATTGTTGTTATTGCTGTGCATTTATGCAGTACTAGATGCCCGAACTAAGTGCTACCTTAAAATCACCAATAATAAATTGATAAAACCCGTTCTTGTGATGGAGTTCAGGTAATGGAGTTTCCAGCACATATTATGACGAAATGATTCCTATCTATTATTAAGACTCAGTCGTCAGATTAACTACTACACAAGCTCCAGAATTGTAATGTTACCTATTTGTGATCGGTTGCCAAGGCAACATTCTGTTATTAACATTACTTGGCTAGCGTTAAGTAGGTAATTTTGCGCAGCGCAAGATTAAATTTTTTTATGCCACCCACGTTATGTCGGCGTTGGAATGCAGACCGAAGCACTCGGGCGAATCGGTTGTTGGCAGCTCCGATATACGGGCCTGGTATTCGTCAACAGTTCGGCTCTTTGGGATGCCATAGCCCGTGTAGAACTCAAAAGTGTCCTCAAATAGTTGGTCAGTGAACCAGACCTGAGCATAGGCGTTGAGTAGTCTTTTATCGTAGTCGTCCGTCACTCGACCTCCGTACTGCACTTCGCCGATCATGTAGCGCACCGTCGGCCAGGAAATGCCCTAAAAATTGCGTTCAAACAAGTTTAAACGTTAGCTTGTATAATTCGTAATTCTTTAAGTTCACACAGATGACTCATCTCAGTTTGAAAAATGATAATAAAGAGATTCTTGCAACGTTACGCCCAGTAAAATTAATCTTGATTGATGCTCTTTTCTCACACCTTTTGTAATCCTGTTGTTATTTGACAGAGTGGACAAACCAAAATCTAGTCTTTTAGCAAGTTCCAAACAAGGACGATTGTTACACTGTGATTCTCTCACTTCCAAACTGACCTTATGTGGATCCATGTCGTCCAGGTGGTTCTGAATGAACTGGACAGTTGAAGTAAAGTCAGCCTGGTTAAATTCATATGGAATGTTCCAGCCAATCGGTCCGAATTTTCGACGTTCCTGTACGATGGTGTGTAAGAAGGCTACGGCGTATAGCAATGGCTTCCATTGTGGGGCACTACTTGCTTCCAATTGGTCTTCGCCCTCTTGACCAATCATAGTGTAGGTGCGAAGAAGTCCCGCTCGTACGCCCATTGGTGGATCGAAGGTGAACTTGGTGCTTATCTGTAACAGAGCTATGGGGAACTTGGGGTGGGGCTCTGTAGTTATCCAGCAACGAAAACGGTCGTGAACGTTCTGTGATGATGTAATCTGAAAGGTGGAAAGGGCTTAATGTTCTTCTGGAACATTTAATCCATCTATGCATCAACGGAGTTGCAAGAACGACGCTGCTAATTACAATAAGTATACCATACGAGTATCCAATCCCACTAAAACAATGTTATTTAAAATATGATAGTTTCAGAGTATTCGAACATCACCGTTAGGGATTTGAAGTTAAAATCCCGTGCTTCGTTGCTCACTTGGCCAAGGTCAAATAGCTTTTGAATATTTGAACGCGACTTAATTCGTGGCAGCTTAAGTGACTTCCACAGGCAAGGATCGGGATTCCAGCTGTTTAGTCGATTTAAATCAGGCATAATTGCATTTACAAGGCTGTAAATTGGGTTTTAAAATATTTCGAATATTCCTTGATACCTAAAGCAAAGCGTTGTGCATGTAAGTCTTTCTTCTTAAAATCTTCACACAATCTCTCACACAGACGAGAAATCGCTTTTCAGTTATTTACTTCCGACTGCTTTCCAATGACGCGCCGGTGTAGGCCTCAGCCATACTTGCTTACACTATGAGCTCAGCCAATCCTCAGTCCATAATTATGATCAGTAGCCAATCACAGACAAGGATGAAAAAGCAGACGGGCGGTTCTGGATTGTGTTATGTCAATAAAGCCTGTCATGTTGTACGTGTTTTCTTCACACTGTTGAGTTCTCGAGCCCTGGTATGAAGACAGGTGCAACTGAACAGGGTCCATTAACTAACCACAAGTCCCTGGTTGGCTGTTGATCTTCAAAGTAGGCCAATCAAACGCACAAAGACAGGGTGACTAAGCTCGGCGCAATCCAATACATCTGCGTTCTAGCATGGCGCTAAATACTAGGGCCCGGGTATTCCACACCACAGCATAATTAATTATTGCTATTTGAAAATGTTCGCATTAATTTAACCATACCGAGATGTGTTTTAGTTTATTGATTCGTCAAACTTGGCGACCTTCACTAGCAGGAATTCGGCAAGTCTATAACTTACCAAATCAAAGAGCTCGTCCATGAAGTTTAGCCCAAGGTGGCAGTTCTGAAGCAGGACCCATTTTCCTTCAGTCATGCTGTTTGTTATCAAACGCCTGGCGTGGACCTCCTGGCCTTGACCCATGGAAATTGCACCACACGCTAGAAACGCGAAAAGTTACTCGTCATTTGTCTAATCCAGATTGAGAATGCTTCATTTTAGCAGCATTTCGTGTTCCGATTATGTAAACACGTTGACAAAAACGAGCCTGCAACATAGGACCGTGAATTGATGGTCTTGAACTAGAGTGAAAGAAATCGTGACTCAAAATACAGCTAAAACAGACTGTGAAAGGAGAAGATTCGGCCAAAAGATTCGGAAGTGGCCACAGATATTGAATGCCAAAGTGTTTGGAAGGGTAATTACTAATTAATGGGTTATTCAGGAGTTTGACAAAAACTTTGGCAAACAAAATTATTCGACATTGAGGTGGATTTAGGTAAATGTACGTCTATTTACGCCTGCAACACCATCTAAGGGACTATAAATTAAGCATATTGCAAGAATCACAATGGGATTTTAATTTTGCGTACTCAGTCCAAGGCGCTTGGCCAGTCTTTCGATGTTCTCTGTCGGATCGGAGCCCATGGAGAGGAAGCACACGAGAGGCGTCCGAACGTCGGAGTCTTCCTGCACCATCACCTCGAGGTCGGTGATGATGGGATCCACGAATTGGTCGCCCAGGAGCTCACGCACGAATCGTCGAGCCATTGGAAGACATCGGTCCAGACACCAGCAGCGAATAAGCAATAGGCGCTGAAAAGTTTGGCCTTCAATCGCAGCTTCGTAACCGCCGGGAAGTGGAGCTTCCTCAGGTGCATCGCTATCGAACCACCGTTTCCATGACTTGGAAGAAAATATGGATATCGTGCATAGTAAGTGCTCGTAGAAATTCAATTTGTCGCGCTGCACTTCACGTGGGTGGGAGAAACTACATAGCACTTGGTAGTGGTCGAGGATACCAAGGGGTTTTGACGACGTCTGACACAAATATGGAAGTTGATTCAGCAGAACTGGTCATGTTAACGATCACACCTATTTGTGTTAACAAACCAAGCCCATTGAATGCAGAAACATGCACTTGTACTTTGAATTGCCAAAATTTTGATAATGTAATCGATTGAGTTACGAGAAAGCACCACCTACTCAACTTAATAATGTGTTTTGTGATCAGAACTCAATGCAACATGGTAAATCATACACTGAGCATTGCGATTGGTTTGCCAAAGGGCAATGATTTGATTGATGGAAGGTATATACATTAATCAGAAGGCTTGGTTAGTGTATATAAGTAAGTATTTTAAGTATTTTCTGTATTCCAACCAAAAGCCGATGCCTTTTATTGAACAAAAGCCGGCAATCTAGAAGTGCTTCATTTTCATTTTCATTGTCTCATCTGGAACCACATCGAGGGGGACGGTTTCACAGCCATCAGTTGTACTTTGAGTTATGTAAATTGCGTCCTTTCTATTCTAGTAAATGTATACCGATTGCACGTATCGCCTATCCAAATTGATAAAGCGTGTGTAAAGTCAACTTTGGGATTACAAGTCAAGTGGTATTCACGATTACGTGGGAAAGAAAATAACGTGCCCTCAAGTTAGCACCCCCAAGTGATTTGATTTTTCGTAATTTTTAAAATGGCTTCTTTGGATTACCTTTTCCTTGCGCGGAATGTCTTTGAGAATATTTGTGAAGTTGGGAAGACGGCTAAGCTCGACAAGGTTGAGCCAGGTCATGTCCTGGATCCACTGTCGAGGCTTCGGTTCGACTGCATTCAAGTCCAAAGCTGCCCCTCCTGATGTATGTAATAAAAAATCACATTATTTATTATTTATCACCCTCTAGTTAAAACCCTTTACGTAAAAGTCCATGCAATTATTTTTAAATTTATCTGAATCCGTGCATTTAATTTGACCAATCAGATGAGTGGACTTGACACAACCAATTAAATGACGCGAAATCATCCAGTGTAATAGAAGCGTATTTGCATATATCAAAAGCGTTTAACCTTTTATGAATATTTGGAACTCCTCTGAAGTGATCTTCTTTTGCTGGAGAGCTAATTTTAGTGCTAGCAACAGGGTGAATGTGAATTTGTCCTTCTCGTAAAGCCCACGAGCGATATAACGGAAGACGTCGAGCATGAGATAGTCGGTTATATTCTTTATTCTCTTCTGTGTAGCAGGAGAACGTGGTGATTTCAACATTGAAAGATCGAACCGAGCTAGGAATTGGCGCAGTGAGGTCTGGTACATGACATTCACCATCGACATCTCCACGATGAGGAAATAAAGCACTGAGCCGCAGGTGGCCACTGGCCGGTACTCCTCACGGGCGGTGTTGATTTTTATCTCAGTTTCAGCGGCGATCGATAACTTTGTGCGCACCTCCTCAGCTGTTGCCTTGGTAACACGAAGAGCCTTGATTAATGACTCATCTTCAACTAGACTACCTTCAGTTGTTGTTAGTCGAAGAAGCAGGTTATCTTCGAGATCTTTGACCTTCTGTTTGTTCGTTGTCACCTCTTCCAGGAGACTTGTTCGTTCTGCCTCGAGTTCCTAGACGCAGACGTGGAGTTAAAACATGCCTACTTTGGACAATCTTTGAAATAAAGGATAAAACTCACCTTCTTTTCCGTCATGATAACGATCCCCAGAAGCTGGTCTTCGAGGCCCCTCATGGTGACGGTAAAATCGATGATGGATGTGCGCGCATACACTTCTGGAGAGTAGACAGGGTTGGCCAGTTTCGTTGTCAAGTAGAGCCTGAAGGTGTCTGCGGCGACGTCCACTTCCTTATCACCCACCTGCACCTTGTACAGGCTGCCCACACGGATGAAGTTGCGCTCAAGGACGTTGTCCAGAGCCGGGTCCAGCTCCTCCCCGACATCGGCTATGAGCAGAGGACGGCCTTGAGAGAGAGCGTCTTCGAGGTGGCTGCGGAAGTATTTGTGGTTCAGTGCACTGACCTAGGCAAGCGTATAGGCGTGGCGAATTTTGTGTTAAAGAAGCATTGTGCGCCCGTAACATACAAAAATGCACAACGTATGGGCATGGGATTAACCAGAAAGCCTTATATATCAACTTTAAGTGCTTCCGTGTATGGAAAATCGTGTTAATTTATGCACGTTCTTCCTGTAGACGTCAAGATACCCAGGCATAAACAAATTGACAGCCGGAATCGGAATCGCGACCCATTCCACGGATTTAACAAACGGTGCTGAATGCAATTTTATCGTAGAAAAATGTGCTATAAAGTCGTGGTGATTCGTGTTATTTCCCGCCCCCACCTGTGTGCCATCTACCAGACCCTCATTCGCATTAGGTGAAGGCACGAATCAAGTCACCAATGGACTTTGAATGGCTCAAGCAGTCGAGGTATTACTATAACGAGGAGAGGGAAGAGTATGTGGTGAGGATAGCCGACATCAACTTTGTGTATCAGAATGACCATCCAGCCATGTGTATTTTTACTAGTTCACTCAAACTTTATTGTTCAGCAACCTTCATTAGTGATGCGCGCCTGCACTCCAACAAAACACAACTAGGTTGAGCCGTCTAACAAACGGTTGCTTGATGTTTCCACGTATATGCGCAGCGTATTCGGGGCCAAAATTTACGTGGTGTTCCCGGTGTGGTTTGAGACTACGTCTTGGGGCCTACAAAAAGTCGAGTCACCGTATTTGGCAAACATATCATTCCCTGTTGTCCATGTGGCAAATTTTTGGCGAAGTTACTAAAGATGACATGGTGTGCAAACGCAATACGAACATACCATGAGGTCTGATCCAGACTCTTTTTTAGTGATCCACGCCTTGCCTTGACCTTGTGGATCGATAAGTAGAGGGAACCGAGTGGCCTTTGTCACGATCAGTCCGTTTTGAATCGATAAGTCATCACCAGGCAGGCCTTGGAGGCTCCATACACCAAGAATTGCGTTGTCAACAAGCATATTCACTATATTCAAGCCCTAGGATTAGCAAAACATAAGTGATATTATTCCTGAAGCAAGTCTGAATGCTAAAAAGATACGTAAATGTAGGACCCACCGGTGATCTTGGTATACTCGTTCGCGATAACTCATTGTGCCAACCCTGATTAAGCAAGTTGCGGAATTCTTGGTTGAAGGGACCGGCATAGGAAAGGAAGGCTGTAGCCAGAAGGACATCGCCAACCAAGTGTTCGATTTGTGTGTGGAATTGGGCCTCGGCCTCCGTCCAACGCGCCTTCTCACCTGAAATGCATGATTCGATTTTACTCGACAGAAGAACATTCATCGAAATATCTTCTCGAAAGCCCACCAGAGAGCCCCTCAATGAGGGCCGTAGCGTTTGCCATTTTCCGTCTGCAGGCGTCAGCGTCATCCACAAGACGTCGTTTTTCATCCATCGCTTTGTCGTATTCGGCCTGAACACGATCTAACTCGGCCTGCTTCTCGTCCAGCTGTGCCTGAGCACTGTTCAGTTCGGACATTGCTTGAGCCAGTCGGGTTTCTTGAATCACAAGGTTGTTCTAAAAAGCAATTTAAGTGTTTCATTAATGCAATTTGGTACGAGGATTCCAAATCGAGTCACCTCATTGGCTGGGGATCCAGAACCTGATTAGACGTTTTAATTGATTCCTAGGGCAAGCATGCATCTTTCGGAAAATATGTCGAAATATTTGCAATTGCATAACCCTACTAATTAGGCATTACGACATGCAAAGTTACACATGTATTTCGGTGAATCGCATGAGCAATCAACAGATTCTGTAATGCAATGAGAACCAATGCTGCTAGTGATGGTGAAAGCAAAACACTGCACTGGATGCTCAGCAGTCGCAGTGTGGTCAACCATAGTAGCCCCAAATTCCTACTCACTTTCAATGGTAGAACCTCCTTGTTGACAGCGAAGAATGCCGCCATAGCTGTGGTCCAGGAGCAGAGACCAGCCACGTCACCGCACACGCGTTTGGCCTGATCGAGGTTAAAGTCCTCCATCTGGAAGTATGGTTCCATCAGTTCAACGGTTTCGTCAGTGATAGTGTCCTGAAGCCAAAACAGTCCAATAAACGCTACATAGTAATGGAAAACAGCTGCATGAGTCAGAAATAACCGCCAACTAGTTCCTGAATGAAGAGAAGTGTCAGGCTGATTTCGATTTCGCGCAAGGCCAATGATAGCCGTGATGTGATCCGTAGAAAGTGACTTCATTCAAGTTGACAAGAAGAATTATCTTGCATTTTATTCCCGCAAGAACGTTTAAATGAAACAATTCCCCCGGATAGAATATGGGTCTGAGCTGTTTCTTGGGTAAAGAAACTCGACATCCAGAAAAATACGCGACATCTGAGCAAGAATATCATCTTAAAACCCAAATCGATAAGTTACACGTCACAGCGCCGGAGACCTGTGGACCACACATACCTTGGGAAAGTTGAGTAAATTTGAGAGGAAACTGGTATTCCCCATTAACTTGAGGGCTTCAGTCCATGAAGGCTTCGGGCAGGGCTTTTCTGGATCAGGCGTGACCTGATCGAGTGGTTTGCGGAAGAGGATCAACACGCAGTCCATGATGCGCATGATGAGGTGTGGTGGTCTGCCTAGTTTTCTGACTAAAGTTCACAAAGCATGACGTATTAAATCAAAATGTCCAGTCACTTTCGAGGACATGCACTTCACTTCAATTGCTCATCTTTTATTGTGTGAAGTCAGATGCAAAGCAGAATGGTGACGCTACCACAAAGTTCAATTAACCGTCTTCCACGAGTGGTGCAAGGACCCCGACTGGTAATACCATAGTGACGAGCAGCCAAGAGTCTGATTTGGCACCTCGAGTGGTGCGTAGTGCTGCGATCTTAAAGCATTCTCGGTTTTGACGTCTATATCAGATTCCTTGCGTTACATGTAATGCGTTGCAGCTGTCCGTATTCGCTAGCCTAATGTGTGTGACTTTGTACCCATGACGTATCCCAAAGGTCTGTTGTTGCTCGGTTTGTAGTGAATTGTCATGTAATTAGTATCCACGACCCCTCGAAGCCACATGAACACCTTACAAACACACGCAACCGATTAATAAACGGCAGTTAGCACCTCTGAGGGTGGACAGGAAGCTTCAAGACTCTGCCTGCCACATTTCAGACTTTGCACATGCTGTGTTTCATACGAAGAAACCACCAGCCATCGCTCTTGTCAGTAGTTGGCACGACCTGTGGTACAATAGAAAAACGGTACATGTGGCGGGTGTCGGAGTGATTTCGGTTGTATCGAGCCATACTACCATTACCTCGGGATTCAATTGACAGACCTTCATCGCATAGTCATGCTCTCCTGCTCTCAACCTAACAACTCTGGTTGAAACGTGAAAGTCAGGGAGTCGAAACCCGGGCGGCGGGACTTGCACGTACCCGTAGCGATGTGCGCTGGCTTTATGGTCTTCAGTGCGGCCTCTGCTTCCTCCAAAGCCGGTCTAGCGGCCTCCAGGCGCTGTTCGGCAACCTTCTTGTCCTTTCCAATGGCCTCCACCAGGCTCTCGGCGCGGTCCTTTACAGCTTGCACCTGCTCCTTCACTTTCTCTGCCGCACTCGCCTGCTGCTTAACACGCGATAGCACCTCCTCTGATCTTTGATTGGCCAGTGCAAGTTCCTTCTCCATAACAACCAACCCAGCCGACAGCTCATTCACCGCCAAGGTTGCCTCATTCAGTCTTTCTAAACCAGTGGACATTCGACCGGCGAGAGCTGCAATTTCGCTTTGCTTCGTAGAGTACGTCTGCTTGTAGCTTGAGATGAAGGAGAGGTAGGATTTGGGAGTGACGTAGGTTTGCCGACGCATTCGTTGGAAGTAGTCATTGCAGGCAGTTGAAACGCGTTCCTGTAGAGGAAACAAAGCTTTGTGAATGCCCTCAGACCAATCAAACAGTGATCCTGAGTGAAATTAAGGCTGTTATGGGGATCTACTCTAGTCCTTCATCATATTTTTAAAGAGATTGACTGTGAAGACACCAACAGTTTTTCAAATGTGTTGAATTCGTATTCACGATTAACGTAACAAGTTATAGACCAAAGTACTTGTCTCCTGGTGACGTTCCAATCGATCATGGTGAGGCAGATGAACAGCAAAGCTGCAATTACATTGGCACGCCTACGAATGCTAGATTTTCAGCATCAGCAAATTTAATCCCAAACCAGTTTTCGTGAAGCCGAAGGCACGATTTGCACTAACCAATTATAACTGGACAATGGTGTTAACCAGATGGTTTCAGGCATGTCACACAAGCTTGTAGACGACAATAACTGATTACCGCTTGGTAAATGACTGTGGCATTAAGTTGCATCAACTACCGGAATCTTACGTGGAATGTCCCCATTATCTCTACTAGGGCTTGCTTGATGACCGGTTCATCAGAGCTGCCGGCAATAGCGAATCCCTCTAGGAAGTGTTCAGACACCGCAACAAGAGCCTCTCGAGGCCAAGGCTGGAACCAGTCCATGGTACACCCCGATATTAATCCAGTAAAGCGCAGACTTCGTGTGCGGAACTTCTGACCAATGGGCGAGAAACAGAGGCAAACGTGGAGATTGCGAGTCACGCGGCCCATGTAGTAGTCGAGTAAGTTTTCATTGGTCGGAGGTGTGCGCGGACACTCGCGTTTCATTGGTTGCACGAGGTCAGCGAGCATTTCATCCATTTCATCGCGTGCAAACAGGCCGGCTACCTCGCCGGAGGCGAGTATATTGTTCAGAGGTTCAAGAAAAGCCTCTTCTTTCACCTCGTTCTCAGTAAAGATGAAGGTAATCCCCTTATCCTCATGGCCGGCAGTACGATAGAGTATCTTCAAGTCATCCATCAAATTCGATACATGGTAGGTTCTGCGTGATGAGAAGAATAATCCGCATAAAGTCGGCCGTCGAGACATGTGAAGGTGTTGCCCGTTAAGAATGCTTTACCTTGTTAGTGTTATCTGGAATGCCTTGTAATCCATAATGAAAGAAGCTAGCCTAGTCAGTGACTGTTTCCCGGATCCGCCAACACCAACTAGCAGTGCGTGGCCTCGAGGCAGACGAAGAATCCGACTTATTTTCACCAGATGGATCATCGCGTCGGTAAAGAACACGAGGTCGAGCTTGGTACCGCGTATCGTCTCATTGTACAATGTCTAGGGTGAAATAGAAACACTCGTACTGAAGGGTCGTCTTTATGGACCAAAGCATCGTGACACCTATTCACCTGGAAGTGCTTGAGTCGACTTGCTAGGGCCTCAAGTCCATTCACAGGCTCATAGATCCTTGGGGTGTCAAAGATGAAGTCATCCGGCTCATCACCCGTTGCCTCTGGCGGGTCACGCAAAAAGTCAACGAAGAAGGGTTCGGTGGAGTGGAGTTCCGAGGCTAACTCAGAACCTGCAACCTCTTCACCTAAAATTAGGTAACACAGTGCAAAGGAGTTTAGCATTCACCTCCTACCTCACCTGTTTGTTTAAGTGTATTCGCAAACCACTTCTTCTCATCGAAATCGATAAATCGGTCTGCGATTACTCTGGTTGTCTCGTGCCACCACAGGGCAAGAAGCTGTTTGGGGGAACCGATAACCTCTGCCTCTGCACGAAGCATTCCCTGCCAGATTCGGCTGATGTCACGCAAATCGAAGACATAGTGGAACTTGGCTGGTGTCGGCAGCATCTTAACTTTGACACGTTGCCATAGGATACGTGTTGTCGATACCAATTTGATAGCAAATTCACGAACTTCAGGTGAAAAACCTCGTTCTTCGCAAAAGTATCCCTCAGCGAGGCAGCTGAATATGCGGTCCATTGAGGCGTTACTGGGTAAGGTGCAGTTGAAGATGGAGAACTGGCGTTTGAGTCGTTGAGGGATGTCATTGCGACCTCCCCCGGGATGGATCATGGCTGAGATCACCTATTTTTGAGTGAAACGGTAAAATATTTACAAGGGTCTAGCAGTAGATGAATTGTTACAAGCTCGGGTATAGTGTAGCGTGCACTATATTACAAAACTGCTCGTTGACATGTTTTAGCAGCTGAGAGCAAACAGAAAGCAGGTGGCGCAAACAACAATACATTTGGTGATCCCGTGATGTACAGTGATTTCCTTTGAAGTTCAGATAATACTGTTTGGTTCTTTGTTTTTAAACGCCTGTTCATTTTCTCATTCAGATTATCACTTCCCAGTTCCCCGTGTATTCCCATGCTGTTATACTGCTATCGGCTGCCGTTATTCCTAAAGATATGGACTTGATCGATCTGATATAATCTGAGAATCCCTACGAAAAGCTGATGAATGCTGTTGACACACAAACGTCCTGCTCGAACAAGGCGCCAAGTTGTTATGGGAACCAATGAAGGGAAAGAGAGACTCATGTACCAGTCCAATATAAAGCTACCAGGTTTGTTACCAGATTTTGGCCAATCAAAATGGTGACAACATGAGCTGTCGATTTCCACACGTGTGCGCTAAATAACTTGGGGCAGAAGGATTGGTTCGTGATGAATATAGGATGTAGATTTCAGTGAATACGGCACCCAGTTTGTGCACGATTTTAATATGCTGATGGAGCTGCTATCCCAAATTTACCGGAATTAGCAATGAGTACCAACATTACAAAACCGAAATTAGTGCCTTGCCAACATTGCTCAAAACTCCACAAGTGGGACCAGAACCGTTACCTGGATATCAGTAATGTTGGTAAAATCTCCAGGCTTGTCGAGGTTATAGAATCCGTTCATCTCCATCATCTGTCGGGTGATTTCGTTGGTTACCTGATCGCCCCACTCGTTGATCACGGGCATGTTGATGTCGTCGATGAAGATTGTGAGCCTTTTGCCCGCCGGCGGTCCGTAAGTTGAGCCCACGCGTTTCTCCACAAAACTCTCCACGGTGCGCTGGAACATGTTGGGTGTCGTCGCGTACGAGAAATTGACCGACTTGACCATGTGGGTTTCCGGGTTGTTTCTACTGCAGTAGCCCTTCACCATCACGGTTTTTGCGCTTCCCTGAAGGTGTTTTAGGAAACAAATTCGAACCCACGTGTGGTACCTTAACAAGAGCTATTCTCCTCTACCAACATATATGGCACCTAAATTTTTTGATTTCAGTTGTTCCGAATTGCGTTTAATTTATTGGGCTTAGAATTTGCATTCGCGACTGCACACAAATTGACAAACTACAACGCAGTATTGAATCAATTCCTATTGGTTTACTCTGACCCAATAAAACCAACCTTTACGCCTACTTCAGGATTTGATTAGTTTTCAACACTGGGATTTTAGTGGTGGGTACGCGTTGTTGACGAAGCGCAGTATTCGTGACTTCTAACCGATGCCCGTCAATAAACTTCACCGGACAAAAGGGTTTTTTAGCTCACCTGAACACCAATAAGTAGAACAGGCTTTGACTGCTTCGCAATGGTGTGTATCAAGGACTCGGTGCGTGTGTTGTCTACGTTGGGGATGAGAAGTTTTGTGAAGTCGGGGGTGCGATCGTGTGGGTAGGAGTAGTCAGCGACCCGAGTGCTCCAGTGCTTCCATTCGCCGTCGATATCGACAAAAAATTCAAACATTGTATCCCCGTCTTCAGTCTTCTTGATTTTCGGTAAGGGGAGATCCGAGTGATTCGTCCTGAGGTGGGTCTCGAGTCTTCTTCGATCGTCCAATTCCAGCGCAGCTCCAAGCGACCACATCGCCGCGAAGATGACCAGTTTCGTGAAGAAGTCTTCAGGAAGATCTTTCTCATCTCGACCTTCCAATTCCCCTTCCAGCAGATCAATAAGCTGCTTAATGTAATTGCATTCAAGAAGCTGAAAGCAACAGGGAGGAAGAGGAATTCACAAAATCAGCACCATCGTTAAGGGTCTGCCACCAATGTAAAGTCAACTTACCTCAATTTTCGCGCTCAAATTTTCAATTATATAATGGTAGGCACTGTCGAAGAACTTCTGCAGCACACTCATTACCATCTCTTTAGTCTTTACCGATTTTCGGAGCAGCCATGCTGAAAACAAACAATTCAACTATTTTAAAGTAACAGAACTGAACGAAATTAACAGAAAAATATTCACAAATGGAAGTCTGTGCCTGCAGATTCAGAGACTGTAAGCCTAGATAAACAAAGAACCTGCGAAAAGATCGAGAATAGACGTTTGTAAATGTCGCATCTAACTTTGGGAGATTGCCTGAATTGCGCCATTTAAACAATAAATAATGCACATTTTTATAAGTTGAATTTGTCAGGGGTGTTAATTCCAAGAACGATAAGACGCTCACCTTGAATAATGGGTTTCCAGTCAAGAATGGAGCTCGACATATAGACCATGCCATTCCTAGACACTGTGGCTGGGGATGCATTGTCGATATTATGAACTTCGAAGACAATTTTTGCATTCGGTGCCATTGGGATGCGATCCCCATTGGCCAGCGTGAGAGTCTTATTGTCATCGAGGACTGAGTTAAGATTTTCAATCCATATTGCGTCCACAGGCCCGTCCAGCACAATCCAGCAGTGCTCGGTCGCCTTCATTCGCGTCGTTCGGCGCCACAGGGTGGAGAAGATGCCGTCGGTCCAGTCATTTGTGGCGACGTCTAGACGACCGAACATCTGGGGAGCGGTGATGGCTTTGGGGTTCATGCGCACCTCGCGATATGGCTCGCCGGATTCCGCAGTCATGGCTGCCAGGAGGCTGCTGATACAGCAGGTCTTTCCTGAGCCGGATGGTCCTAGAGCCATGAAGCCATGACGCACGCGCTGCGTTTCGTACATCTGGATCAGTTTCAGCACCCACGGAGGGTGGAAGATGAGTTTCTGCTCCTCAACCTGCAAAGAGAAAGCACTCGAAAGCGTGTAGTGATTTGTGTTGATCACATCCATTAATCCAGTTGTGGCATATTCAGACCCGGCGATCTTCCCCTTTTACGGCGTCCCCATCGATCATGCAAAACCGTTAGTTCGTACCCTCCCCCTCTACTCATTCCACTCATCTGGTCATTCAGTTATTTGTATTTTTCCAAGTTAACCTAGATTGCATTTATCAACAACTCCAATATTCAGGCATGACCTTTCTTGAACAGGTGCGACGCACAAATGGGCTGAGTGATCTAGAAAACTGTTGTCCCGCCATTTCTAATGTAGTAGATCTTCCCGGGTATTCATAAAGAGTGATCAGGCAAATACAACTTGGTGGTTCCGTTGGGGTTCAAGACCACACATCGAGGCCTTCGACAAACTTAATTGAAATCTTGATGCCCTAATTATCGACGGTAAATCGAACATGTCCAACTTTAATACGTTTTTAGTTAAACAAAGATTATACTTTAAGGAATGCCGATACCCGGTGTTTACTGGCCGCTGGCTTGCGAATGTCTCTACTTATGGTCACATTAATAACCTGTTAAATCACTGCCGCACACTGGAAGAAGCTGGATTTCCCTCACGTCTCAGTCTAGGTGCTTGGGAAAACTTAACACACCTTTTTACAAGTTATAAAGGACTTCTTATGTGGATTTGACGAGTTTCGGAGAAGGCATCATCCAACTGTACTAACCCAAAGCCTGTGCTCAACAAGGATGTTCAAAATACCACACAAATCGTGAGCAAGAATCCTCGTCTAGAAATCAAGAACTTTTCCCATACCAGAAAATATTTTACTTGGTTTCTCGACCTCTGTACCATTACCACGATGGTCAAGAATGCCGAGGAAGCCTGCTTGACACATCGCACGCCTACCTGTTTCTTGATGGCTGCTTCCATGCTGGGGTAGCCCTGTTTGTCGAGACGCATTCCAGGGAAGAGGTCATCGATGAGGGACATGAAGAGCGGCTCATCCTCGTCAACCAGCTTGCTCACGTTCATGTCGCGCAGCACTCGCATCACACAAGTCTCCTCTGGTTGGTCCGTGTGAGCTCGCTTGAAAGCGCCCAGAGTCCGGAGCACCGAGAGGATGTTTCTCAGGCCGAAATCATAGTGAACCTATTCATATGAACAAAATACCAACACCAAAGTGATTTGGTGACCTCGACACACTAAATTGACTGGCTGGTGGGAGTAACCAATCAGGCACTGTGATGCATAAAATTTGGTTACAAAGGCAAATTAGTTTCATAAATTGTCTGTGTATTCAAAGCACACAGCCCAATCACACATTAACAAATTCATGCTGCAGCAGTCTGACTATTCAGCAGGACTAACCTGTTTAGAAAGTTGCTCCTCGCACAGCTTGTAAAGCGTGTAGAATTTTGCTGCAAGCTCCACGTTCTTGAGGAAGCCACAAGCGGCCAACTTGACGCGGATGATGATCTGCCTGTCAGGCACCATCATCGAGACAGTCCGAAAGTTGATTTTCAAATTTTCTGGCAACTCTTGACGACCCGCGTAGCCGGGGTTCTGTAAAAAAACAAGAAAGCTCGACACTGCAGTTAATACTTAAGAGTATTTTCATGAAATCGTCTTCACTTTCTGACGGCACCACGAACTGGCCTAATAAGTCTGCATCGTAATGTTTCCCGAAATGGTGGAAGCTGCGGACCCTACCATAGTGAGGAAGATGCCGAACTCGGGATTCATGTCGACGACGTCGCCATCGGTGAATGTGAACTGACTCTTCCGCTCCTTCTTGCACGCGAGCACGATGGCGATCTGTTGGGCGGCGACTGAGAGGACGGGTAAGTCGATGCGATTGAACTCGTCAAAACAGCCCCACGCGCCAGACTGTGCCAGGCCTTTGTAGATGCGACCCAGTCCGCGGTAGTCCATCTGGTCGGAGCAATTGAAAACCACCACGTACTTGCCCAGACAACGACCCATGTCCTTCACCGTCTCTGTCTTTCCAGTGCCAGCGGGACCTGCTGGCGCGCCGCCCATAGACATTCCAAGAGCCTGTGCCAGTGTTATGTAGCACCTTGGGCAGAGGAAGACCAGCAGTGAGGTCAAAACTTATGTGGAGCGAATACCAGGCTCGATTTCGTGCACTGATGAATTTGGCCAATCGTAAAACTAACCTAAGCAGTGCAATTTTCTAATGTTATGACTGATACCGCTGCGGCACTTTTTCAGGTTCAGTTATGAGTAAACTTTTTAAAATTATGCTTATTTGCAATCGACCAGCAATCGACAAATTGCTTGCTCCACAGGATTTCCAACTATTTATGCATCCGTGACCTGGGTTTAAAAGCAGCATTCATTTCTATCAAAACATTTAGTGACAGTCCAATTAGAATTCCAGAGGTCAGTTCAAGATCCCATTAAACCACTAATTTCAAATTTAGGAATTACACAACTCAGCGAAACAAAGGAGGAAAATAGATGTCGCAGATATGTACATTTCGCTCATTAAAAAAAGGAAACTATTGCACCGGTTTGAATTTATGCAACAAATGCTCTGAAAAATAAAGTTTGTTAAAAGGTAGCACCAACCTGTCTGTGAGGGGGGTGATTACCAGTCGGTCAGTGCAGCCGAGAAATTCGTTCTGATACACAAAGTTGATGTCGGTTATCCTCACCACATACTCTTCCCTCTCCTCGTTGTAGTAATACCGCGACTGCTTGAGCCATTCAAAGTCCATTGGTGACTTGATTCTTGCCTTCACCTAATGAGAAGGAGGATCTGGTAGATGGCATCAATTTCTGGCCAGAATTGCGCCCATGTGCATCGAAACGGTGCACATGTGTAGTCAATATGGGTTCCAAGGATATTTAAAGCCAGTCAGAGCACAATGGTGAAAATACGCTGAATCTGAACTCGATGCGTCGCGTGAGAGTCGCGGTTTGTGAAAGCTGTGGAATGAGTCGCTAATCTACACCATGATCGTCAAATAGTATAGTCTCAGCTGTACTACGGTGGAATCTGACCGGCTCAATAAGATTGGGGAACGACGGAGACAGCGCATTATGCGATGAGTCAACTCACTTGTGATGCTTTGCCCGTACGTTCATGTAAGGTCATGTGTACTTTTAAGTCATAACAGTGCATGAGGAAGGGATATGTATTCTCCAACGTGTCCGCAGAAAGACGGAGGCCACTGGAACAGTGTGTGTTGGTGCGTGCGTCAACAGAGCCAGTGGACGTGAATTAGCACGATTCACCTCGATCTAATGACGAATTTTTGTGAGAATTTGCACTGGCAGCCCAGGGTATTCGTCGCGAATCCAAGTTCTCTCGCGACAATATCTGACTTCAACCCAAAACATCAACCAATTGCATCCATCTTGCTTGAATTAACCACAGCGTGTAAAACTTACAAGTCCGTCAAATATGTCCTTCTGATGAACGTGGATGGTGATGAGGGTCTCGTACTTGGTCCTTTCAATGGAGGTCAGCTCGCGAGTGGTGACTCCAATCAGCTGATTCAGGATCTTCAGGAAGCGCTGATTGGCCTCACGCATTGCTGTCTTGTCGACGCGGGCGTTGCTAAGGGCCTCTTCGGCGTCTCGTGTCCACAGCAGCTGGATACCGAGGAGACCGACTTGAGCGATGAAGGTTTCCTCGAATTTGAGCAAATCGAACGTCTCCTCGTCAATCAGTGCACAGTAGGCCTCGTAAATGACTTGTTTCAGGGAGTCCTGTGACGCCTTCAGCAGGTTGCCCAGCCAGACTTCCACGTGGCCCTACAACGAGAGCAATCAGATCTTGTGAAATAGCCAAGTCTATTGCTACAAATATCTGCCGCGGCACCTATGCTCCAGGTTCTTTGAAACAATACTGTGTAGTATTATGCTCAATTAGTACCATGGATTGGTTGTATTTGATCATGAATCAATGCAGGTGCTTTTAACTAAGGGGTACGTCCGGTACTGTAGGTCCCTTCAATTGCATCCTTTAAACAAAAATATTACGTAAATAATTAAGGTAGCATGGAAAACGATAAATCTGTCAGACGAATGGTTTCCGGTTATTCCCCCACATTAAGCACTGTAACCCCATGTTAAGAGTCCAATAGCTTTAAAGATTTAATGAAACAAGTAGCATAAAATTGTTCGAATGAGATAAGAAATTATTTCCATGCCAAAACGTGTTTTTTTCTTTTTGTTTATCATTATTGTGATTGGTATTGCAGACGATAAAGAACCTAACTTACCTGGGCCATCACGGGTAGTTCTAATTCGATGGATTCCTCTTGGGCCGAATTAACAGCCAAAATCCGATCGTAGGTTTTTTCGTCAAATGTCACCGACTTGATACTGTCGAACACGGAGAGGAGGTGAGCCTGGATTGTGTGGGAGTCGGACGCCTGGCCGAGAATTTCCAAGAGCGCCGGGTCCGAAACGAAGAAGAAGCGGGGAAAGACGAGGCGCTTCTTCTCCAGATATCCCGTAAGCGACTTCTGGCAAAGTTCCAGTTGCTCCAGCAAATGCGGCAACAGTTGGGCCAGCGTGTCGTCCGAGGTACAACAGGTGACGATATTGGGCGTCTCGTGGGCTCTCTGGATAATCCGCTGCCAGGCCTTGTCGATGCTCGCGAAGCGTTTCGCCTCCTAAACCACACAGAAAATGGCAGGCTGCATCAACACACGGCAAATCTGGGTGTCAGTGAGATCCAGTGTGACAGAAACACCGGGCCTTGCCAACTTACCTGCGGCAACTGCTTGGCGATGTCGCCACCGACGAAAACGGCCTCAAGGTAAACCCACAGGTTCTGCACTTGGAAGAGATTTTCGATGATTTCATTGGTGCTGTTCAGCTTCTTCACCCACTCCTGGATCCTCGGCTTGAAGGCTGTGTTGTAGCGGTTGGAAAGGAGTGAGCCCAACACCATCAACGAGTCCTCCAGCAGGGCTATCGCTTCGATGGCGACATCGCCCTTAAAAAGAAGGTCTCCACGATTTTTGAACGCGGAAAACTGAAAGTCTTGAGCGGTCCACTCATTGACTATCAACTTCAGCTTCGCCTCGATATCACGCTCTTTCACAGCTGACGTGCAGATGTCCTGTTGCAAAATAGAAACAAACTCAACAATCTATTGTGCTGTAAAAGAGACGAGTCGCCTGTTAATGGTCACTGGGTTGAAGCAGACACCGTTAATTTGATACGTTGGGAGCAACTTGCTCGTAGATGGTGACCAATTCGGAATCACAATTCATTCTGGTGGTCGAAACTGAACCGTGGAAATTGCTTAAAATACCTTTGACTCATCTGCAAAAGATGAAAACGAAACTGGCAGAAGAATGATGGATCATGTCCAAAGCCGAATTACAGCAACAAATGATTCGCCGACAATTTCGCGGGATTTCAAAGGTGGTGTATATTTTGGGTTGCTTCCAAGCAACCAAGCGTTTAGCACATGTTGAAATTTAATTGGAAAGCAATTCAAGAAAAATGGAACCCTGTTCAGATTATTAATTATTCCAGCAAGATGGCAAAATGTTGCTGATCAATGTAGAAAATAAACAATTGCGTACAGTTCATTCGTCTTGTTTAAAATGGCGTTTGAATTTCCACAACGAAATAAACATGTTTCTCATGCTTATATTAAACGTCGAGTCGTTAGTATGATTTGAAAAACCTATAGTTTAGCTAGGAGAATGCAGAAAGAAACGTTGCTTGTAAGACGCATCGAAAACTCATGGCCACGTGTTACGTCAACTCACCTCAATGTCTTCTTTGCATTTTAATAGAGGCAACTCCATCAGATTGCGTAACAGGAAGCCGTCGGCGTAGACGTCAATCTGGCTACCAATGACACCCTCAATTCTCTTCCAGTGACGTGGCAACATCGCCTTATTCGCCATCATCTCGAGAAGTGGACAGGTCTCGTTGAAGTCGTCGATGGTTTTCTGCAATGCGGCATAGGCTGGCCATTCTTTCAATGCTTTCGGCAATTTTCTGCACCTAAAACGCAAGCCCTTACTCACAGTTTCTTGAAATCGTTAAGTGACATGGGGGAAATCGGTCAGAATTTAAACAAACGTGGTCGCAGGCTACAAAACATGATATTTACCTTATCTGGAAGTCAAGCAATTGTTGATTGATCAATTCAATATCGATTTCCGTCCATGGAATGCTGTAATATCCTCCAACTGTGTCCAGGACGGCGTTGTAAAGTTGGTAGAGCTTCTGTAGAAGAGCCAGTTCCTTGCGTATGGCATGCAACTCGGGGTACTCGCGAACAGGCAGACCAAACAGGCGTTCCCCATCCGAGTAGGTCTCATAGCTAGCCCAGAGGTCGTCGAAGCGTGCCTGAAACAGTGCCAAGCGGTCGGAGGCCTCACGTGGATCTATATTCTGTTCCATGGGTCCTCTAAAGGAGAACAAGGCACGCTTTCATTAATCAGAATACATGGATAACTCAAACTGCACAGATTTAAGTCACCTCGTCTTGTACTCCACAGTGAACTGTTCGTTTTCTCGCTCAAAAGTCTCCACGCCAGCATCCAACTCAGCTCTGAAAACAGGTTGGATAGAAATCAGGTGACTGCTCGCTACCGCAGCCTGTGCCCTCAACTTGTGCAGAGTGTAGGCTAGACTATCCACCTTTTCAGCGTTTCCATCATTGAAGTGGATATCATATCGCGCCAACAACGCATAAGCCTTGATTAGCGGATCGATTGTGAACACGTCTAGGGAGCTCTCGGATTGCCTGAATTCGTCCAGCGCTGCCATCTGGGCGCGGACGTCGTCTAGGTCCTTTATTTGACACTGGAGACGTTTCAGGAGACTCTCCATTATCTCGAGAGCCGAGGTCATCTCGACGGCGCACTGTGTGTTCAGTGCACAGCCGATGGCATAACGCCAAGCGCGACATTCAGATACGAGACCTTCTTTTAGTCGCTGAGTGTTGAATGTGAGTGAACCCATGTGGTAGGCTGGGGGAAGGTCATTAGCCGCATCCTCGAAGGTCTGAAGTGAACATACAAGTACGTTGTTTTCTAAGTGCTTTCTTTTCAAGTACATTTATCGTGTATCCTCAACGGATCCTATGACATTTAAGTAGTAATCAAAATAAGCGTGATGCAGCCTACAAGAAAACGAAAGTGAATTAAACAAGTTGAAAGTACTCCTGCTTGATTACACCAAGTACTTAAAAAAATTAATTGAAGCAAAGCCAAGCGGAAGCCAGAGTATAATTATCAAATCCGAAAATTGGGGATTTCGTGAATGAAAGTACCTTGTAACGCTGCATTTCTTCGCTGATTTCAGATATAGAAGGCTTGGAACTGATGAATTCATTTGCTGCACTTTTTGGATCCTGAAATTTCAAAAAAATTGCGCGATAATGAGGCAACCCCTATGAAAGATGGCAAAATATTTCATTTCCAAATATGAAGGCATTCGGAGCTGTGTACGTGTCACTCACCACGAACTTCCATAGTTCGGAAAATTTGGAAGTAAGTTGATTGAGCAGTCGGGAGACGTCCTCGGAGAAATACGTGATTGAGGAGTTCAAGTCGGCCACAAGTTTCACGACATTCTTGTTGTCCATCACGACTCTTCGAAGAGGCTGTAGCAGGTTAGCTGGAAACGACTGGAAGGCGTTCGCAGAAAGGTCCTGGCCATCATTCAGGCGCTCGCTAGTATGGACGCTTTGAGTTTTCTAAAAAGGTGAAATGCATGCACAATTCGTTGAGGCTTCCAGTTGGTCTGCCAATCTCGAGGTTCGACGACTTAATTAACTGAACATCACTCGCATTCCATTCTGCTCCCCACCGTATAATGAAGACGGTCTGTACTAATATTCATACATTGTAAATACATTTAGAAATTGACCAACGCAATATATCCATCAAGTCCTGCCGGAAGGTATCGAGGTCTTTGGAAATCAGTGATAAAAGGAAGCTCTTTTAGAGGCTGACATTCAGTCTCTTGGCCAAGTGCAACAGCCAAGGACGATACCAGACAATATTTTAGTATTATGAAAGTGGGTCAGGCTTTAGGAGCCTATCACAGTTAGGCACAGCGAGCTAATCAATAATTAGGCTTAAAGGGTTAATCAAAGATCCTGTCTCGAGTGGTCTCTCACCTTAAATGCTGCCTGACATTCCTTGACGTGCTGCCAGGGCTTGATGCCATCGGACGCCCGAAGGATCAGATTAATGGCTCTGTTGAAGCCTGTTTGCAATTCGTTCAAGGAGGGCTTGCAAACGATGTTGGGGATCTCTAGGGCCAAATCCAAGACGAAAAAGGCCTCCGCTTCTGCTGCCGTCGGCCCAGGTTCCAGCGACTTCGTCATGGCGACATCCACCTGAAGGCGGGATCGAAGCTCGCCTAGAACTCCCACTAAACCTGCAAGGTACGGTTCTTTATTTTATAAATCGAGCTTGGGATATACTATTTAGACACGAAGTGCCATGGACCTGATGGGATGCATTGACCCAGGATTGGGTTGTTCGCATTTAACTAGTCGACATCAGCACCTACCTGCAATCACAGCTTCAATATTGCGAAGGCTGAATCGGTTAAGTAAGTCAAAGAAAAGGCAATTGAGGCAGTTCGTGCACCGCTGACCCTTTCGGGTGGGTTTGGAGCAAGCAAAGAGTGAGCCTTTCGACACAACTGCCTTGAATTCGTCGTTCAGGTTTTTCAGTAAAACCTCGACAAGATCATTTACAGCCGTCTCGACAAGTTGGCTTTTCCTGGATAGGCAACAGAAACGTTTGGCGTGAGGCAAGTGATTAAATGCATACGATAATCAAAAAACACACATACTTATTTAACTCGGAAGTGGTTGACGACAATGAAGCCTCGAGTGTTTTAGTGAACTGGTCAATAGAAATGGCGCTGGAGGTTTGCAGTTCAAAAAGAGGCATTGTAGAAACTTCTTCCAGCAATAATTCAATTCGATATTCGAGTATATCATTGGTGCTCTTAACAATAAACTCAAAATTATCCAGAGCGGAGGTCACCTTCTTGATAACTGAAAAAGAGAAACAGCGCTTAAAACTACGTTTATATTCACAGTAACATTGTGGCAAAAATACTTACAGTCATCGAACTGCAGCGAATTCCACGTAAAATTGGCTAAGCCAGGAGAGAAAGCCTCTGCCACTGCTTGCAAAAACGGTTGGAATATTGGCAAGAGCTGTTGCGCTATGGAATGCTGCAGTACGTCAAAGCGCTGTAGCTGTTCTTTCAGGCTGAATGTAACAAACACAGTAAACTAGCCGGCGTGTTGACAGTGACGGTGGTTGTGGATGAAAGAGCTCACCGATCCGTGTGGGCTTTCAGCTGCTTTTCTTGAATGAGCAGATCCGTAGCCACCTTGGGCACGCTGAGACCGACCTTGAGGATGGACTGGGCCTCCTTGATGATGGTCAGCGATGCCATGACGAGGTTCAGTGAAAACTGGCCAGTCTCAGGAGCTCGCGTGAGCAGTGGCGTCTCCAGCAGACCAGCTGACCAATCCTCCACATTTTTGCACCACTTTCGATACACAGCCGCCTCATACTTTACCAAAACTGTGGCCAACTGGTTGAACCTCTTCACTTGTTTCTGTCCTTCCGCTGTCTAGAATTTGGGAACGTCAAAGTGCTAAAGACGGATCAATATTTTGTAGATGGAATTTTTTGTTTTTTTTTATCAGTATATTCAAACTTTTCGAACATTGAAAAATTCAAAAATTGCATGTATAAATCTTTACGAGTCGACTCAACGGCTAAACAAGATATTTACGCAATCTAATCGATTCAAGTTAGTGATAGATGGGTTGATTGCCGACACATCTTGTCGACAACATCATCAGGAGAACATATTTTCACACGTTAGGGTGTGCTTTCAATTAATCATAAGGGAATATTTTTCAGCACAAAATTTTCGCAGAAACTGCTTAAAACAAATTTGAAATATAGAGTTTACGTTTGCGATTACAGACCAAACTCTGGTCGCAATTCCTCTGTACAAACGAGGAGAGATTCAAGCCGTTAGGAACCAATGAAAGTCAAGGAAAAAATTGCAGAAGCCAATAATCCACGATATGAGTTGTTAATGATGACTCAAACTTCTGTGTGTGAGAATTACTGTACTGTAGATTGGATGGGGCAGTTGAAGTTCAAGGCACAAATTCAGCACAAATTTAAATTGAATTTATTATAGCACAAAATTCCAGACGAACCATGGAAGGATAGGAAAACACCTTGCACTTGATTGGAGCCCACTTATTTGTTTTGAATTGCTCTTAGTTTCTATTTTAACAGTTTAAACTGATACAATTGACTGGTGGGTTTAGGGCACCTACTTGTGCACAGCTGCAAAACAGCCCACCTTAAGAACCTCAGGACATCTTTCGTGAATAGCATCGATGGGTTGGCGAATTCTCTGAAGTAAGAATCGGGCCCACCGGATTCTGCCAGCCGTGGGAGTCGCGTTTCGTTCCAGAGGTGGATTCTTCTTTTCGGATTCATAAATGTCCCCGATCCGCACCAACTCATCTCCATACACCTTCAGGATATCCTCGTAGCGTGCCCTGAACTCCAGGCCTGGATCGTGTAGCCTCTCGAATAGGGCTAGGAATTGAAGCAAATGAACTGCCTTTGAAAAGAAATCCACGATGAACAAGAACACCAGGTGGTCTTACCGGAAGGGACCTCGAGGTCCATTTAGACATTAGGGTGTTTATTTGAGAGATGAGGGCTTTCCTTTGATTCTGGAAGGTCTCCAGGTCAGCTGTAAACTGATCGAGGAAATAAAAGTTGGGTTAACATAAAGAACATTTGTGTGGACACCAAGATGTTAATCCATCAAAAATCAGTACAAGTTAAAATTGCTAGAATTTTGAACAGTGTTCTTTGGAATGGTCTTAAATCGACCCAGAGCCGGTTGAAAACGCACAGTGAAATGTAATTTAATTGGCGCATTGAGCTCACTTGTTTGTTCCGTGGATCTGTTGGGTCTCCAGTCCACTCGTGAATGAAATCGAGCATGCCCTGGTACGCAGAGATCGCCGGCGCGGTGTCCTCCGCCCTCAAACTCAAAAGGGGCTTCAAATTCTCCACAACCGCCAGGAGATCACGAATTTCCGCTAGCCGTCGACAAAAGGTGGCGCATTTACCGAATATTTTGTTCTCACTATGCACAAAAGGCAAGTTAATGAGTCAGCTGAATTTGCAAAAAATCAAAGCAGGAGACGGCAAAGGATAGGATATATTATAGAATCAGACAAACCTGCAATTAAGCTGTCTTCCATCGGGATATTCAGCTAGCTTATCCCTCGCTGAACGAAAATTCTCACGATAGAAATGGTACAAGTCCATGCAAGCCTCGATCCTTTCATAAACATCATCACTAAGGAACAAAGCGAATTAGGTAAAGCGTTTTTTTTTGTTATTGAAATTTCTTTTGTCTAGATTTCGTGCCAGAAAAATGCGTTTACCAAAGCGTTTGAATGTAATGGTTGTGAGCTTACTACTGATTGGACGGCTATTACTTTGACAGATTTCATTAGCCAAGTGTGCCGCATCATTAATACATATTTTCCTTAAAATGAGGGCTATTTAGTTGATCTTGAGCACCCAGAGTGGACTTTTGGCGATGGCAAATCAATAAGAGCTTGTCTGAACAGGTTTATTTGAGGGCGGTCAGCCTCTGTGACTCCTTAAATTTCATTGGTTTACACACACACACACGTAATCACCGACCACTACATTCCCAGTGTATAGTCGGAACCAAGATGCGGAAAATTGGGTGATAAAGCATGACCAGCGTTCAACTTCTCCTTATCTCACCTTGGAAGCTCCCAGATTTTGTCCACGCCGGCGTAGATTGAGCGACGACACGCACTAACAATCTGATTCGTCACCTTTACAAACAACGAGGTTATTCTTTGCGTTGTGTTGTAGAACTGGGAGACTTCATAAATCACTTTGATAGAGTGGATTAGGGCTGGTACCTGTTCCTTTAGCCTCATCTACAACAGACGCCTTTGATAACCATCAACTTCACACTTACCAGCGGTAACTGATATATTGATCCAAAATGATTTTCCAGATTAGTCAATAACTCGACGTTGCTCTTAGCCTCGATCGTGTATTCCGATATTTGATCATTCTACAAGTGAAAAACACCATCAGTTGCGGGAAGTTCAATGTCATTTTTTCGCAAAACAAAGCTATCTTTGCATTGCTTGTCCAGATCTTGAGGCATTCTTCAATTACCCGGTAATAAGATCTAATCTTGGGCTACAAAATCCACGACGAATTGTTCGACAGTCAGCAATTATTCTTCGGAATAAACCGACTTAAGTGATAAAAGATGGTTTCAAAAGTACTTATGACACAAAATTACAAGAAAGGCTTCTTTTAGAAAATAACTACACAAATTTAAGGAATCGGTGAAAAATCCAACTAGACTAATCAAAGATTGAATTTTCCATGACTCATCTAAATGTTGTATCAGCCGCCTGTTTTGTGAATTTTCGTGGGTTGGTTCGAACATGTAAAATCTCTAAGGATAAAACCTTTGATACATCGGATGAAATTCGAAGAGATGGTTGTAAAGACTGACGTAGCCGAGATTATCTCCTGTAGACCTACCAGTTCACTCCAGCGATTGATTGTGGCTGATTTTACCGCTGCGAGAACCCGCAGCACCACCAACACCTCCTTGCTGGACATGCGCTCGAAGAGGCTGCAAATTCAAGACACCGAAAAAATGTCACGATTTCGGTGGAAAGTTAACTCGCTTACAACTCGTTTAAGTGAATTTACAACAAAAAGTGAATCCCACGTGGTGTACATCGTCATGAACAGTCAGGAAGCGGTGAAGACGGTCTTAACTCTATTGCATTACCTATTCAGGGTGTTCCAGCGAGCGCGCCAGTAGTCCAGCTCATCTGCAGGACCAGCATCGGCCGATTCCTTGATGATGAGGTTAACCTTGTTGATTGCCAGTTCTACTTGTTTGCTCCATGCGGTGAGGGTACGCTCCAATTTCTCGATAGTACCTTTCTTGATTGCTAAATTTGGTGGAATGGGGAAACCAATCAGTAAATGAGTTCCTCTCAGTTTTGTGTGGGAACTAGTTGGGAAGTGAGAAAACAGTCCGAGAAGCTGGTTCAGAGCTGTCTTTACCAAGTTGCCTTGCTGACAACTCATTCTAGATATTTAATTGTTAAACTTACTCTTCACGTCGATGTCTTCGTCCAGATGGGAGACAAGTTCTCGGACTTCCACCGATTCCAACGGCTGAAACTCCACACCCGGTCCCTGTCTAATTTGGTCCAATAAGCGCAGATATCCACGAGCGGAATCCAAAAACTCTCCGACCAGTTTTTCCTTCTCCTCTGGCTCCTCGTCCAGACAGCCCCAGTTCTAAGGAAATGGAGGTCAGAGAATTACCAGCCACATAGCCTCAGATGCAAATGGTTTCATATAGACAATTTCTAGTATGGTTGACTTCACTGTTCGGATAGAATTTCATGATTGGAGGCGTCATTTCAATTTCAAATGCAGAAATCTCCAGGGAGAGGATTATTTTTTGGTTATCACGAAATGCAAGTGACAAATTTCAGAGACGATCAAACCACAGGAAGGAGGTTTTAAAAGTACCTACTTACAGAGGAGTAGAAACAACACTAGGCCATGTAAATTCAACCCAAAATTAATTGTATTTCAAGAAGCGTGCACATCACAGGCATGGATTCTCTCAGCAATCCATGCAGAGTTACAAGGACTAAATGGAAATTAAGAAAGCCACCAATTCTCAGGTTGTTTCATCAAAAATACATTAGCAAGAGTGCATTATCGTTCCTTAAATCTGTGCTAAAAAAGTCGAACTTGCATTTTGCTAACTTGATGAATCCTGGGGTTTTTTCAACCAGATCTCGGCTCGCAATGGACAGAAATGTGGCTGTAACTTACTTTTACCCAGGTTAATATTTTCAAAAATTATTCTATAAAACAGGTCTAAAACGGTATTTTAGCTATCTATATCTTCGAAATACCTTAAACATGTAAATTACATTTAAAATTTTGCAGCTTCAGATGCTTGGTTCTTCGCGGTTCCACGAAGTTCAGACATAATCCCCTCGAAAAAAGTGATTACGTTTTGCTTAATCAATATATGTAGCATCAATTTCAGGCAATAGCGATTTGAATTTTAGAAGAGGTGACCATGTTTACCTTTTTCGGTTAAAAATCGACCAACAATTAATTCAGCGCTAAATTTTTGGGTCAAAAAACGTAAAAATATAGCCTACGGGTCACCACGAGCTGAGGTATTGAGGTAGCTTTCAGCTACTTATAAGCAACCAAATATATGCCATCGATCGATAGGCGTCGGGTTCGCAGACCAGCAGTGGTACACGATGCGATTTTTACGGATATTTGTAGGTTTATGACTCAGGGTAAATGAGGATTTGTATTCAAAACCACCGCAATCCGTAACTAGACACGAGAATATAGCGAAAACATACACATCCATACCGCACCTCTTTAGGCATTCATGAGAAACACACATTTTGCGATTGAACAAAGACAGCTTTTTTTCAGGGTTATACAATCACGAATCAGCCGGAGATAAAGAGTTTGTTTTTTTGGAGATCAATCATACCTGGTTACTTTCGATGGCGGGGATGTAGAGGTCACGCAGGAGGACGTAGGCGGTGTCCAAAAAAGTGCCAATCTGTGGGTTGTGGAACTGAAAGGCAACCACCTGTGCGATGTTTTCTGGAGTTACCGCGTCGAGTGAGGTACGCAGGAAGAAGAAGGCGTAACCCGTAAGAGGCTATTCAGGGAAGAAACGACGGTTACGTTAAACGGCACTTGAGGGTGAAAGTGGACGAAATCCACTCCTTACCTCCGTGGCATCGTTTGCTATGAAGAATCTCGGTTCTGTGGATTTTTTCGAATTGATGGGCTGCAATCACGAAATAGCACGATATCACATTACTAAGCAAGTTTCAACAAACAAAACTTAGAAGTTAACAAACTCAAGAATTCTTTTTTGAAAACCAATTAAGTTGATGTGACCAATTGTCGTACATATTAGAAAGCCACCTGGGGTATCGATTTGATCGATTTTGTTGGACTCAAAAGTTGTTAAGATTGGCTAAACTTTTAGGGACCTCAATTATGTGGTTTGTTAAAACCCATCAACTGCTGGATCAGGGCCACTTAGGGACCAACATAATTTTAAGAATCATTGTCTTCCATTGAGGTTGGTTGATTGATAGGGTTGGTGATTCCAAGTTTTTTTATTGGTTTATTAAAATTTACTGCTGTTGTCGTTCCACATATCTTGACTATCGGAGATGATAAAAAAACCAAACGCATGAATTTACTTACCTTTTGAAAGTACACAATCAGACAAGGCATCTTTCTATTGGGCTCGAAGAATTTTTCGAAAAGCGACCACTAGGAAATATGAATATGGCTTGTAAAGACGCGCGCAAATAAGGCAACTGACAAGAAAGACAGGTTTTTGAGACGAACCTTGCTGTCGACAAGAAGTTGGTCTTCGACCTGGCTCGTTGGAATCTCAGACACCGTTGATATCTAATTACAGGCATAATAATTACACAAATTCACATTAAATGTGGGTTTAATTATATAATGATGGAGTCTACACTGCCACAATCGGTAAGGGAACTGTTAGGGCACTGCTACTTCATACGCGATACACTTTATTGTTGGTTTAAATGATAGCTGAGGGAAATATTGATGAATTATATGACCGTCTGCTCTGGCTGTTATGGCAGGATTGGAATTGTTCGCTTACCAAATCGAAAATGTAGTGATGTCGCCCGTCTACCTAAAATTATAAAGAAATCATGTAAGGCTTTTAACAGGTCTAAAATGGTCGTTTTAGGGGCATTTTGATTGGACATTTTGGATATTCTGAGTCAGAACAACATTAAGAAAATTGGATCTCAGTCAAATTGGTACCGAAAACTACCGTTTGCAAGTTGGTTTCGCGTAACAGTAGGAGTTGACGCTGACGCTCTCTCATCGCCTCAGAGCCTGTAAACGAGTGTTTCCATACCTATAATTCAATTTCACAAAAAAATGTCTCAAATAATAGGCAGGGTAATGCAATTTAATGGGTTTATGAAATTAAGTTGTTTCTTTAAAGGAATCTATCATTCCTCGACAGCATTCACATCTTGATAACTCGTGAATGAAAGTTAATGAGTTTTATGAGAAAGCATTATAAACGGTAAATTGCCGAACGAACTTCAAAACTTCAACCTATGTTTGTGTTTGTTGTTATCCTCAGGCCCTTGACTAGACGATAGCCAATCAGCCCATTAATTGGAACACTTCTGGTTTGCAATGACTTTACCTAAGTTATCGTATCATTTCAGCTCATTTCGTCTCGCAGTACAGTGTGGTTTTTTACTTCGGGCAAGAAAAGAGAGTCTAATTCTAAAATAACCTGATGGAACAGAAGTCAACAGCGCAGGCAAAAGTGGATGACGTCGAAAACACAAGCACTCACCCGGTCAGAGCTCACTACGGATGAATCTAAAGGGGTACGGAAAGCAGAATTACCGCAAGCCAGACGTTTGTGGGTGGCAGAAAGGCGCTAATTGTGTTTGTTTCTCGCGTGACACACCTATCAGACACCATTTGGTATGATGGCTGTCCACACAAGTGCGTCAATTTATTCAAAAGAGTCATTTTCCGATGAATCACCTGATCGCCTTCGAAGAATGTGGGTCCACAGTATTCTGACTTCTTTTGCTAATAATTTTCAGCTTAATTTATCTCATTTTCTAGCCAGTTATTGTGTTAAACTACTTACGTTATATGTTAGAATACCACAACACTACAGAGGTGGTCCTAAATAGTGACACTTTTTACTCATAAACATACATCGATTTAGAAACAGTAGAGACTTTTTTGTTGTGACTAAAATATGCTTAACATTTTCTATTAAAAGTTAACTTTACGGTAAAAAATATTTGTCGGCTAGGCTCATTACTACTCTGGACTTATAGACTTCAAAACGGACCAACTACGTGGTAATTGAGACCCCAAATTTGCATGAATCAGCTTGCTTAAACAGCTACACTGTTTTCACGCTAAACACTATTATTCTTGGATGTATCGAGATTGCTGTTCTAGGAAGCTAAGGCAGGAGAGAGATATCAAAGTGATTGTAGCTACGTAGTGTACGGTGTGAAGGAAAAATAGGCAAAGTAACCAATGCAAATCACGTGGATCTCTCAACTCACTTCTTGGTTCCCTCTGGGGCTCAGCTTCCATTATTCTATAAAAACAAGACTACAAGGTCAACAGCGAGGAGATGCCATCGTCATTCCACGACCTCAAGGCGGGGATCAAAGCTCGTGAATATACCTATGGTGTTGCACACTACCTCCACCACACCAGTTGTGGCGTCCAGTAACTCACTATGTTGATAATAGACCAGGAACTGAAGTGTTAAACGGGGATAACCGGAGTGATATAGAAGTAATTGATGCGGAATAAAATACTGATATCAACTGTTGAGTCGAACAGTCTCAAGAAAAGGCAACAACTTCCAACTTTTTCGACAAAATCTATATATCGTTTCACCGACTAAAGAGAGCTCAAAAGCGGTACCGGTAGATCATGTTTGAAGGTCCAGCCTGGAGCTCTGTGACAACCACCAAACTCCGATAAGTCACAAAATGCAGTTAAATTAACAGTGCGAATACCTGATGTCCAACAAGTGCAATCTGTTCTCGATATCTGGGCACGTTTGCTAATTACAAATTCATACGAGAGAGCTTGTTATCGCAGCGTTACCATGGCCGACGAATAGCGAATGAGTGGGTTGTGAGCCAATAGCTTACATCCGGCCAATTTAACAACAATCAGACAACACAGCAACTCGATTCGCGCGCAAACTGATACGACGCCGGGTTTAACCTGAACCATTCACAAATAGACATCCTTCCACAGTCCAGTAGCAGTCTAGTTAATGAAGAAAGGAACCCCAGCCAGGTGTCAGTTGACCCTAAAATCACTTTTAGCGGTCGGACACAGGGAGACTTGATTTCACCCCACTAAAGGCAGACAACAGTTTGCTAAAGCATTTGAGTTACAAATTCAGCCCGACAAGGAACAAACACGACTCATTCTCAATTGTCACACTGAAAAGGCGCTTTCGAAATCGCTGAATTTTCATGTGCCTTTGCCGGATCACCAGACGTCATACACACAACGCGGTGGGGGCTAGTAACCCTGCGTCGCACGCTTACAACCAATCCCCCTCTCTGGAATGAATAATGAAATATGTTTGAAAAATAGGTAATAATATTCGAGGTATTCAATTTGCACAAGTAGTCTATAGATATACAATACACAAAAAACGGCGAAAAAGTCGCAGGTCAGAGTGAAGTAGGCGGGAGGAGTTATTGCAGTCCTAGGGAGGACAGCAAGGCAGCCCACAAGGAGCCTCGAAGGGGCGCATATTTGTTGGCGTTGGTGATCGCCTTCAACCGATCGATGAACCGAGGGTCCTGGATGACATCCAGGTGGCCGACCTTGGGGAGCACCATGGACCGCACGCCGGACCACCGGAGGCACCGCTCGAGTGAGCGGATGTTCACGGTGCCGTCGCCGTCACCGTAGAGGAGGCTGGGCACCTGGTCGGGGAAGGCGCCTCGCGTGGGCGTCGCCGGACCGTACACCATCGCCATCGTGGTGCTCACGCCCGAGCCGTACACACAGTGAACCTCGTCCACGCCCGTCGGACCCACAAATCCATCCACAATCGGCTTCGTATCCAAGTACATTTGGTAGCCTAAGGATCACGGGTGCATTAGTTCAAACAAATCCACCATGGGAACGGCCTTGAAAGCAGGACTATTGGCTATCAATACGCCTACGTGACACCGTGTTAGTGCAGGTCATTGGATCCGACATGAGTTCGAACTCCGCAACGGAACAACCACAGAACCTTCGACTAAGCTCCGAGCGTGGAGTTCTGAAATGACAAAAACCATGAGCCAATGTCATATGCTCCCCACTAGACATTCTCGCGTGTTTTGGCACCATTTACCAGGCAAGGAATTTCAAAAAGCACCCAAACTACATTTCAAGTCACTGTAACAGATGACAGATGTTTCTGCCTTGTGAGTGTCGAGGTAATTAATAAATGGGTGAAAATCTCACCCTCGGGGTAGCCAATATCGTAGAAAAATTCCTTGTAGTCGTGAACAGTGTAGTTTTTCGTCGGCGTGAAGATCACAATTTCGTCGTCAGGCCAAATTCGTGGATCTGGCAGAAGGAACGCGAGTGAGGGCATTGAACGCTGCACCTCGCGGTACCAGAGAGGATTACCAAAATAGATGCCAAAGTTGTCACCTAAAAATAAACTAACTACTTAGTCATCTGTAGTAGTATAATGAGGATATTCGGGTTTTGTCGCGGTTGGGCGCCTAACCTGCAAATAACTTGAGAACTTTTCAGCACGGCAATTAGCAACATTTAAAGTCAGTCGGAGATAAGAGACGAGAACCAATGTTTCCCAGGGGGATTCCAGTGTCAGATAATATCGGGAATTGTTTCTCTGACCTGACTGTTCAGTTCACCACCGTAGTAGATTCCTATGATGCCTTCTCGATGTTGCATATAGCCATATCGATAAGTAGGAGGAAGTCTCCCATTTCATGATTTACGGTTTGGCAAGAATACGAGCTGTCAGCACACAGCACGTGACGCCCCTACGGTCACACACACACACACACAACAGCGTGTGAGCGTGCGCAAAGGAAGACGGGGGTTTGACTTCGACAATGCAAACGTCCGAAGAGGAGTAAACGGACGTTTTAATTGTCGCAAATTTGTTAAATTAGTTGAAACATCTTATTGAAAGTCGACCAGTCCAGCGACTTTTTCATGGTAAAATGACAAATTTGTCTCGCGGAAATCACAGCAGCGCAAAATGACCGAAATATTTCACGTGGAAGTCACATTTGTGCAAAATGGCTAGAATCTTTCGCGTGGAAATCACATTGTAAGCGTCACAGTAACAACGGGACCAAAATTAGCTGCCTCGAGATCATTCGCAGATTGACTTGCATCTTTCTCGTGGAGACCGTATTTTCGCAAAACGACTAAAATCTCGCTCGTGTGGGCTTTGGAGGGAACCACTAAGGCTGTTATCTATCGACGCAACAATGACCTGTCAACACCCACTTCGGTTTTAAACAAAAACCAATACACGGTGTTTACTACACGAATTGTGCTGATGTCAGACTGCTAGACAGTAACGTTATTAACTGCACCATTCCAGCATCAAATGCCACTTTACGTAACTTAATCAGCATATTATGTCTGAGGCTTAATGTGACTTAAACTTGCTTCTGTAAACGTGCTTCAGCACACAGACAATTCACACATATTTCGCGAACAGAGGGCTTTCGGCAAATTAGACTTGTGCGATTCAGACTTACACATGACCCTTTCCAAATTCAATCCGACCAGCATATTGTTTTTTCACCGCTCTCGCAGTTTGATTGGTTAAGTTGGGATCACGTTGCACGCAATCGACTAATTTCGCCATACACAGGGTGAACGATGAACCAAGAAAGACGTCAAATTGACAGTATTTACTGCGGGAATTTACGTCTTTAGAGATTTATTTAAAGCGAATTTCACATAAACACAACACACAAGCACGTGAAGACTTCGGTTAGGAAATTGGGCCAATGGAGACAAGGCCGCACGACCAAGAGGCACTCAGTGAGACTTTGCACATGGATTTGACGTAAGTAAGGCTGCTCGAAAGTGTTCTTTTAAAGAAAATCAATGAAAGTGTGACAAAACTTACCGCTTGCTTGAATTTTGAGAGCCTTTACAGAACCACCGAGTGGTCCGCTGGCGGCTACCAACGCCTTTATGTAACGCTGCTTCCAGGAGGTGGTCTGGTTGTTGAGGAAATTGAGCGCGTACAAGGTGCCTAGGCTGTGAGCGAGGAGAACGACACGCTGATTTCCGCCATTCCGGAAGGTCTCCTCGACCAACAGCTTCATTTTGGGGTTGAAGTCTTCATTCTCGTCTGGGCAAATATGAAAGTACGCATGATGTAAATACGGTGGGCATGGAGCTGACAGCACAACCACAACAACTTCAATTTACGTGAATTGGCAGCACAATTGGATAAGAGCTCAGAAAATGACTGAGGAAAGCCTGCAGTAGTCGTTATTCGGGAAGACAAGACTGACTACGTCACCTCAGAGGACAATGTCACTCCTGACAACGGCACTGAGTAAACGGACAACAGACATCCGGTCGACGCCTGATAGCCCGGATATTTAAAGGATAATATGGTGGGATGGTGAAGCTCAAATGCACCAAATGGCTCCCCATTATCCACGACGTCGCTAGGGTTTGTGCAGAGGGTTTAATAGTTACACTCGAACACTGACACCGAATGAAGGGAACCAGTGTGTAGGTGTGACTGGCGTAAAACAACTGAATAAGCCGTGACTTCAACTGTAAACTGCACGTTCGTTCTTGCTACCAAAACAGCATTTTTAAATTAAAAATCCTTAAACGAATTGGTTTATTTTTATGATTGGTTCAACAAACTCAACGAACTTACTAGGAGCTTTTCGGAAGTCGAACGGCGCTCCGCGTATCGTAAAGTTTGACACATAGTAGGGATTCGCTGTGAAAGCGTTAGTTACGTCTTGGAAGTATTTGGTCACGGTATGTGGACGTGAATCTAAATTATCCACAGGCCAAGTTTCACCCCAACCAGGAAAACTTATCGAAGCTTTGTCATTATCCTCAGATCGTCGCGTCTCATTGTTGTAAACAAGCCTGAAAATCAAAAGGGACTGGTGCCGAGCAATTAAAAGTAGAAATGGCCATAGGTTATGAAAATTAACAGTTAATGCAATAAGAAGTTTTGAAAAAAACTGGGTCATTGGTGGTAAAATGATAATATTTGAGGTAAAACTCACTTAAAGTAATCACAAAATGTCCTGGGTGTTATGATATATCGAAGGTCTATCCAAATTTGGAAGGGGTCAGATTTGTGGTCCTTGAACTGAGCATATGCTTGTGAACCACCATCACCCGGTATCATTATAAGAGGATGCGGAAGGCTGGCTTTAATCCGCATCCTCAAGGCGTCTATGGAGATAACGAATGCGTGGGAGGATTTAGGAAAAACAAGTGCGTAGGCAAGAAGCAATATCGGTAGGTGCATCAACATGCTTTAGAATGCAGACCTGAAATTTGCAGAACTACAACTCAACACACAGGAAACTTACACATAACACTATTAATTTGCATCACTGTTATTCGAAGGTCCAATTGCAGAAAAAGACGTCAAAACAAGGAATATATATCTACATTAGGGCCAGTTCGTTGTGATAATACGTTCAATTTCATTCAATGAGGGTGCCCAAATCAAAGACCTTAACGCATGTACAGTAGCGTGTTTAGAAAAAAATTAAATTCAATAGCACTGATTTTTTGTTTAATGCAGATGTTGAAAGAAAAAACAAAAGTTATTAAAATAGTGGACCAAATTTTGACCGATATGATTTAGGATATCCCCGAACTGTCATCCGACTCTCTTAATATACATTCAGGCGCTAAAAATCCATTACGAAAATTTAAGAAAAACTTAGTCCATCTCAGATAGCGAAGGAATGCGGTAAAATAATCAGAAGTGGCTACAGCAATCGAGAAGACCAAAACACACAAATTTTATAAAAGCGCGCTTACCAGCGAAACGGTATAGCAAAGCAGTTAAATTCAAGGGTCAAGTTCTATTAATATTTTTGTTTGATTACCAAATTTAAACCAGAAAGACGCTATTTTGACAATACATGCAATGAAAGACCACTTAGAAACTAAGCAAAAACTTTTATGCAAAATTCAAAGAATTATTTGTTAACTATCTTCAGACATCATGGTTTAAAAAATATATTTCTAAATAATTTGCTCGGTATAAAGTGGTGTTGATACTTTAAGCTTAAAAATCCACGGCATAATATGGGCTGTAGATAGTAATTACTTGCACTAACTTTTTTTACTGATTGAATAAATGTTCAATTTCAGTCATTTCTCAAGTTCGATTGGCAATTTAGCCATCAAATCAGTATTATTGTGAATTTTTTGCAAAAGTTTTTTGCTAAAAGTGACAAGCAGATAAAAATGATAGGTTCATGTTCATTAAATCTAAAATGGTATATTTTGTTAGGGAATTCAATGTCTGTCAAAATTTTGACAGCCGTCACCTTACTGTTTCAATGATCCGGGGTTTTTTCAACCTGCATCAAGTCTTTTTCGACATTGTGTGATTATAAGTTATTTTTGCAAATCTGGATATTAAAATGCAATTGCAAGAGTTAAGTGACGAACAAGGGTGCAGATGTATTGAACCACTTCGGCCTCGGCCAATCAATCTACCTGCTTTCGAACTGCCTGTGAGGAAGTTATGCAGCCAACCAGAGACAAGGCCGTCTAAGAAGCGGAATATTAATAGGGGTGCAGCCAGTGCGGTGGAATTGGATGGACGGCGTCCGACGTACGGTTCTGACTTGCGATTGGTCAAAAAAGCCTGTTCTGTTGTACCACTCTACTTTATATTAGGGTTAGGGTATTCCACAAATTTATCATCTAAGGGGATTTTTTGGGTTTTTTTAACTTGCGGGCTATAATAGCAGTTGTCTCTGACATTTTCATACATAGAACATTATTTCAGACGTTAACTTTTAAAGCTGCCATTAACGAAGTGACGTAATTTTCCAGTGAAATATATTATCGGGTCAAACTATCCCCACTAAAATTTTTTTATATAATTGTTTGCTAGTTTCCAAAGTCTAAATTTTACACTTAAGCACCAGTATGCAATTTCAGCACAATTTCGTAGCTCATTAACGGCTTCCTTAATTCGGCAACCTGGACATCTTTCAATAAACTTATCTGTCACGTCCACTTTTAAAGCGGCAGTTTAATTTAAAACCCTCCCTAACAATAAAATATTCTGTCAACGCACAGGACTAAGTAAATGAAAAAAATTAACATTCACAGCATCAGGCCACGAGCTACGTAAATCTTCCCACCTAAATGTTAATTGTACTTTGTCAATACTACTTGCATTCACATTATGGGAGCGACGCCAATAAATAAAATTGCTCTAAGATCCGATGACAATCAGCGTGATTTATAACGAAAGTCCATATCAAGCAGCAAAACTCTAACCTCACACGACTATCAACGAACATAATCGACTTGATTCGTCCCAAATCGCCGAGTTCTCCCGACCACATATATCAAGCAAGACTCAAGATTTACAAAGATCATGTAATTTACAAATGTTATAAAAATGTTATAGCAGCTTTGGAAGTGTTCGTAAGTGTTCAAGATCAAGAATCGGTTCATCACTATTCGGTACCTCATCAGCATTTCGAAAAACCTGTGAATAGGGCAGGTAACTTTCATCACCACTTTCTTCATCCATCACCGTTAATCCAGGAATCGTTGAAATATCAGGACTGCATAATGGTGGTCTGCGGCCATTAGCCGCTGGTGTGCTTATCTTTCCACACGAGAGCAATCCGTGGTCTTCAAGGTAGCGCCGAGATGCCATGCTGTAGTCCACCATACAACCACCGTCTATTGTGACAAGAGACTGATCTGTCGGGGCTAGCTGAGCGATCACCGAGGGAGAAAGATACTTCTTCGCTAGGCCCATGAGAACAGCACTTTCGTCCGTGAGTTTCTGAGGCCGTCTTCGATAACGCGGCAGTAAATCCGCGGCACGCTGTGGATTGGTGAAGCTGAGTTCATTCGTGCCGAGTGCTTCCGATGATAGTGGCTGCGGAGTATTCACGTCATCGAGCGGGGATTCTCTACAACCCGTCCAGATTTTCACACATATTTTCATTAATAAGTCAGAAGCGTTCAATACAACGAAACAGTGGTTCTGCAATACAACCATTACAGTAACTTTGGTGTGTGTAGGCTCACCTTAATCCATTCCTCGGTGGAGGCGGAGAGGGGGGTTGAATTGAAGAATTGGAAAAGTCCAATCGGGCAGCAACCTCTTCTTCGCAGCGTTGCCGACGCTTATCTAGTTCGGCCTCGTATTCAGCGTCAGTGAGTGTCGACCACTGCTCGTGCTGTGTAGTGGTGGGATTACATTCCCGCCCTCTTGCATTCGAGGATGAAGCAGGTCTTTGAATAGGAACACCCGTCAACATTGTCGAGGGAATTATAGACAGGTCGCCTGGAACGGAGACTGTCTTGCGCATCTGAGACTGAAGCGAAGGTATCGGACGGGATTCCAAGACACGCTGGATACCTGCCTAAAGTTTTCCCAGCAAGAAATTGTTTAATCGCAAAAAAAGCATTTTCACGCCTTATTTGAGATCCGTTTACGAGCAGACCTCAATATCCACATTTAAAAATTAGTACGATAGCTACATTAGTTAGGCTGAATCCAAACACAGACTTTTTGATTTGAGAAAAGTATTTTTCTACGTACTAGCGTAGGGAATCACGGGAAGCGCTACACTAATACAGCAACATGATTAAATATCAATTTCTAGATTTTCCGATTGAATATCAGTTAGAAACTGCAAAAAAATAACTTACAAGGAGTCGGCTATACCCTGTGTCGTCTTCCGTCTTTTCTGCGTAGTTAGACTACAAGGACAAATCATGAAATCGACTAATCCCAGATAATTATAGTGCCACAATGGATACAAATATGAAAAAAATCTTAGAGAGCAAACCAGATCAGTAAAACAAGACTGGCAAGTTAAAGGTGAGAAACACCAACCTAAAAAGCACTCACGCATTGTGGAGCAAAATCAGTTTGGGGCATAGTTTCTTGCAGAAATCCAGCATCGAGTGAGATAATGGATTCAGGTGACTGAGGCGCTCCGGGAAGATCAAATTCTTCCTGAATCTCTGGAAATGGGCAGGAGCCACGGGGTTGAAAACAGTCCCCTGGGCCTAGAAGGGATTCAATACATGGCCGGTATATTCATCGGTTGTACAATTGGATTTTGTATTGAATCGTGCGCTAAATGCTTTAGGGAACTTTCAAGTAGTCCAAAAGCCACTTTCAGACGATGCTGTGGTGTGATTGGTGTAATATTCAGCTAAATTCTAAATTAATACAAATTTCTAACAAGATAATATCTTTGTACAATCCATTTGCTTAATCTAGACGTGCAGACCAAATAAGCAAGGTTCCGATTGAACGACAGAACACTGCTCACAAGCAGGACTGCACTTAAATAGGGCACAAAGAAGATGTCCGTAACAAAAGATATGAACGGGGTCATACCCGGGTCCCACAGAACTTCGACGTCGCCTTCACACTGCACGCCCACAGATTCGACCATTTTACTTGGCACTAACGGCGGTGGTGCCAGCCCAATATCAAAGGGAGTTGGCCACACTGAGCTCGTATTAACGGCCACACTCGACCGGCTGCGCGTGATTTCTTCCCTAGTGTCGGTTCCAACACTGACGTCTCGGGCCGCCGTTGAAGTCGCCGCTGTGGTCGGTGGACGCTGAGCGGCAAGGAGCCGCTCGACCAGAGCCTCCAGGCGCGTTATCTCCTCGTTGCGGTTACTTTCACCGCAGTTAGTGGCCTTGTGAATGAAATCGCCGCCTTGGTGAAGGCAGGGCGACACTTGTTCCAGCCGAGGCGTCGGCACGCCCACCTTAACACCATCGTTACTCTCTTGGTGATAGCATGGAGGTGAGAGGGTTCCGAATTTGGAAGTCATTTGACCATAGTCCCCCGTGCTACCTCGGTCATTTGTTAGGTGACAGCAGGATGGTGAGATCAACTGAGATTTATCGGCCATTCGGCAAGGGTCACCTGCGCTACAGTAATTCTTCAACTGATGACAACATAGCGGTTGAGGCAATGAACATGGAACTTCACTTGCAGGCGGTTGCATGATTGCTTGATTGCCACCACTTGAGCAAGTTCCACCATTGGGATTATCGGTCCCGTGGCAACAAACTGTCGACGGTGCTGGTGGCTGAGGTATAGAAAGCAGTTGAGGTGGAGTATAGTACCGGTAGGGGTTGTACGAGGGTACGGAGGCGGGAAAAGATATGTAGCATGAGGATGCAGCGGTACACGCCACTCCCTCTTCCAAAATCATTGAGGCCTCGGGGACTTCAAAACCACTGACGACTGGAGCTGTACTAACCTCTTTTGATGGTAGGCTGAATTTTACAGAACGCTTTCTGAAAAGAAAAGGTCGATGAGAGGTAAGGGACGAAGCCAATTCATTTATGGTTGCGCTTGTGCTTAAATCTTTCACTTACGTAGGCTTGCCGGTTTTCGTTGGCTGAGTCTTTCGATCATTCGAGTCGACTGCGGTGGAAATACCATCCAACAACCAGACGGGTCCACGTGTTACTTGACAGTTAAGTTCTCTACTGAGACGCATAACAGCCTCCAAGAGTTTATTAAAATCGGCCAGGACTGCCGCGTTGGAAAGGACTGCAGGATTCAGGCTCTCCAGGCGAAGAATTAGGCGCTGTGTATCTGCTCGGGGGGGACGCGATCTGAGGTCCTCAGAACAGGTAAGCATTTGGAAATGAAGCTATTAAAACAAGCGAAAACCGAAAATAATTTTTTTGTAAGCTGAAAGGTACCACTTTTTCTCATTTGTAGAAGCGAAAAGTACCAGTTTGGTTAGAACACTAATTATGACGAAGCACAGTAAAGGCATCAAATTCTTTGAAGTAAACCTTATTTATCAGCCGAAAAATCTTCTGGCGAATAAATTGCATTGTCCAGGTTTTTAAAAACCCAATGTCTTCGCAAAAGCAGGCCTGTCTCGTAACAAAAAGTAAACATTGGTGCTAAAAGTCCACTTCTAAGACGGCTTTTGCTAAAAAGGCTTCAGAATCTATGCATCGGCTAGAGCCTATTTAACAAATTTAAACTTTCCAACACACTTCTACCTCTTTCCCCAATGTCCCCATCAACAAAAACTCGTTTTCCTAAGACCTGAACGGTCTTGACTGATTTAGTTGTACACTCATATCCCTGCATTTTCCAAGATAACTGAATCCACAACCCATAAATCACCTATAAAAAGACACTTTTGAGTCTGGACTCTTGTAATTTCGCTTAGGCACCAACAGTCGTTTAAGGAACAAAATAAAAACACTCAAAGCACAAAAGTTTACTCATCAGTGAAAACTACCGTGAAATGTGGCAGAAACTTTAAGGGTACAAAACCCCTGCTGTAGGCGACCGGTAACCATCGCTTGCTAGTTGGAGTTTAGATCAAGACTCAATGAAAGCGATGTAGTTACAGTTCATTTACCTTGTTAGCGTACGCAAAGCCAGGAATGGAAGGAGGTGGGAAATCGAGGCAAGGAAAAAGAACTGCTGTGCCGCAACCACCGAGTCCTTCGCGGCTACTCTTCTGTTCCATGTGTATTGAATAGAACGAGAGTGTGTTTGTTGTTTGGCTATGGACAGCGAGCACAGGGGAGGTACAAAAGGTGCGTTGGCCCGTGGCAGAGAAAGCGTAACGGAGGAGAACCAGCCAGGTGTGGAGATTGGTAGATGGGGTAGATGCTCCATTGCCTTTACAGGTCACTCCAGTGCACCAACTTAAAAATGTGCAATTAGGAGGAAATGGGTTTATAGGGAAATCTCAAGTCTCAGTGCTCTACAATAAGTTGGCCTCGAGCGTATCACAACAAATACAGTGTTAGTGCATGAACGGCGATATGCCGAGTAAGTTCAGTTTAAAAACAGCAGAAATCGTTTCAAAATAAATAACATAGACGGCAAAATCTTTTGTTTTGAGGTGACAAATAGTTCATTAAAAGAACATACATTCCAGCAGGAGTAGAGTTGTGAATGGCTCTATCGCCATCTAAATGAGAGACTAGACATCCTGACCGATTCGTTAAAAAGAACCTAAAAATCAAAAGGGATAATTTTATGGGGTTATGGAAGCAGTAATTAAGAAAACACGCACAGGGGGATAAATTAGATGCATGTACAAAACTTACCCAAATCGATAATTCATATAAGTGCCATCAGGTGATAGCAGAGATAGATGTTTGAACTTTGATTTAACGGTCTCAGTCTGAATACAATGACGGAAATAATCGCTATCAAATGGATAGCTTTTGATTTTCTGAAGTCCAGGTAAGATGTTTGGAATGACGGCATTAAACGTAAACCAGGCGATCCCACGTTTGCTATTTTGTGAATCAATTCCCGCTGTAGCCCAAAGAAACGTAAACTCCGCAAAACGGAAACAAGAGTTGACTTGGGGCGAAAGGCCGTTCCACAAATCTTTAATTCGCCTTGAAAATGTATCAACCGAGAGAACACTTGCGCAAGGTCCACGTAAGAGCTAAATATGCAAAAATACACACATATCAGATCAACTAAAAATCAAACCTCTAGTCTGTAAAGGTAACAGAAGCACGAGTACAGCAGTGAAAATTCGTTGCTGACAAAATAAAATTAATACAAGACGAAAGGCTTATGCATTATAAAGATAAGTTAAATTTGGATTAAACAACGCTGGGTACAAATCAACTTACAAAAAATGGAATGATGGTTTCCGAAGGACCCAAGGGTGACCGACCAACAGATTCAGGGGGTTCGAATACTTCAATAAAAAGTTCAACAGTGTCATCTGAAAGAATCCTGAACTCTCCTAACAAGGAGCCCTCGACAATTTCTAAAGGGCTATTAGCAAAAAAGGACGACGCTTCGCTTAGCGCTCTCCACGACACCCTAATAGATAATTTGCTGCCAAAAATAAAACATAAACGAAGAGAAACGTACCAACCAGTGATTCCATGACATGTATGAACGCCTTTCAAGTCGCCTGTCGAGATTTCACGCACCATTATTTGTAATTCTTCAGTGAATTTTAACTTCCTAAAATGTAAACAAGTAAAAGAAATGAACAGATCATCCAAGCGTGCAAATAGTAGCAGAAAATTTGAACGTTGAAGAAAGTTCTGATTAGAAACAGATATTAATGAAAACAGCAAATTAACAAGTCCAAACAAAAGGATTATTGTATTAAGAGTATTAGTAGTTACTTTTACAACATTATAGGACACTGAATTAAAAGGCAAAATCCAATCGCGTGCAAATGGTAAAGCTAACATGTCCCAATTATTAACTTGCCGCGTAATTAGAGTAAACATAAGTGAATTATACAAACGAGCTGTGACTAAACATACTTAATTGGCTTCAAGTTTTTTAACTCAACTGCTCATGAATTCAAGCAGATTGACATCTACAGGACCAAATGAGAAATCTTTATTTCCTTTAAATGTTTAGTTAGGAGTGAACAAAGGCGACGAAATGCAAATAGGAATATCCTACAAATAGTTTTGGTATCTACGTTTTTACATACTTAACAAACTCAGTATGTCTAAAAAGAGAGCATTTGACAGTTTTCTATGCGAGATCGACTCCGGCTATTAGGGGAAATATTTATTTGCTTCATATGTCAAACTAAGCAATATGCCACACAAAAGACAATTTGTACCACCGGACACAATGGACCTAATCGAAACAAATCGTACAGCATTCGGAGAGCTCATTAAGAATTGCAAACTGATAGTAAGACTTTTCACTTTGGTAGCTTAAGGGAAACCTGGCAAGAAAAGAACTTATGAATTTACTAAGTTGGACTTAAGGAAAAATACTACCCCTATTGTCTGACATTAGGAAAAACACCAGGAATATCGACCCACTTAAGGCCAACACCCAAGTCATTAGCTTTGTGAAAAGCTAAGCACAAAATCAGACTTTACCACCCGCGGTAAACTTTCACAGACATAAATTCACTATGAAAAATGGATTTAGATTAGTATTAAACACATACAGTTAATTTAGAGGAAGATTAATATGGAAACCCCTGATGACTCGGAGACCCAAATACATTACATGAATGTAAGCCAAACAATGAAGAGCTTTATTATTACTCACAAATTCAAAATCAAGATTGGTTAAAAATTACGATGAGGCGTGATCAACTGATTCAGACCGACTAGATAAGGAGCAAGGAGGCGAGAGCTCAGTTTCTTCATCAAGACGCTGAGGATTTCGCAAAAGTAAAAGGCTACAATAACGACTGTCATTTTCCCCGGTTTCGATTCCACCGTCACTACTCGTGCCAGTCGAATGAGGCTGTAGAAGGTGCTGCTGTGCCAGTCCCAAGGTACCCATTACTACCGTTTCCGACGACATCGACAGCCGGTCAGATGCCCGTTGGGGCACTATTGTGGGAGGCGATGTGAGGAAAACTGTCGGCGAAATCGATCCATCTGTGAGTAGTCGGACTCGCCGTCGACGAATCATGGCATCGCGACGCATCAGGCGGCAAGGGGATTGATCCTGAATAGACTGAGATACATCTTGCAACTCTTCAGTGTCATTTTCCTTTTCTTCTTCATCTGTTGAAATCACAGTCGCGTCATCAACAAGGCATGAGGCGCTAACAGAAAGGTAAAGGTGCTGGTAGCATTTGTGATTTTCAACAGAGTCAGAATCCAGTGGTTGGTGCTTAAATTCTGAGGAAGAAGGGACGTTCAGGCTTGAGGAACAGCGGTGGATAGCCTAAAGCGTGCGTTAAAATGTTGACGTTATTTCACTAAACAAACACACGGCGAAAGAAAACACCTCAATTTATTGTTTAATAAAACAGACATGGGCAAGTAAATGTTTTTTTTCAAAAACTGGCCTTCACGCAAACATGATTTTATTGATATTCACGAATGCAAGCGAGTCTCAACAATAAAATTTTTGAAAATCGGTTGGACCTCTAAAGCTTAAATTGGCCGCGTACTTTAGAAGGCTCTTATGATACACATTCTCAAATAAGATAAATTTATCCATCTATCCAAGTGCAACTAAAACGCATGGAGAGTTAAGTAGAACAAGCTGTACATTTAATCGACAGTCACCAGTCTAATCGATTGCTAAGCACATAAATCTAAATGCTTTGGCAGAAAAATCTATCATTGTTGATGTTAATCCTAACAGAATAGTAAAACAGTTATCAATAGATGAAACAGTAACGCACCACATGAGTTCGGCGTGAGTTGTCTCCACTCGACGTGTGCAGTCTCGGTGGTTCAAGGAGAGTCGGACTAAGCGGCAGTGGCAAGGAGCGCTTCTCCGTGGCCAACTTCGAAGAAGCCGTGAGGTAGCCGGGATGGAAGCCACCGATTGGTGTGGTCCACATGCACGCTGGCTGTCCGATAGCTGCCAAACCCAGCATATTCATCCAACGCGTCCTACTACCTTCATTGTCCGTCGCAAATACGAACCTCGTCCAATCATTGTAAACCAGGAAAGGATATCGCCCCGACCGACTCCCCTCAGATGTGGGGGATATTGTAAATCCATGGAGCAGAATCAAACCCTCCGCGTAAGCATCGGCCGGGTTTCGGTAGTAGTACAATGTGTTGTGCTTGAAAATGCACCAGCGTTTCACGTACTTGGTAGCAAACGAAGCGGTCTTTTTGAGCCAAAGCCAACCCTGGCAATGGCCCTTACCTAAAGCCTTGCAGGACAAGCGCTTGGTGGACTTATTGAAGCTCAAATTCAATGGGGCCGGGGATGCGGGACTTGCAGAAAAATCCTCTATGGAGCTAATTGTAGCCGGTCTCCGTCTGTTCTTCCGTGGGGCCGGAGCTGAAGTCTCCACAGAAACAGGCGAAGGGCCCGTAGCAACTACCTGACAAGCAGACTCAAAAGGAACCGGAGAACGTTCATTGAAAGATTCTGTTGAATTTGTGCTTTCGCGAGATGGCGTAATAGGAGCACATGAGGGTTTAGGGGCCGGAAGGAAGAGCCCGTCCCGAGGCTGGCTATGTGACCTGGTGATGGCGACTGGAGCTTTGAGTTTAGCCTCGTTACTCGCTGAAGAATGTCGGACTGCCAAGGTACTTTGTTTGGGCTCTTCTAATTCTTCCTCCGGTGAAATATTTGCGGTCGCAGGTTGAGCAGTGATGTTAGAAATTGTGGACGGGGTGGTGCTACTTTGGGAAGTTGAGATCGGCTGCGTGCGCCTTTTGGGAGTCCGATTTCGCAAGAAGTCCGACCGCCTTTGGGTACGGTGAAAGAGAGTAAGGGAAGCAAACGAACGCTTCGAAGCATAGAATAAAACGGCAACTTAGCTGTTGGAACAATTTTTTGATGGTTTTTTGGCCAATTTGAGGGCGGGAGTGTAGTGGTAAAACATGTAACGCTCGCCATTGAACCAACCCTCACCCTCCCCTCCGGCCATCCCTTTACTGTCAACACTCGCTAAGCTCTAGCTCCTTTATATTTGTATACGGTAACATGGAATACATCTAGTTTCTCCTACCAGTCTTTTATTGCATGCCTGGTTGTCAACCATGATGGCGTAGCTATCTACAAGAGGTGGGCACGATAAAAATAAATTGGTGTGCGGTTCCTTAATATCTCATCAAATGATAGAAAGAAGCTTAGATTAAAAAAAACAAAGATACACAGATAATTATGATTTGACAAAGTAAACAAGTAAGTCACGGGGTTGGCTGTCTTGCGGGGATGTGATCTAGTGAGGTGTTTCAACTCGGAAAATGAACATACCTCGAGTGTTGTGGTTCTGCAGCGATAGGCCGTAGGCTGCTTGTTAGTGGCGTTCGTTGGCGTCTGGAGTTTACGAAGAAGTAATCGGTGCAGTGAGCGGGTCGCTTACGAATCCGCATGTTCAGGTGGCGGGTGCTCTGTTGAATTAGTCGTGCCACAGCATTGTGCTCCCATCCCAGCTAAGGAGCAAATTTAATGGCACTATTAACCCATGAGTCTATAAGTATACACACAGAAGGCATGATTCTCCATTAGATCAGCTACTTGGAAGAATCTATTTGCTTAGTAGGTGGGTTGGTAAAAATAAGACACAGGAAATATCGAGAAGAATAAATTAAATATGTTCTGTAAGAACGTCCAAATCCCGTGAACTTACCACAAGCTGATTATTGATTTCGACAACTTCGTCGTCTTTTGTTAGTCTTCCACACGAGAAGGCTGGGGCTTTTAACTAAAAAATTACACAACGCTTTCAATAACTGCAACATCGGTACTCTTTTTAAAAAACAAAACTGAGCAACTACATCCGAGTCTACAGACTGAATTATGTGCACATTGGAGTCGTTGGTTTGAAACGTGAAGCCCTAAAGAAAGTAAACAAACTTCAGAAATGGAACCATAGTTGTAAAAAGAAAGCAAAAATGCTTACATAAATATCCCTTTCGCCTTTCCGAAGGCTGATGTATTCGAGGGTGCATGGAGTGAGTAAAATGGAGTCATCGCAGTCATGAATAACTTCCTCTAATTGATTCTTTAGACTCCGAGTTAGCTCTAGCATCGGATTTACGAAGGCCACTAGACACGATTCGTTTAACGCCGACCGAAGTGCCGTGTTAAGATCTATTACATTTTGAAGAATCACGCTACGAAGGCTGGAGAACTTTGGTATCTGAGAGAATGGGGTCCTACCAAGCCAGGATGCGGCTTTCTTGGCAATTTTGCTTAGGTTCATCAAGCTCTTAACTAACAAATGGTCAATTTCAGCCATATCCTCTTCACTTTCCTGGCCTCGCTGAAGTTGTGCACGTTTAAGATGAGAAGACATGAGGGCCAAAGCACGAACAACACTGAATAGAATGTCCTGCATATTCTCCGTCTCCAAAGCGGCATAGGCTTCAATGAGATCCTTGACCGCGCTCAAAATTAGCCGTATGTGGTCAATTCTTTTGACACCCAGTTTGGCGAGATCAGACTCCGTCAGACAGGACAACCATTTTCCTTTCACATTTGCATCTCTAAGTGCCCCCAGATAATATTGAAAGACTGGACCGACGCCCCCGGCCCAGGCAATGAGCTGCTCATTGGTCCACGATGTGTAGGATGGAGGAAGGCTGTCTGAATTAGTCATTGGCTACATTGGCTAGAAGTGTAGAGTTAAGTAATAGAGACAGCTTATAGGTAAATGAGCAGTGTGACAAGGTGGCAATGGTACATTATTCTAACGGCACCATCATTTGCCTAAAATAACAGACCAGAATTGGGTCAAAACTGAATGACATCAGTGTCTCTGAAAAATCCAAAATGAATCTACATGAAGCTTGATACATTTAACTGAAAAAACACTAGAAAACCTCGCATCAAGCCGTGAGCTTACGAATAATAAGACAATAAATAAAAATAAACAATGTAAACGAGTGATGCTTTAGGCGCCGCACCAGGAGCTACATAAAGGTAAGAAAATACGCGAACGCAGAAGGAATTTTGGGTTTCACGACGGAAGTAACAGACCATTGATTTTTCCATTGACGGTTACTTGTAAGAATGAGTTAATATAAGTGAAATGCTAAGCAAGAGTTTATAGAACTATGTACTCACCATTGGGATTTCAGGTTAGGTTTTTACTTAAAGAGAGAACAAATTCAGCCTAAACAAATATTTAAAATTAGATGTCGGTTCATTGACAAACTGTATAATAAAAAACGGAGAAATTCTAGCGCTATGTCCATGGTAAAAAGAGATCCTGAACAATTATTACCGCAAAATCTAAACATATGCCAAGCCACTTACATTATACCAAATGTACAACACTGTGGTGTGGGGTGGTGTGGTGTTGTGGTGTGGTGTGGCGTCGGATTG